GAACTGCTAGCTATGCGAAATCGCTGACAAAACTTCTGGCGAAACGGATCTTGACACGATATACATATCGCATCTTGAGTTTATCGTTGCCTGGCACTGATCTGCTTTTGATCGTCGGCGGAGTTGCGGAGACGACCGGCTGCGGTTCTACACAACACAGCTGTCTGCCAGCTCATTGCGCCTGTGTGACAATCCACCTAATTAGCGATCTTCTCATATTCCCACAGCGATGCTCACCTTCCGGAAGTCGCTACTCGCGGCTGCGCTTCTGATTACCTTTATCGTCTACCTCCGATCGTCGCATACCGCCTCTTCCCTTCCGTCTCCGGATACCTCCTCCGCCGGACACCTCTACAACCAGGATTACGATGGTCATGCAGACAATGAGCGAAAAGGTGGAACTAGAGACACCGTACAACAGCTGCCGCTGACCCCGCCACCGAGCGCCCCCTTGCGCGATCGCTTGCGCTACCACTTTCCGTACGATCTGGAAGCCAAGTTCCCTGCGTTCATCTGGCAGACGTGGAAATATGCGCCGTCATCGATGTTCTTCAGCGAAAGCCTGCGTGATCCGGAGTCCAGCTGGTCCGAGTTACATCCCGGATTCGTCCACGAGGTCGTTCCCGATGATACCCAACGCCATCTGATCAAATACTTGTACGGCGCTGTTCCTGATGTGTTCGAGGCCTACGATGCTATGCCGTTGCCCGTCTTGAAGGCCGACTTCTTCCGATACTTGATCCTGCTCGCGCGGGGTGGAATCTACAGCGATATCGATACCACGGCGTTGAAGCCGGCGTCTGACTGGCTGCCAGCCGAGTTGGATCTGGCCACAGTTGGAGCGGTGGTGGGCATTGAGGCGGATCCTGACCGCCCCGACTGGCATGACTGGTATGCGCGCAGAATCCAGTTCTGCCAATGGACCATCCAAGCCAAACCCGGACACCCCATCATGCGCGATATTGTCTCCTACATTACGGAGGAGACATTGCGGATGAAGAAGGCGGGTATTCTAAAGACTGGCAAGATGGACAAGACCGTCATGGAGTACACTGGGCCAGGCGCTTGGACGGATGCGGTTTTCCGGTATTTCAACGATCCAGAGTACTTCAACATTGAACCCGGCTCGACGTTGAACATCACCTATGAGGACTTTACGGGTCAGGAGGGATATAAGAAGGTCGGAGATGTGGTGGTCTTGCCCATCACCAGCTTCAGCCCGGGAGTGCACCAAATGGGTGCCGGAGATGTTGATGATCCCATGGCATTCGTGAAGCATCACTTTGAAGGTATGCCGCCTCAATTCCTCCTATTGCTTGACTCAAAGCTAACACGCCAACCAGGAACTTGGAAGGATGACCCCTCTCTATAAGCCGTCATAATAAATCGCTTTACATTACACCTTACACTACGATGCGTGCGCGAGGTTGAATCCCACTGGCTTCATCGACAGGACTTGCACAATGCACGTCCTTACCAGTTAGTTATGACCACATAGCATCAGTGGCATATCATCAGATCCTTGCACCTTGTCGGTGGGACACGAGCAGGGACCCTTCATGGCCACCTACACAACAACCTCGCAGCATCCACCCAACATTTTCCGTCCTCAAACTCAATCTAATGCCCCTTGCTCACCCAAGCTAGCCATGTCCCGTATACGAAAATGCTGACTCTCCGGCAGAGTGAGCTATTGCTTTGTGCTCATGACTCACGGCTCTCAGCTTAGCTTTCCATCCATGACAAGCACGTCCGAGCTGTGGCTCGATCGCTAGCATGCTTGTCAAATGGCCCCCGTCTGTTTCTTCTCTGTGTTCATATAACCTACATATGTTTTTAGTGTCTTGCTCCAAAATCTTTAGAATTTGATACCCGCAGGCTGGGAACACGAATGAGAACAGCGATGCACTTTGATCTCTTGACATATGTTCTACCTAATCTAGAAGTACATTGTATTCCGGAACGTGCCTTTGCGCATATTTTAATAGAAACTCGTAATTTGCGCTCTTCCTTTCCTTCATAGGTCGATTGAAACGGTAATGCTTCAATTGTCTACAAGAATGACAACATCTTGCTGTCTTGAAGCATTACGACTCTACTTCATAGCGGAAATTACTTCGTATCCGCTCTACCAACCGCAGACAATCGCGTCTCTTCTCAGCCGTGACCAACATCCAGGCAATAAAATGGACCTCGCTCGACTTTGGTCCCACCAATCTGTCCCCTTTCTTCTTGATTGTCGCGTACAGCGGCACATGTGGCTCCAATTCGGGGTACTGATGGAGGAGCTCCGCTGTGGCATCTTCGGTCTTCATGATCCCGGCAACATCTTCTTGGAGGACGAGCACCGAGAGGTTATAGCGAGGTCCATTTAAGAATGGATGGCACAAAGCCCTGTATCGAAGCTCGTCATTGACTGCGAAGAGCATCTGCTGGGCGAAATAATCCACTCCGTAGACCAAGTTGACGCCAACAGTCTCCAGATAGCCTGCTGGGCGGGCGTTTATCTCGAGGAGGTACACGCGCACACTCTTCTTCCCATCATTGGTCTTACCTTGTCGAGGATACAAATCCTCCACCCCGTTCTCGCTGTCTTTTCGGAACTCATGACTCGAATACTGCAAACGTGCTTCACAATGAAAGGTACCCGTTAGAAATCCTTGACGAAGAATACTCTGGTGCAGCGCATTCCGGATGGCCTTCAGCTCATGCGGTGGAAGCGCAGAGGGGATATGGACCATAGTCTCGACGAAGTTATGGCTTTGTTGTGCGTCTAGGTCACCAGGGCTCGGAAAGTCGTCACTAATCTCGCAAAAGATGACTTCGCCATTTAGCAGGACGAAGTTCGCGTCGACTTCCGGTCCATCGATGTATGGCTCAATAACGGCGTCACTTCGCTTCTGTGGACTAAGCGCATGGCAGTCACAGGCTTTCTCAACTGCTTGAAATAACTCGTCTTCCGTGGACACTTTAGTGACAGCTTGACTTCCCCACCCCAAGCACGGCTTGACGATGAGGGGATATGACACTTCGGTGGACCGAAGAACCTTATCTAACTCGTCCGTCCCAAAGACCCGGAATGCCCCGTGCGTGTCTGGTTCCATTATTCGAGTTCGATACTTATCCCCGGCGAGGATATAGGCTGAAGATGGTGAGGTAGAGTATCCGAGGATCTCACACGCTCGAGCCACTCCGATCATGCGGCTATCGCTCACTGTCATCAAGCCATCAATGGGTTTATCGTAGCTGCGGACGGCCGTGATGATCCTATCGACGAATCCCTCATCCACGTCAATATTTGCGGCGACAAAGCCTTCTCGGAGATGGGCGTACGGGCCGTTGTCATTCTGCAGCCAATGCCCCGGCTTGTCAATGATCACCAGAGAGATCCCTAGGGCTGCTGCCGCCTCGTACATGCGTCGGCTCGTATCCGCGTCTTTGCGACCTTCTACCCATGCAAGGCGTTTTGGCACAACTGATGTAGGGACTACCCATGGATATGAAATCCGGTTACAGAGTGCCTCTTCGACGCTGTGGTGGAGGGTGTCGTGAAGATCAGAGCCAGAGCCAGCGTCGAGAAGGACCGCACCGACAGACATCGACAGAAGTGTGCTCAGATCATGCGCTGTTCCATCTATCTGGACTTGAGCGGTCGTGACTTGTTGTAGTGGACGCAAAAGTCCTACCACCTTGGCAATGTGCTTCACCCCATCTAAGCGCTGCTCTAAGAAATCGGATCGAGCAAGATAGCCCTCTACCCTGGATAGGATAAACTTCATGATAATCGGGCTCTTATTATCAGCCCCTTTGTTGCGTTCAAAAATAGTCGTGGTAATGAAACTTGTGATTTCTGGGGCCAGATACCAAGGGGTGCAGAACTCCTTGTCATCATCATTTTGGTAACCGTCGAAGCATGCTGCTGATGCAGCATCTTTGTTGTTATAGGTCTTTGTGACTATGGTCTTCGTAGGGTAGAGTGTGAGATCGATAGATTCATGTTTCTGGCCAACAAAGCCCTTGACTGTGTCCGCCTTGTTCCATTCACATGTAAAATGGTCTGATATGCAAATCCATGATTAGATAATGATCAGTGAAGCAAGAAATGGCTTGGTGGTGGTGGTGTACCAATCTGATCCTGGGTAGTGAGAGCTAGGAAGCAACGGTAGGCCATTGTGGGCGCTGGCAAGACAGAGTCTCGATGAAATTGGGTTTGGGGGGGGGGGGGAAAGATGAGTTAGTAGATGAGAGCCTTTCAGCCTGGAGTTTTAATACCCGAGTAGCAGGAACACCTTCACCTGTGTCATACTCTTTCCTTGACCAAGCGAGGCAGTTTCAGTATTGGGAGAAGCTCCAGGCTCGGATTCGGCGTACCGTACTGACTGGCTACGTAGTCAGTCACTACTTACTCCGCAGTCCGGGGTTTACTCCGATGCCGTCCACCAGTGAGCCCTTATTCGTGCAAATTATGTGGGTACCTGGAATTATAGGCCACTTTAGCCCTTATCCGCATATGATACTTCTTGGGTTAATTCTCAAACAGAAGTGTCATTTGCTGTTGACACTCACTCCAAGGCAAGATACTATTGAGTACTTGCATTGGTTCGATGATTACAATTGCTAGATCTGCACCGCGTGTCCAGTCACTGGCCTCACTGTTCCCTGATTTAAGGACTTCAAGTCAAATTCACATCACCCAATTGCCCTTCCCGGTTAGGCATTCATCTCTGGCACATGTGCATTAATGTAGGTCAGCCTTTTTGAAATGCGTGACAAAGTGGAGTATGATCTTTTCGGCCAGCAACCTGCACAGCTCGGTGTTCCAAGATTAGCGGCCATTGAGATTATCTAGTAAGTCCAGTATTGTCATTTTTGGGTGGTCACTTTGGTAAGAGTAGTAGAATAGCTACACTGGTCATAGGAGCTCAACGGTTTCTAGGTAAGAAGTAGAACGGCAATAACATTGGAAAGGATGGACATCTAAAACTGATCCCAGATATGTATTATGCCTCAACAACAGAAGTCCCACAATGTCTTTGGATGCATGACAATAGCATCTTATCAAGCTCTCCTGCAGGGCCACGGCGGTATTTGCCATATTTCTCGACAGCCTCACGGATAGCTTCGATGAGATCAGCGTCACAACTTTCAAACACCTTTACTAACCGTTCTGTTACTGGAACAGGCAAGCTATGCATAATACATATTTCGATCAGAGGCATTAAGCCACTGTAGTGTCTTTTAATCGAGTCTTGATCACGAGCAGATGAATTCCGGGCACTCTGAAAGACTTCCTCCGATAGATCGACTGCTCTAGTATATCGAACAATGTGGCTCGCAGCTTTATACTGAACTGTTGGCAGAATGAAAGGCTTATGACAATTTAAATAGTCACAGTTGTTCCTTTCAAACCTCCAGATCGCTCTCCAAACGTCGTTGAAGTCTATTTCGGCAGGCCACTTATGGAGGAGCCACTGTAGCCCGGAAAGGCTGGTTGCGGCAGCAGCAACCATGACTCTTTCAGTAAGTGGCAGTGCCTGGAAGCCATACCTTTCAATTAACCAAGGTAATGCAGACAGTTTTTGATAAGTGGCAAGCATAACCACTTTCTCAGTTAGGAAAGGAGGCACATCGGGTCCAAGTGCGTGGAGAAGAAGTTGAAAAGCGTCCAAGGTGTACGAGGCTGCCAACAGAACTTTCTCAGTTATTGGTACTTGTGGGCCACAATGAGCGAGAATCCGTCTTATATTGTTGGTCGGTCTTTCTGCTCCTGCCACGGCTATCATGAATTCTTCCGAGATTGGAATATCCTCTATTCGCTCATCGAGCAGAATGCACAGTGCTTTCTCGTGGGATGCTGCTGCTGCTCGGATGGCGGCTTTCTCTGTGATGCATACACACGGTGCTGTCCGCAGCAGGAGTTCCAAAGCTGGATGATTGTGCGCAAATCTTTCCACAATTCCTTGGTCAACTTCGAAGAGCTTTCTGTCCAAAAGGAGTTGGATTATTTCTGTAGCACTCTGATGATTACCGTACTTTTCTAATGTTATTAGCATCTTCGAGACCGGTAATTGTCCATGCGGTTGTTTCATTAGAAGCGCTAGCATCGATGAATCGCAACTGCATGCTTCAACAAACATATTATCGCTCACTTTGGCCATTGGTCGTACGCGGAAAATTGCCTTCACAGTGTTAGTTGTGAAGCGTCTTACAGCATGCGACATGACTTTTTCCGTGAGAGGAAGGGCCTCTATTTGAGACCTTGCTTCAAGATCTAATAGAAAACAGATCAAGGCTTCACTCCTTGAATTGAGCAATATGTCTTCGGTTATTGAGATCCTCAAGCCTCCGTTGTTCATGAGTATCTCAAAGATATCTTTACCTTGTGGGTTAGAGGCTGCTTGGCATAGAATTGCATGAGTGACGGTGAATCCAGCTTGCTGCCTGTGTAAAAGCATGTTGAGAATCTCAGCTGCATATATCCATTTGTTCACGATCTTCAGCATGACTTTTTCGCTTATTGAAAAATCCGGACCACAGTCATCTAGTAGGAGTTCAAGCATTTCGAGACAATGGGGTGCGTTCGTATTACACACTGCCGTACAGAGTACATCCTCGCTAACCTGTGCCCGATTCTGTCGTCGACGAAGAATTTGACGCAAGACACCGACATGGAGTCCATTATTAGCCGCTCCTACCAGAACATTTTCAGCCAGCAAGAAATCGTCATTCAATGTACTTAGAAGTACCTCCATTGCCGTTTCGCTTGCATACTGTGCAAAACCGGCAATGAACTTCTCATCCAAGTCAATTTCTGTACGCCGTTCTGCAAGAAGTAATACTATCGCGCTGTCGCTGAGGAGGGCCGGACATGCCAACATCTTCTTGATCTGTGGATAGATCTTGACGTCGGCATTGCGCCTTTTGAGAAGAACCTGCAAGACATCGCCCCCACATCCTCTGTTTCGCAGTACGGTTTCCAATACGTCCTCTGTCACAGGCACAATTGCTACTCCTGTCTCTTCGTACTGATCAAGGAGGATAGCCATTAGGTCCATGCCACAACGCTCGTTCTTTGCTGCAGCGACAACAATTCTTTCATCTATGTGGATAACTCCGCTCTCAGTTCCAGTGTAAAGAATCCCTGAAGCTGAGAGTGTGTCGAATATATCTTCCAGCGTCTTGACTGTGAGACCGTAGCGTTGGACACTATTCAATACGCCCTCGGCCAGGTCAAGAGATATGAACACCTTGTGCAGCAGCAAATCCAGTACGTCCAGATGCCCATTTTCAGAAGCTAACAATACTGCATTTCTAGGCTCTTGAAATGGTCCGGACCCATATGCAAACCACTTCAAAGGGTCTGCGCCTTCCTCTAGTAACCCATTCACGGTTTGAATGAGCCCTAATTCAGACGCAGCACCGATAGGGCTTGGCTGTACTTCTTGCTCCTCGAACTCGGTTGATATATATCGCCAGTTGCGGTAGATAGTCGGGTGTCGGAAAAGCTGATTCACCATCTCCTGCAGCTTTTCGAGTTCTAGGCTTGTAGTAACAGCACAAACCTTGAAGTGTTCGTGCCAGTTACAGGCGGCATAATCGAGCAGCAGCTCCTGTTTCGCTTCCTCTTTGAGCAGACGCCGTGTGTTTTGCAGTAGAATTCTCAGATTTTGCTTGGCTAGCATGGCATGGCCATTCAAGGTGGAGAGTTGGTGCCATTGGCCAGTACTTTGGCTACTAACAAGAAATTCCTTCACAGAGAAGTGAGCCAGCCTGATCTCATCATCCATGCGCCGATAAGTGACAAAGGAAGTTGTGCAAATCTTGATAATGTCCTCTGGGACACCAAGGCCCGCTGCTGCTGCAACTTCTGTCAGGGTGAGAGGTCTGGCACAGAAACACAGCCAAGTGAGTATCTTCTTGGCGAATATGATATCAGAGCGCTTCGAGTTGATTCTCTCGATTACAGAGATGTATATGTCGTGCAATGTCTGTGGCATGGTCTTCAACGATTCCAAGATCTCGGAGTTATTGCGACATTCCTCTAGACGCTTTATTTGAAGGTCTGCCCAGCGAAATCGTCTGCGCAAATGAGTACTTATCTCAACAAAAGCACCTAAGCGACATGCAACATACCTCTTGTCGTCCTGTAGCAGCTCGTGAATTATCTGTGTTTTCACTTCCTTTGGAGCGATTCTATCGTCCAGAGCCTCAACTTTGACCTTAACAAAGGCTAGAATGTCAGACCCCTGCTTTTCCTCGAGGTCTAAAGCTGTACACCATTCAAGGTGTTCAATTATATCTGGCTCTGGCCGACTAGTAACAAGAATGTGAATGTTATCACTGCATTTCTCTTGGAGTTCGGTAAGAAATGCCAGCAAAAAGCTCCTTTCCTTGCGATTGACTGCGTTGGGACATTCATCCAACGCATCTAAAATGAGGAACACGTTTCCTTGGTAGGCGTTAATCATTTTGTGGAGAGTCTCTTGAAGCATTACATTACTTGGATTGCTTCCTTTGGTACCATGCTCTTTCCAAATGCGCCTGACAGGCCCATCTAGTGGGTTTGAATGGAGCTGTCGAATGATAGCCCTGAGCATATTCTCAACTCTTTGCGATCCTGGGTCATTGAATTGGAAGTACCAGTAGGCCAACCGCATGTTTGAACTATCCAGGCACGTTCGTTGAACGTCCCCAATCACTGTCGAGCTACATATTTCTAAATGTTAGCTAAGATACAACCTACGGATTCCACAAATCTTTCATACCATATGACTGATTTACCACAACCCGCTTGTCCAGCAGTCAGTGTATTTTCCTCATCCGAACGGTGCCTAGAAAACTTACCCACTCCATGCAACCAGAAGATACTACCTGGGCAGTCCTTCCACTCTACATAGGCTTTTAACTTCAAAAGCCAATCGCCTGTCCCTGGTGATCGGTGATCCTGAGTGTCGTTCTGAGCTTTGGAAAAGTCGTACTGAGATAGCCATTCAAGTATTCCTTTGTCCTCGACACCTGCTAACGTCAGACTATGAGTCTCTGGTCGAGATTTCTGAGAGAGCCTACTTAGTACAGTGGACTGAACTTTCTGGAGCTCTTCGACAGTCTTGTCAATAGCCGCAAGAATGTCCGCAGCCTGTCCCTTCAGATCTAACGAATTTAAGCATTCTGAAGATACAAGTAGAATTCAAGATGATAAACTCACATGTGCGATCTGTGACGGTAGCCCATTTTTCAGCCATTGTGATTTTATTTTCCACAACTGTTCGAAGCTTTTGCAGTGGCTGCTCGGTAAGGGGTATGAGTGTACTTCCTATGCGAGCTGAGAACATGCATGTTAGACATTCTTCTTATATTAAAGAATACTCCCCAGACCAACCAAAGCCGCTTTCATGGTGTATCTTTTTTACTTCCGCCGTGTATTCAAGTATCGCTGTATAGACTCCCACAAGAGCACTATCTAGCTGCTTGTCACCAGCGCCATTTGTGTATCGGCGGTCGCTATCCAAGAAGCTAAAATATGCTAGCTGCTCTGCTAAGTATTCGGAGGCTTCTAAGATGGCATCTCTGCGCGCAATATCTCTCTGCACCATCTAGAGGGTGAATTATACATTCGTAAGTGGTTGCTAACGGAAAAGATTTCAGGAAGTCGCCTACCGTCAAACCTAGCGAAACTATTGTCCAGGCGCTTGATGCTATTGTTACATATCAGCATCTCTCAGGCTTTGTGGCTCGAAGCAGAATCGGGAACCTACCATGACCACTTGGGTCGAAACTCACGATCGCGGTGATTATTTGCTGCACATTCAATGCAGCCGCAAGGATATTCTGAGCAATTTCGCGGACTTTGATCTCACCCCCATTATGCTTTCGGATAATCAACTCTTTCTTCTTATACTCTGTATATTTAGTTTCGGTCTCACTAATAACTTCCTGGATGACCTTGGTCGGGGAGTGTTCTTCTTTGGACAACCACTGTTTTTGTTTCGGATCAAGGTTGTCGAATGCTACTTGCCAGAGGTCCTTGGGTGAGGCAGCAGCGTGACCCGAGGAGGTAGTAGCAACCTCAGGACTGATGCTCTTTGTCAGGCTGGCGCCTCCTTCATTAATCGAACGTCTCGCATGGGGAATGGCAGGTTCGGCCTTGTCAGCGTCACCATCAGCCTGAGCACAGCAGAGCTTTGCACATAGCTTCGTCAGCATCCTGCAGCGAAGAGATATTGAGCCATGTGCATATACAAGTTGAGAGGAAGTGAGAGGTGAAATCCGAATTGTTCAATGTTGTGAGCTGAAAATTCCCCTCTTCTGGCCCCGGCTAGTACATTCTTGGGCGTCTGCAGCTGCTGTACACGTCATCCTGCAGGAGACTAGTATAGCCTCATCACAGCCTCGTTGACAGAACTGCAAGTAAACAGTATCACAGACGAAATGTCTAGCTGTAAGTACGCTACTAAACTTCGTCTTTTAATATGTGATATACTAAGGGATATTCCAGCACGAGTGCTACTAGAATCTATCTTCTGGATTATTCCATCCCCATCAGACAATCAAATATAATTTAATAATACCTCTGCTACCTACTGCTTTCTCTACGATGTGGAAACAAGTGGACCTTCCCTTCCAGAACTCCGAGCCTCTGCCTCCACTACCTACAACAGATGAAATCCGCGCTTGCACCAATGTCCTCTGGGAGACCACGGCATCCAAGGTAGTGACGATCAACGACAATATTGTCGTTAAATATGGAGGTGGTATAAACACCTGGGAAGGCCAGGCACTGATTTACCTTGAACGGCACGTCCCCGAAGTCCCAGCCCCTCGACTATACGCGATGTACTATGAGGGCAAACAACTGTTCTTGGTCATGCAACGCATTCCCGGCGTACAGCTGAATACCATCTGGCCATCATTGACCCCATCCGAGAAGGATGGTATCATAGCAAAACTCCAATCGATATTCGATGCTATGCGAAAAGCTGAGTGTCCATGGTCCGACTTTTTCGGGGGTCTGGACGGGGGTGGCGTACATCATTACTTATTCTATAGCCAGCACGGCGATCACAAATCTCTAGGGCATTTCACTGGTGAACCTGCCTTCGTCGCAGGCCTTGTGGGTAATTATAGGGCCTTAGTCGAGCGCAATAATCATTGAGACTACAAGGCTCGCTTTTATGAAAAATATCTCGCTCGCGTCCTTCAAGGTCATCGGCCTACACTAACGCATGGAGACGTTCAGCAGAAAAACATCATGATTGTGGAGAATAAAACTTGCCGAAATGATCAAGGTGGGCGATCATTTGACGTCGTACTGGTCGATTGGGAGAATGCTGGTTGGTTTCCTGACTTTTGGGGATTCTTCTGTGCATCGTGTCCCTTTATTTTCAATTGGGATGAAGACTGGTCATGGCGAGTTCAGGAATTTGTTCATGTGTGGCCTGCTGAAGTGGCTATTCTGCAATTGATTGATAGAGATCTAGGCTGGTGAGGTATGTTGCTGGCATCGACTTTTCTCTTGACATAGACGCAACTGAAAGCGATTGTTAGAGTTTATCTTTATTACTACTTTAAAATCTATTTCTCGGCCCATAACAAGGGCTGGAAGGTGTATTCGATCAATACTAATGATATGTTATTATTCCACGGTTAACTATCTATATCAGTAATAAAGATTGTTAACTTATCTTATGTATAGAAAACTTCAGCTTCAACTTTGAGCCTATTATGTAATCAGTATCTAAGTCTTCTGGGGAGAGAACTAGAAGAGGCCTACTCGATGAAATAGTTTAACCGTCAGCATATAAGCTGGACTGTCTACCAAGGGTGTATAGTAGTGAGTTAGAGTGCTGCACCTGGGAAATATCCATGAATGGTGATTCTTATGCATTTTACTCTTTTTTTTTTTTTTTTTTTTTTTTCCCTCATCGTGAAATATTGAGCTGATTTGTTCAAATTTGCTAAAGAACATACTCATGTTATTTGATACAGCAAGACATGCTCAAAAGATCATGATACAATCGACAACGACAAGTTAAAATTTGATTTCATAATCACAGGAGCAGTATATCGCTGGACAACTGAGTAACATCGAACATGACTGGCTATGGTCGAGCAGGGGTCGCTCAAACAGCATTGTTGGCACACGTCCAAACTCCACTACCACTATCCTTGCTGATCGCATCACCAGACACGTATAACCCGAGACCGCACTGGAAAGATAATTAGCGACAAGATTCCGTTAAGGCTAGGGAATACATACAAGGGTGATTGCCATGGCTAGAATGAACGTGTTGGACAAGGTTAGAAATATTTTTCTGCTTGATGCGAACCACTGGCCCTTGTTCAAGGTAAACCAGAAGATAGCAGGGAACCCATCTATAAAGCATGGTTAAGATTACTCCGCAAGATATTAGTGGTATCTGAAACTCACAAGCGAACCAGCAGCCAAAAAGTGCAGTCTATAGTTTAGAGTTAGCATGTGTGTTTAGTACTATGAGGAGACCACGTACAATTAGACTCAGAAGGTTGTTGAAGACTGGAATTGACTCTGCGATTACCCAGGCAACTACCCAGGAAATCAATCCAATAGCGACCCATGACCCGATGGAGAGCAGAGTCCGTTCATGCATGTGGTTTGTGCCGCGGAAAACACGCACGTACACGTACTTGCTGGCTACATGACCATTGACAATCCCAGCAATAAGGACCTGGGATAATAGGTCAGCAGTCGTTCCAAACGATAGTTGACTATGGTAAGTGACATACCGTTGGAATAGCCAGTCCGTAGGCGATTTTCTTTCCTAGAGGCCCCGCAGAGCCTAAGGCAGGGGATTGAACGTCCGCGCCAACGTAGCGGTATATGACCACTGCGCTGGCAATGTATAGTGAAGTGTCAATTACTTGGAGCACTGATATGGACTTGGTGAATTCTCGTGGCTTGTCCATCTCTGAGATGAACCCGAAGAAGGACGCATGGCCCACTGTTGATTGTCGTAAAGTTAGTTAGATTAAACAGAGTGTGACAAGTCAGGGCTTTACCATAGGCGAAAAACAGATTGCTGACTGCTAGGAATTCTTCGTTGAAACTGAGATGGGTAGTCACAGCAAGGGGAATGTGGCCTTTGTACTCCACGCCGACCGCAATCATCGTGGCCATGGTTGCCGCCACAATGCTGAGGAATGCTACACAGAAATGAAAAATTAGCCCCATATTTAAACTTGAAGTGTGAAATATGAGAAGCCCTATAATGTGCTTACATGCGATCGACATCCAATATACCTTGTCCATGGTGCGTGGTAGGGCACCAACACAACTGACAATCAATGCAATGACACCAAACACGATTGTGCAGGTACCGTGTTCGGTAATCGTATTCATAAGGACCGTGAAGGTCAATACGTGACTGGCCATGACGAATATAAGGAACAACAGCTGCCCAATACCAAGCAGTTCACGTCCAAATCGTCCCATGATAATCTCACCCGCATCTCCCATGCTATGGACCTGGGGGTATCGTAACTTGAATTGGCAGAGAATGTAGGCAGTATACCATGATATACCAGAGATTCCAATTAGTATAATAAGAGCCCTAAGCTAAACTTAGCTTTTCATCTGCCTAGTAAGTGAGTAACTTACGGGACAAAGCCCAGCGTTGCAAAGGCGGATGGAAGAGATAGAATTCCGATGGAAACATTCTCTGCAACCATCACTGTGTATAAAGAAGGTTAGGGCTCTATATGTTTGATAGGCGACAGCACGAAGATTGAGGCTCACGTATCCCTGTTTTCCTGCATGTTGTGAAGAGAAGGGTCAGATACAGGACCAAGGAGTAGTCTAGGGGCAGGGGAGTTGAAGCTTACCACCAACCCATCGTTCGATATTTTACCTCCGCAAACTCTTCATTTCCAAATGGATCTTCGTCTTCAGGGGGTGTATCATCTAAATTCTTCTTCTTCTCCACATCTTGTCCGTAATCATAGGCAGGGGAGTTGAGAATCTCTGCAAGGTCTCTGGATTCCATCGGAACACTCATTCTTTCTAAGATAAAGAAGTGGTAGGTCAATTAGATTGGTATCCTATACGAAAGGGTCAAGAGAATGTGAGTACAGTACACTGAGCACAGGAAGTGGTGAGGTTTTCAGGTGAGATTCGAGAGCATCTGGCCTATTTGAGCCAAGTTGGCTTGCACCTGGTGACGGTGTTGACCCAGTGAGAGGCCAATATGATATCTGCCTGAGGCATCAATGACCATGTCGGCCTACCGGCTGCATTTGACCAATGCATAAGGACCATTTGCGAGCTATCGGTTTATCTCCGTCTTGTATGACGTATCTTCTATACGTGTATTTTGATTTTCTGACCCTCAAGGGCTGCCTCCTGGCTGCTGATAGTGATTCCTGGTGGCTGTTCTTTTCCGCCGCGGAAGCTCGTGGATAGATATGGCCGATCTGTAGCCTGATTGGATAGAACGGCAGAACGGGAAGGCTCAGAGATGCGGGGATAAGCATAGTTGACTAGCGTCTGGGGGAAATTGTCAGTGAGATACGATACTTTTGGTCGAGTAATCGTTGGCTAATCAGTATTCGCTTCGATAGCGGCTGGGCACGTATCTCTACCCACGCCTGCTGTAGGTGGCTCGCTCAACTGCAGATGTGGAGCGGGAGGGCGCCCAAGCATGGCCAAGGGATGAAGATTAAGCTATTCGCAGCGTTAGTGAAACCTTGCAGGTGAGGTTAGTGTATGCGCCGGAGAGAGATAACGGGTTGCTGCATCGAGCCAACACCCGATACCCGTCCTTACCATACACAGTTTCAGGCGGGGGAGATACACAAAAGCAAGAACAGACATACCTGGCGCTACGGGTTACCCCTCTCGGAGGCCAGGGGTTAGTGCAGCCGCATCTGGCATCTTCATTTGCAGTTGGTTACTCGCTTTGCTGATCCTCGCAACGGGTCCAAATACTTGGGGACTGTCCGGCTACTGCCGCTGTCCTGATACGTGCCCGCAAAAGTGATAGTCATGGCAATCAAGTGGAGAGATAAGTTATCCTCGCTTGCTGTGCCCCGCACTGATATTCTCTCTATCTAACCATCCATCGTTCGTGCAGAGATGCCCTCAAATCCGTATTGATTATACACCCCACCCCGAATGCCGGTAGAACTCTTGCTGCCCTCAGCGACGATGACTGAACATACCCTCTTCGTATCGTAACAGATCTTTCTGCTATTGTGGCCACCTGTGGACGAGCAATCACATCTAACGCGATCATATGAAACGGCGTATTCACATATTGCACCAAGGCGGGGAGAGCGAGCTGGGTAACAGTTCTTTTGGTATGCGGATCTGCAGTGATCCAATCTGGAACTAACGAGGCCACCTGCGGAGCCAGCGTGAAGGAGCTGGATATAGTGATGCTATCGCGGAATAGAAAGGCCATGTACGCGAGCCTTGGGATGGGAGGTGGCTGCTTGAGACGACCTTCTGGGTGTCCGTAAATCTGAGAGAATCTTATATCCTTTAGGATTCCCAGACACACATTGACAACGTATGTTGGGAGGAAACTGAACGTTGGAACGAGACTCGCGGTCGTTGATTTCTCTGTAACTTTGGAAAGGTGCTCGAGGCTTGTGTCGGTAGCATTTGCCGTAGCGTAGGTTGCGGCGTAGAGAGACCAAGCGATGAAGAAAGGTCGAGAAAAGTAGAACTTTCTCGGTTTGAGGATGGAACAGATGGCATGTGTGCGAAGTGTATGCAGGATGGATCTATTTGAGGAGAGCCTCTCCACGACGCTCCTGGACTCGAGATATCAGCACATGGAGTTCCTGAGTTCGTCTTCAGTACATTTACCGGTCGATGACTGTTGTGATCGGGGCAATAATGGTTGCGGACAGCGATCCTGCGACAATATCGCCAGCCAATTGCCTGAGCCAGTCATTATCCCAGTCAGGAGAGTGCAATGGCTCCGTGGTGACACGTTCCGGCGACATTCCAAAGTTCTAGGCACTCAAATACACCCTGAAAGAGGGAACTCCTATTAAATAGATACAACCGGCTCGATAGCAGGGGTATCAATCGGCTTCCTTTCAGGCGCCACCCAGACTTGTGCTAAATTCTGGGAGAGCTTTCATACCTCGTGGAGATGCATCGGGGAGCCTGGGGGCCTAGGATTGTTGTGGTCAGGATTCAGCAGACTTGTAAGCTGGAGCTATGGCAAGCAATGTATCGACCTGACAGGCCTAGAGCCCGATAATGCTCTTCACCGGGCATGCTGTGTACTGTATGAGGGGCAGTCGGGCAGAACCTTCTCGCTCTAACCGGTGACAAAGCCTATCGGTAAAGTTGCGGGGATAAGATAGCTAACTCTCTAGCTTATCTACACGCGATAGGCAAACCAAGCTGTGGCTTACTGGCGGGTTGAAGGAGAATAGCGTAACAAGATGTAGACCGAAGGAACAGTCACTACCCGCATTAGGGGGATCTCCAGCGGAAGGCTAGTCTACCCGCCACTATTCTTAGCCGGGAAGGTCCAAGTGCCGGGCTAGTTTACCCGCCAGCTGGTTGTACTCCAACGCGGTGGATCTTGCTCCTCACTCTCCTCACTTCCAGCTGCAACAGCGCCGAACATCGGTCTGTCAAGCAGTTGGCTCCTCAAACATCGTAGCCAACTTGATACATAAGGAGAATGGGGGTCACCATGTTCGTCACCTCCAAGTCTACGCTCAGTTTCTCCTCTACGGCCTTTGCTACCAGAAACAATCACAATGGCCTTCAAACTACCCTTGTCTCAGCCCTCGCCCAGCGTGCGCACCCTAGGACGCCGTGCCGCTAGAGCTCCAATTCTCAGAGCTCGGGGTGTTGCGACCGTACCTTTCCGTCTGCCAGCTGCCAGAAATGAGCCCAACGTGAGTTGCTGGCTTCTCATCCGCTACCATGGCATACAAATACTAATCTCCTCTCCATGATAGCTGGACTACACTAGGGGCTCTCCAGAAAGGGCAGAGGTCGAAAAGGTTTTGAAGCAGATGAAGTCACAGCTGCCGCTCAAGAGTCAGTCATACGTCGGAGGCAAAGCGCTCTCGGTGTCCAACACATTGCAACAACCTCTGCCCGCCGAACATGCCACTACTTTCACCAACTACCCTAGCGTGAATGCTGCACAAGTAAATGCGGCTATTGATGCAGCATTGGAGGCAAAGGAAGCATGGCAGAACACTCCCTTCGTTGACAGGGCTGCTATTTTCCTCAAGGCTGCCGAGCTTGTCGCCGGCAAATACCGATACGAACTCATCGCTGCTACGATGTTGGGACAAGGCAAGAACATCTGGCAGGGTGAGATCGATGCAGCTGCAGAGTTGGCCGACTTCTTCCGTCTGAACTGCAACTATGCTGCTGAGCTGCTGGAGAAGCAGCCCGACCGCGGTACTGAGGGAATGTGGACGTGAGTGCAAGCCTTTTCATTTTGGGATGCTCGAATACTAACCCTTCTCTAGCCGTGTGGACTACAGACCCTTGGAGGGATTCGTTTACGCCGTGTCGCCTTTCAACTTCACTGCCATTGGCGGGAACCTAATTAGCGGCCCAGCTCTTATGGGCAATGTCGTCGTCTGGAAGCCTTCCGATTCGAACGTGTACGCGAGTGAGCTCGTCTACAAGATTCTCCTCGAAGCTGGCCTGCCTCCCAATGTTATCCAGTTCGTTACTGGTGACGCGCAGGAGATCACTCAGACGGTGCTTGGACGCAGAGAGTTTGGTGGCCTCAACTTCACCGGTTCCTCGGACGTCTTCCGTTCTCTGTATGCTCAGGTCGGCGAAAACATCGGCAAGAAGGTCTACCGGGACTACCCTCGTCTAGTTGGCGAGACCAGCGGCAAGAACTTCCACCTGGTTCATCCCACTGCTGATATCCAGAGTGCTGTTTACCATACCCTTCGGGGTGCTTTTGAGTACCAGGGACAAAAGTGCTCGGCGACGTCCCGACTGTACCTGCCTGAGTCTCGGGCACAGGAGTTCTTGGAGAAGTTGAAGTCCGAGATCAAGGAGATCACGATCGGGTCGCCGGAGGAGATGGGAGCTTTCATGGGCCCTGTTATCCACAAAGCATCTTTCGAGAAGATTAAGTCGGTCATCGATGCCAGCAACAAGGATCCATCCTTGGAGTTGATTGCTGGTGGTACCTACGACGGCTCAACCGGATATTACGTGCACCCTACTGTGTACCGGGCTAAGGACCCCAACCATGAGCTGTTCGACAAGGAGATCTTCGGTCCAGTGCTCGCAGTCTACGTCTATCCTGACGCCGAGTGGTCTTCAGTCTTGAAGACGGTCGACCAGAGTGGAGGTGGCTTTGCTTTGACCGGAGCTGTGTTCGCAGGTGATCGGCGTGCCATCCGCGAGGCCGAGGATACCTTGCGGTATTCGGCTGGAAACTTCTACATCAGTAAGTGATCATGCTGTTCTTCTCTATAAGTCACTACTAACAAGTTACGCAACAGACTGCAAGACTACTGCCGCCCTGATCGGACAACAGTCCTTTGGTGGCAGTCGCTCGAGCGGAACCAACGACAAGGCTGGAAGCGCCAATGTGCTTATGAGATTTGCCAGTCCCAGAACGATCAAGGAGGAATTCTTCCCCTTGAACGGCTTCCGGTACCCCAGCAACGAGTAATGGTTTGAAATCTATATAGGCGCCATGAGATATGACATTAAAAGTTGAGGATTGTGTAAAATTAGAACTCGCAATGATGAACGAACCACTTCATGCTATGTTTTCCATAAGTAGACAATAATCTCGTAATGCCTAATTTCAGCTGTAAGGACTGTCTCTTAGTATTGAATCAGGTGATCATGCGGTCTACTTCGACTCAGCTTGTTCACTTTATAACTTTATCTCAATTGTACCCCAGCATGCAAGCTCAGTAATCAACATCAATTTTCGTCAATCTTCAAACCAATGCATCCTCTTGCAAGAATGCCATCTGCTACTATCTACTCTCACCGTTTTCTGAAGCATGACTTATTGTCAGATGTGTGACTCAGCCAAAGTCCCTCCTCAAAACAAACTGGCTTCGAATTTGCCAGCTGCAAATGGAGCCCCCGCACCTCCTATCGGCTATCGCCGTGTATCCCCTCATGCAAGACCCACCGACTGATAATCTCTTTGGGGGCTACTCTAGATACAGGTTATCCATCCGATACAGCTATCTGCTAGCGTCACCGCCTATCTCCAGACCCTCGCATACACTAACCGGCGATCATCGTTCACGCTAACGCCTCCACCCTCCCTTATTCTCCAAGCTGACAATCCCCGCATGAACAGTAAGATAGTGTATCCGGTATGTATCGCCTGCGCTAACCCACAATTCAAGATGCACCAGACGCTCGAGCCACTCCGATAAGCTGCACGTTTCACTATGGCTGCCGTTGCTGGTATGTGCACTCCAATTCTGGTGGAGGTACGGCGGGGAGGCAAGTAAGTGCCGACCTGAGTTCACGATCACAGCATGCTACCTGGGCATGGTATGATTCATATGAAATGCTAATTAATTGCTGTGCTACTATTAGTATATAAGCCCATTGCAGCGCATCACCAACGAATCAATCTCTCATACTCCCACTCAGTGATCATCACTTGAGCTGACTCTTCCTCTCTCTCCCACTTTCAATTGTGCCCGCGTGTACCATCACAATGGTATCAACTTCCAAATCCGATCCCATCGCTATCATCGGCGCCGGTGTCTTCGGCCTCACCACGGCCCTCCACCTCTCCAGCAATGGCTTCACCAACGTCTCCGTGTTCGAAAGAGACAACCAAGTCCCAGCCCGCTATTCCGCCGGCCATGACATCAACAAGATTGTGCGCGCAGAATATGAAGACCCATGGTATACTGAACTGACACTCGTATGCCCCCTCTTTCAAAACCCCCATAACCATATAGCACACAACTAACACCTCCCCTCAACAGCAAGCCATCGAAGGCTGGAAAACCCCCCTTTACGCCCCACACTACCACCAAACCGGCTTCCTACACCTCGTCTCGGGCGCGGCCCCCGAAAAAGCCTCGCAAACAATGAACCGCTTCCTCGCCTCAATCCGCAACCACCCCACCTACAAAGGCAAAATATCCACGATCAAAACCCCCGCCGACATCCGTAACATTGCCTGGCAACTCACCGGCCCCCTCCCAGGCTGGAACGGCTACTTCAACCAACTAGCAGGCTACGCGCACTCCGCCAACGCCCTCCGCGCCGTCTACGAAGCGGCTGCCGCCCGGGGCGTGAAATTCTTCCTAGGAGAAGACATTGGCAAAGTGACTGAACTCATCTACTCCCCAACAAACAAGAAACAAGTAACAGGCGTCCGCACAGGGAACGGCAACACCTACCCCTGCAAACTCGCCATCGTAGCCATCGGCGCCGCAGCATCCACCCTTGTCCCAGAAGCAGGAGGCCAAGTCGTCGCGAAGTCTTGGTCCCTAGGCCACGTCAAGCTCACAGACGAGGAGACATCCATGCTCCGCGGCATTCCGGTAACCTATGCTCGCGATCTGGGATTCTACTTCGAGCCGGATCCGAAGACAAACCTGCTGAAGATCTGCCCGATGGGTGGCGGGTACATTAACACGGATCCGAAATCGGGGGTGTCGTACCCGCCTGCGACGTTGCAGGAGAGCGAGGGGGTGTTGCCGGCGGAGGATGAGAAGCGGATGAGGAGATTGTTGAAGGAGTCGTTGCCGCAGTTTGCGGATCGGCCGTTTGTGGAGAAGAAGCTGTGTTGGTTTGCGGATACGAGTGATTCGGAGTTTATTATTGATTTTGTGCCGGAGACGGAGGGGTCAGTTGTGCTTTGCTCGGGTGATTCGGGACATCTGTTTAAGATGTTGCCAATTGTTGGGGACTGGGTGTTTACGCTGTTGAAGGAGAGGAAGCAGGGCGTAGATCGGTGGAGGTGGAAGGGGGATAAGAAGAAGTCGGGTAAGTGGGAGGGCGATGTTAGTTGGCGGTTGGGGGAGACTAGGGAGTTTGAGGAGATAAGGCCTGCTCCGGCTCCGAAGCTGTAGGTCGAATTTTGCGGTGCATAAATTGGGATTCATGATTGCTATCGGTGTCATACAACTTCGTTTAGCTAGCTTCATATATCGTTAAATGGTGTAATTGAAAAGTCACAGCTACGACAATGCCAATTTCCAGTTCATCCGGCTGATTATCATTTGCCAATCGAACCCACTTCCACACTCATGAGGGTTCAAGTCTCGAAACTTCCAAACTGTCTCCGTGGCTTCGCGCACGATGGGGATGTTGCTGACTGGCCATGCGTGGGCGAGGTAAGTGAAGTAGTTGAGAACGCGTACCCGATCCTCGTCGGTGGTAGACAGACACCCTGCCAGGAACAGTGGCCACATCGGGAAGAGTTGCCGCTCCTGATCCTCCCGGATGACTTTGCCAATGTGGTCCAGGAGTTTAGCTAGCAGTGTCTGGAGGGCGGGCTGGGTTAAGGGGATGTCGCACGCCAGCTGCAAGTATAGGTCGGCAGCCATGCGAAAACACTCTCCGCAAGTTGTTAGATAGTCGCTATCTGGGGAATGTTCTTTAGGCAACAGGTCCAGCTCGCTTCGTAGGGACATGGCCCGCTGCATCATTTCCCCTTCGGAAAAGAAGGAGTTGCAGCCGTTGCGACGAAGCTTCTGTTTCTGGCCGACCAAGTCGGTTGCCCGTGCGATGATGTCGAGCAAGCTGAGGGAACAACCAAAATGGGGCTGTATTTCCGTCCGCTCGTCTGTGTAACTCAATCCTAGGGTTGTGCATTGCGAGAAAAAGTCCATGCCATGGTCGATTCCAGTCTGGGACTCAAGCAGACGTTCGGCATCCTTGTCAAGCAGATCATCATGGCAGCCCGTAGTGCGGAAGAAGACAGTACGAGACTGGAAGTAGCTCCGAGCGAAAAACAAAACCTCGGGATCAATCAAGCTAGAGCAGCTGTTTATAATGGCAAAGGCGCCCTTAGCATGGCGCACCCAATCCGGTTGGCAGCCTGAGGCAATTTCCAGTGTGCATAGAATGAGACAGGTCATGAGGGCCTCGCTTGCGTTACTAACATCCGAAAGAGCTTTTCTAAGTGACTGCAAGGCCAAGGATTTGTACGAAAGCGCTAGCTGTTCGTAGTTTATGTGTGTCGGTACTGTCTCGGCGCGACGGTCATTGGCGCTGACGGACAGAACCGCGTACAGCAACGGTCTCCGTCCGCAGCAAAAGGGGACGACCAGAGAACGAAACTTGTTCCTCGAATCATCACGAAAGACTCTCACTCTGCTGATTACCTGCAGGTCTGTGTATAGATTAATATGAGAAGTACCAGATGTGTCAATGACTCATTCACTCACAATATTGGAAGAGCTGCTGCTCAAGGGCACTGCAATCGACTAAAGGAGATGCAAAGACCGATCCCTCTAGTCTGACAGGGCTAAGTGCGTGGCCATTTACTTTCTTGGTGCGTGTATTATCTTTGTCTGCGGGTACAATTTCTTGGTTGTGCTCAGATGATAATAAGGCCACATCCTCGGCCGAAACGGAGATGAAGTGCCTCCGATTCTGCTTCTTTACAGGTAGCCGGTAGCCATTCGCTAGAACAGGTTATGATACAGTCCAAGCGTCAGATGCAAGGACGACCTACCAAGAGAGATCTTGAACCGCAGGTTGATCAGTTGCGAGTTCTCCGATAGGTACGGGCACTCGAATCCGCGCACGATACAGTTCTTGCAAGCCGGTTTCTCCTCTGGAATGGCGATTGGTCAGCTCAGATACTCCGTGGCACTAAGAAGAATAGGTACTAAATGTAGCAAGTTGTAGATCTTACCTCCGCAACGACGCTTGCGCTCTGAGATACCTTATCAGCACGAGGACATTGGGCAGCGTGGCCATGCAGGCGGCCCATTGATGGAGCGGATAGACTTACTCTTGCAAGCCAAACAGCCAGTTCGACTCCGGACGTTCATTCTGATTGATTGAAGACAATGCTAGTCAAGGACAGGGTGCAGCTAGCGAGATGACAGGAGAGAAGTATGAGTGGTTTCCGCGAGGGGTAATTCGGGAACAGGAAGGAAAGCCATCCAAGGACGAGGAGCTTATCAGCGGCGGCCACGGGAGTCACTGCTGAAATGCGGGGGTTAGCGGGTGATAAGGGATCCCTTCCTTTCTAGGGATGGCGCGCGGCTGTCATTCAGTCCCCGCCTCGTTGCCTTAATCTTTCTCGGTCGTTCCAGGGTCCAAATCACGTATAGAGGCGCGGGATTGCGTGCTTCACCTTATCTGGACTTACATCCTATTCAATATCTATCGTAGATTTCCTCGTACTACATATCAGAGTGATGAATATGTGATAATACATCGGTATCAATGTTGGACAGATCGTAAGACATCACTACTTGAGTCAAAACATCACTGCTTCATCGTTGCAACACCTCTTCGGGATTGCTTCTCCCGCAAACCCGAATAACAGTTCTCTAAGCTTCGTATCGTTGGAGTATAAAAGATAGGTTATGCTACGGGAACGTCTCTTTACACAAGGTACGAATACCACAAACACAATACAATCTGGGGATCCATGCATACAACAATAAAGTTGGATATTCTACTCGTGCCCAATCAACCCGACCTGCTCTCCGCCCAGCCCCATGGGGTCCTCGGCTGTTGCTTCATCCATAAAGAAATATAATTACGTGATAGTTTCCTCCGTGGGCACCGACATGCACGAGGCCGATGCTACTATATATAGTAAACATGTCGATGTACCAGAGTTTGTGCAGGCCGGGTGGTGCGGAGCCGGAACTTTGTTAAGGTTGTCCATAGTTATTATATTGTTGGTTATGGGTTTCCTTGGTAGACCTTGGTGGATACCCGAGTACATTGCTCAAATCATTGTAGTGGGGGAGCTAGGTGTTTCTCTTACAAGCCTTTGAACTTAGGAGAAAGTAGTAGGTCAATTATGAATATATTTACAAATAAAGGTACTAGATGAGAGTCTACACGCTACTCATGTTTCTTTGCTCCGTCTTGGGAATCAGAGCACGACGGTCCTCATCGCCTCTGGAGTGATGATCAACATCAGCATCCTTATCACTAGCCTCCTCGTCATCGTCATCATGCTCATCAAAGCCGTCATCAGAAGCGAGATCGAAGTCCTCCGCTTCCAGGCGATTGTACGCCTTACGCCTGCGCCACCACATAATTCCCGCTGCAATTGTCACCAACACAACAACGGTCAGCCCGCTCGCCAAGAAGACTACTGTATTTATAGACAATCCAGAGGGTATGTCCTGCGGGGGGATGAAGGTGGAATCAGGCTCATCGTAGGTGTCATGAGCGACTGATAAATCCGCTGTGTCCAGGTCCACGATTTCACTCGATCGGAGAACATTTCCCTGGCTATCCAAGGCTTCGGCCCAGATATAGCGCCAATCAGTCTCCCCAACTGTCAGCTTGGCTTCAAAGCCGGTCCGGCGTGATGCAACCAGTATTTCGCCTTCTTCGTCCAGATCCTCGCTGGCTGCTCCCCGGATAACCCAGTTGGCTACCTCGGTCGCTCCGTTCCAGCTAACGTACATGACCAACTCGCCATCTTCGTTTTTCCGTGGTGCGATGGCAGGGTCCCACCAGGGTGTGGCCGACCAGTCCATTTTATAGGCGCGGTAGTTGTCTAGCGCGTCCGGAATGTTGTCGCTATGCCACGGCGAAAACTGCACGTCCATGACTGTCTCGCCCGACGAGTTGTGCTCCGTAAACGTGGGACACCGCCCCCAGCCAATGAACACATTGCCCAGATCATCGGCAGAGGGCGATAGGGGCTGCATGCTGCCTTGGCTCTGGGCCTGAAGGTGGGATGGGTGATGGAATTCGCGTAGGAGTTGGACGGTCGGGGGTGAGGCAGTGTCATTGATAGCGATGTGCAGGCCGCGCGAGCAATCGGTGTCGCAAACGCCGTGAGAGGTGATCTTGACATGGTTGTCAAATAAGGTCATTTGGGTCTCGTCGGTTCCCTCAACGAAGTGAGCGTGATGCTGCCACTGCATTGACAGCAGGGGTGCAGCTGACTCGGCTTCTTTGGCGCGGGGCAACTCGAGAAAGTCGTTGCGTTTGCCGCCCATTGTCCATATGATGTCGCCTGTTTTTCCGTTGATGAGGTAGACAGCGTGCAAGTGACGAATGGAAATGAGATAGTTGCCTGCTTTGGTCTAGAACCATGGCATGTCAGAGAGTGTTTACAGGTCGTCGGGAGACGTATGTCATTCTCTTACCTTCTGGATGCTGTTCATGTGATATGCATCCCATCCTCTGCCCATAGGCTCGTAGGAGTCCATGGGGTTAATGTGATCAAGCGCTCGCCAGTCGAAAAGCACTTCATTAGTCTCGAGGTCGATCTCCTGGAAGATAGAGTCCAGGACCTCGAATCTGGGGGGTGTTATCCAGCCTTTATCCAGAAAGTCTGACGCATGGGCGTTGATCGCGTTGACGCCTGTGACCAAAGCTGTTCCGTTCCCTGTGAATGCAAACTCGTGGAGGTCGCTGTGCACTTTGATATTCTGTGCCCATATTTTGTAGACCAAGCGGTAGGTGTCGTCGTAGGCGAGCCCATAGCCATCACCTATCCCATCGCCTTTCTCTCCTTCCCAAAAAGTCAAATACTTCTTGCCGAAATTCTCTTGGACGCGGGTACCGAACACATTCTTGAAGGTCCGATTCATATAGACGGCACTCAAATCGTGGGCATCCAAGATGAGCGGCGACGAGAGTGGCGAGGAGTCATTACCATCATGTTTGATGAATATGTGGGACCCCGTCTCGGAGATAGCATCCTGATCCCATATGTTGACTTGTAGGAGGGGCGCATATTCGGAGCTGGAATGAAATTCCAAGTGAGGACGGTGTCCTAGCGCTCCGTCGTTGTACTCTTGGTAGTTTGTGGATACATAATCTCCGCAGGCTGTCTGAGCGAGCGCGGCAATGCACGCCCAAATAAGGGGAGGAATCATTGTTAACCCGACACAAGATGTGACAGGCGACGGGAAATCAGCTCCAGCGACATTGCCAGAAGGAAAATTTGAGGTTGAGTCGCCTCAAATGTATTTGGAGGACGCCAGCCATGCTAAAAGGCAGGCCGGGGTTTTCTTAGGAAGGGAACACACGTCCAATAACGGCTTAACGAACGGACTTGTGTACAGCGGACTCTGTAGCTTGCGTACGCGTCTTCTGGTCATGGCGCCTGTTCTCCAGGCCACGCCTCCCACCCAGGGGTGGCCGGAATTGTGGGACAGCGATCCACGGACAAGAACCGAAAGCTACTAGCATAATAAACTAATTGGATAGTAGACTGGGGGTAATCAAATCCACACGCGACCAGTGCTCCGTGATATTCCGCGCATGCCTTCAGTATAGAAAACTGAATAGAATCGAGATGCCGTACTCTGATCGACGTATCGCATCGGCGATTCGCCAGCCCCGGGCTCTCGACTCGGAGGATGTCGCTGACCTCGCCAGATTCTGCTGATTCGTGTGCCCGATGGGGCTTTGAGTGGATCCCATTCGTTATCTCCTGGTTCCGTTCGGATATCTCGGTTGCCACTAAACTAAATTCTGTGCTTCAAGGCCGACATCTGGAGCTTTCCGGCAACCAATTCGTTGCATGACGTGGCTCATGACGGCCACGCGACACTCATGGAAAATTTTTTGACCGTAGAGGCGTGTACTGTTTTGCACATCTTTTCTGGGTAAGGACAAGGGCGGCGTTTGGCACCTGTTGCGGCCGTCAGGGGAACCTCGCCTCGCCTGTGGTTCCGGCGGAGAAACTAAGTAGCAAGCGCTTGGCATTGCGCAAGGAGATAACGATTCGCATTGCTAGAACTCACCATAAAAGTGTACAGCCCAGGCATACTCAAGCGGGCTATTTATAGAGAAACAAGAACGCTGTGGATGTGTATCGGATGGCTTCGATCTTGAAGTTCCTCGAAAACGGAGCCATCCAAAACGGGAATGGTCTCACCGCCTGCCCATGTGCCCAAAATGTGGCGGATACTAGGGATATATATAGCACTAGTAGTTTACCATGCAACCACTAGGTTACGGCTGGATATATATATCCAAACTAAATCACTTCCGCTTCATTCAGGATTGGTTGAATTAGATTTAAGGTTTTCAGACCAGAGGGCGATGTTAAGTTATCATGTACTGTAACCTATAGATCTTATGGGCCGTGTTTTAGCCCCAGGTAATGAAGGCTGAATCAAACCGGTTTTGGACACATGCAAGTTCATCACAAGCAAGATAGAAAGGTCTAGTCTTGTGGCACTTATCTATATCGAAGAGTAAGGCCGGCCGGCAAGAACTGTACTGGTTACTTTAGTTCCAATACATTCATCTCACTTAGTCCTGTCACATCTGACGTTGCCTTTCGAGATATTTAATTGTTCACTCATAGGTTTGCTACGGATACATGTGGGCAAATGACGAAATGAATTTCTTAGGCCTTAAAACTATCAGAAAACTGTGTCTCTAACCTTGACCACGTTTCTTTTGCGAGATCCCTCTTCTCATGTCTCCGGCGCTCATGTTCATCCCTAACACGGACAGACGCTTCTCACAACCCCTCTATGTCTTCTGAGGGAAAAGTAGCCTACTGCCACTGGCATAGCAATGTAAAGATGGTTTCGGTTACTACGAGGTCATCTATAAGCTAGGTTAAGGTAGCTACTCTCTGCTTGGAAGTTATCTAGAGGCTAGATATGTAGTGTTGACAATGTTACCGCTGCTACCTACAAAGAGTGCTTGAAAAACAAAGCCCTGCGTTCGTTGAGAATCGGGGAAGCAGATCACCATACCCGTGTTCATGTTCCGTCTTTGTGAGATAAATTCTCAGCTTATCGACAGAATGGCTGCCACTTGTGTATTGTGAGCGAAGCAGCCGGGCGTAGTTTTGCGCAATTAAAATAAACTATCAGACTTGGAAGTTCCCCTTCAATGTGGCGTGAGCTATAACAGCTCAGCTTCTACAAGGATTGGATTATTCTCACTCATAATGCGGGTTCTTGAGTGCTGCAGTGAACCGGAATGGATAAATGGAAGGTGTTGACCAGCGATGAGCAAAGCAGGCGTTGATATTTAGACCTAAAACATATCAGATTTCCGGCTGTCATTCGCAAAGAGGCGTCCTGGTCCTCGATTCTTAGCCTTTTGGATCCGCCAAAATAATAAGGTACAATTCTGTGACCACTGCAGAGTAGTGAAAATGCTACATTTGGAACATATAGGCATTATTATGTTCTCGGGGTTTTTCTAATAGATAACGAGGTCGGAAGGCATCATCAGATACCTGCCTGTCTGTTCACATAATAGCTCCAAATACCCAAGAGCCAGTCGGCCGCTCGATAGCTTCAAGGACCGCAACAGACAGATGGGCAATTTCTGCAGGTTTTTAAACCTCATAACGGACATGAAGTGATAACGATCGGCCCATGGAGCCATTAGTGTCAGATGAACCTGAAACGCAGTGTAGAGTCTCTGGTGGGCTTCATCTATGAATTCGCAGTGACCCGGGGAAGGTTAGTAGTGGAACAGATGCAGTAAGCAGCAAAACTAAGGTGTTGGTCACACATGCCTGCCCACTAAGTAGACTCGGTCATGTGGGATTGGCGGTCAATGGTTTAGGATGTTCGTCAGCTTCCTCCTGCTGTATATTACGGATGTCCCTCGCATGGTTTCATTCAGCATACCACGGTAATTAGTATGAGAAACGCACCTTATGAAAGCACTCCTCCCGTAGTCTCTTCCATTTTTTCTCTTGACCAAAGCACTTACTCACGGCATAGGGAAGAAAATGATCATGGCAAGGTCTCGATATCCACATCAAATTATACGGTCTTCGAACCCTCATATCGGAACATCGTGGTCGTTCAAGAGCAACAAGTTGTAGACCTCGCTTAGACTAGATGAGAATGGCCAAGCACCCGTTTGTCTCGCACGTCCAACACTATTGACATGGTAGGGCTACCGGTTCCAAGTCTACCCCTCACTCAACAAGCACCAACTCAGGATCTGGCCGAAACCCAGTCATTTCTTTGCCGATGGAATCGACCAGACACGTCAATTAGATAATTTTAAGTACAAACGGAAGCGTAATTCAGCAGTGATACATGAGTAAGAAGATTACTGATAGGACCGGTGTTGTAGAGGGCACCAATGAGCGGCGTCCCTCTGTTCCAAGTGGTCATCTTATCAGCTCCCAAGACCTACTTATCCCTATCATTGAGGGGACAAATGCACCCCGCAGCCTGCAATCCAAGGTATAAAGATGTCCCTTCGTATGCCAACAGTTTCTTCATCTCCAATATCTCTTCAATCTCTTCAACTTTCACATACCATGTCCAACCTCCTGTGCAGGACACCGGTTGGCCAAAAGGCACGAACCTGTGTCATCACAAGACCTACTCTAATCCTTCATTCTCTCCGATATTGCTCTACGGGGACTACTTTTGAAAAGGTTCCCAGCATTTTCTCCTCAGTTGCCAAGTCACAAGCTACAGAGAAGCCCTCCTCTGCGCCACCTCATTCGGTCCTCCCTACCAAGACTCTCCTGCGGTCTCTCCTCGTGACCACCATCTCCTCCCACCAAGCTCTCCTCGTTCCTTGTCTGTCTATCCTCTCTTTCCTTACCAAGCCCCGAGGTGTCTTGCTAGATGTGGACCGCAACCCTCTCATCCATTGGTTCCTCAAGAAGACATTCTACGATCACTTCTGTGCGGGGGAAAAGGAGAGCCAAGTCCGGGATAAGATCCGCCAAATCAAAAGTACAGGACTCCGAGGAGTCATTTTGACCTACGCGCGGGAGACGGTGCAAGATTCCAGCACGAACCAAACCCAATTCGCACACAGCCAGGTATCCCAAAAGGCAACCGACACAGAGTCATGCGAGTTCATCGCCGCCTGGCGGGAGGGTTACCTGAAGACAGTGGACATGCTCGGCGAAGGTGACTTCCTTGCCCCAAAGTAAGTCGACCCCCCAGAGTCCAGGGATACCTTCACCGGACAGAAAGATAGGAAAATGAATGCTGATCCCTGCTATCAGGCTCACTGGAGCCGGACCCAAAGTCACAGAGGCCTTTGCCTCCGGACAACCCGTCCCCACACAAATGGTCGAGGCCCTAGATGAAGTGTGCCAACGGGTAGTCGAGAAGAACGCCCGTCTCCTCATGGACGCCGAACAGCACTCCTTTCTCCAAGGGATCCACAGCCTCACATTGGACATGATGCGCAAGTACAACCGAAACGGCAAGGCCGTAGTGTACAACACATACCAGGCTTATCTCAAAAGTACGCCGAGCACGATAGCGTCGCACATGGAGATAGCAGACCAGGAAGGATTTACGTTTGGATTGAAGCTGGTGCGGGGAGCGTACATGAGATCGGACCCGAGACAGCTCATCCACGATACGAAGCAAGATACCGATATCGCGTACAACTCCATCGTGCGGGGCGTCTTGCAGCAGCGCTATCAGGGTTTCGGAGAATCCGGACGCAGGTTTCCCACTACTGATTTGTTTCTGGCTACGCATAACATCGAGAGTGCTGTGGCGGCGCATGAGCTGCACCAGGCTCGGTTGCAGGCGGGGCTGTCCACTGGCCGAGTGGAGTTCGGACAGCTGCTGGGGATGGCGGATGGGGTAAGTTTCGGGCTGTTGCAGTTGAAAGATCAGAACAATGTGGCTCCCGGAGTGTACAAGTGCTTGACTTGGGGTAGTATGGGAGAGTGTCTGGGTTATTTGGTGCGGAGAGCAGCGGAAAATAGGGATGCAGTTTCACGTACTATGACTGAGCATTTGGCGCTTAAGGCGGAGGTGAAGAGGCGAGTTAGGGCTTTCTTTGGGTAGATTGTTGGGCTGTATGTATGGAGTATGACCGTGATGAATGAATGTTTTTCCAATTCAATGTCCTTCTAGACTACCCCTCCACAAGCTCCTACATCATCCTTGTAAAGCTGCAATCTCAGGATATTTTTCCCAACCATGGCATCTGTAGCCGATGCAAGGTGGTCATCCAAGGATGCACAGTTACAACGGTAATCAATTGAGCGAGCTGATAAACTCGACCGTTATCGGCCGGTGAGGAACGACTAGGTTTTACTAGGCCATACGGAGAAGTGTAGTTAGAATAGCCGCCAGCCTGCAGTGCGACCCACAGATATCCGGGTGGAGCTGGATATACTTCGTTCACACTTTGGAGTCATTGATGCAATGAGGGGTAGTGATGAGGGGTGCTGTCATGCCTTCGTTCAGTCAATTTCCCACGTCTTGTGTTTCTTTTTCCTTCAGCGCGATCAAGTAACCTCAATTATCTCTCGTGACACTTATTACCTCTCAAACATCACACATACACACTGCCATCTACCTGCAATACATCCATCTATCCCACCGAATCGAACCAACAACCACAACCACAACCACCATGTCTACACCAGAAAACACCCTCGCCATTCTCGGCTGCGGTACATCCATTCCCTAACCCTGCATACACACCCATCCATCAATCCAATTGACGAACCAACCACAGGAAAAATGGGCATCGCCATCCTCAACGGCCTGTTAAACACCACCACCACTACAGAATCCACCACCAACACCCCCCTCCCAACGCACTTCAGCGCCACCGTCCGCAGCACCTCCTCCCTCACCACCCTCCAATCCCAATTCCAATCCCATCTCACCACCTCATCCCTAACCATCCACTCCTCCACCCACAACCACGCTGCCATCACCTCCGCCTCCACCATAATCCTCGCCTGCGATCCCACCGATATCCCCTCCCTCCTCAGCGACCCCTCCACCAGATCCGCCCTCTGCAGTCCTCCACCCACCTCATCCCCAAAACTCCTCATCAGCATCGCCGCCGGCTGGACCGTCTCTTCCCTGCGCGAGCTCCTCTCCCCTCCCCAAGAATCTATCTTGTACATCCTCCGCGCGCTGCCCAATATCTGCGCCACTATCTCCCAGTCTATCACGGCCATCGAGCTTCCCTCTGAAGAGGTGCAATTGAGTGCTAGGACTCGTGTGCCGCAAGCGTTGATTTCCCTGACGGAGGGGATTTTCAGTAGGATAGGACGCACGGTGCAGGTTAGGGCTGATCAGATGGATACGTTTACGGTGCTTGGGGGGTCCACGCCTGCGTTCATAGCGGTGTTTGTGGAGGCGTTGGTGGATGGGGGCGTCGCGATGGGGTTAGGGAGGGAGGAGGCGCGGATGACGGTTGCGCAGGTGTTGAGGGGCACGGGGGATTTGTTGCTTGGTGGGGAGCATCCGGCGTTGCTGAAGGAGAGGGGGACTTCGCCGGGGGGGTGTACTATGGGGGGACTTTGTGTGTTGGAGGAGGGAGGGTTTAGGGGGTTGGTCGGGAGGGCGGTTAGGGAGGGGGTCACTGTGGCGGAGGGGATGGGAAGGGGGGTGGGGTTGGTTAATGGGACGGGGAGGAAGTAGATATTACTTATTGATAGTGATGTGATGTGATGTGATGTGTTTGGGGGGATGGGGGGTTATATGTTTGATCATAAAGTTGTTTTATTCAAGGTTGTAGTAGGCAAGATTGTACTATGTATCCAATTGTATATCTCGCAGTGTCCTCCAGAACCAAAGTACAGAAGTAAAGTATTATGAAATGGGTCCCCTTCCCCATGATTTAAAGGCATCCCCCAGGACCCATTAAAGGTTGACAAAAAGCATGTGCAAGAATTCAAACACTCGTTACTCATTATCGTGACTGGAAGAATCACCTGAATTATCCAATGATAGAGTAGGAGAAAATGGCGGGACATATATAAATCAGCAGATCCTCTTGAGAGTGCTGTGAGTAGCTGGCTTGTGTTCGATGAATCCCCGCGCTCTCTCTGGGTGTGAGTGGCCGGCTCGCCAATCTGGAACGCTCAAGAATAGGAAGGAAAGTAATAAGAAGCACGTCATGCTTAGAAGATGAGATACAATGAAGTACTGATCGATAACAAGGCTCGTTATAGGATCCGAGAGGTGTGAAGTCACTGGTGATAGCGTGCTCAAGAGTCCGTGTCCGGTCGGGATTTGTAACCCACTTCATGTCGAAGAGCCACATCGGTTATGGCAGAAGCAATGTAGCGAGACATTACGCAAGATTTCGGTGCGTGACAACACGCAGTTGATGGTAGAGTGGGGCGTCAAGAGCCCTTCGATAGAGACCAAGACAAGTGCCGTAAACGCTGCAAGACATGGCGGGATTACCTTGCGGTCCAAGCAAGTCTGTTACCATGAATGGCTTCAGAAGCCTGTCATGGTAGGGTGAAGGATGTACTTGGTAGAAGTCACTAGCGGTTGCGCTTGGAACGCATGAGCGGTCGTCGCCGGGACGACAGAGAATGACCTGACGTAAAAGCAATCAACAGCGGCTATTCGATCAGAAATCAGCAAAGAGTGCCTCATATTTGTCTCTCAAATCATCGGTGTAAAGGCTCTGGTTCTTCACATCTGGATCGGGATATTCTTCGAAATTTCCGGTGTCCGCGGGATGATCGACTCGAGGGATGATGGGTCCCTTGATGCGGCGGTAGAACAGGTCATCCCAGTTGATGTCTTCGAAAAAGGGATGCGTTTTGACTCGAGCTGAACCCCCGGAGATGTAACCCAAACGCTCAGTTGGGTTGGTCTTGCATAGCAAAGATATGATGTTCTGGGCTGCAGGCGACATGTTCTGAGGATACCGTATATGACCCTCGACGATCTGCTCGTAGATGCGCATCGGGTTTTGGTCCCAGAATGGCGGCTGTCCCACAAGGAACTCGTAAATTAGGATACCAAGAGCCCACCAGTCTACAGCAAGGCCGTGGCCGCTGTTATGAATGACTTCTGGGGCGAGATACTCGGGGGTTCCACAGAGCGTATAGGTCTCATGGTCGCCAACCTGTTTTGCGAACCCAAAGTCAACCAGTTTGATGTGACCCTCGGCGTCAAGCAGGATGTTTTCCGGCTTGAGATCTCGATAAACAACCCCCTCCACGTCATGAAGAAACTCGATAGTTAACGCTATCTCGGCTGCGTAGAACTTGGATGTGTTCTCGTTAAAGCGTCGTGCACGTCGTAGGTAGCTAAATATCTCGCCTCCAGGGCAATAGTCCAACTATGACGACATTAGTCTTCCATCGCGATAATGCCACGGGTTTCACTACGCGGAATGAGGATTGGTTGCGCGTGGCAGAACACTGATGGGTCTAGGCTTCGTACCAGCATGTATAAATTCTGGTCATCGGAGAAGGAGGCAATCAACGTCGTGATGAAAGGATGACCGGAAACATCCGCGAGAGTCTTCCGTTCGTTGCGGACATGCTCGACTTGCTTCAGCTTGATCACTGTCATATTATGGAACACGAACAGTTAGCCAGGTGCTGCTGCTACAGGAATAGTCACAATCACATACCATCTGCCTTTCGGAGTATCTTCAGCGCGTAGACCCTGTTCTTGCGTTGCCTTTCGTCGTTTAACTTCACTAACCACACCCGAGCGAATGTGCCTGGGCACAAGAATCGCCGCCGTCAGACACTGGCTAGGTTGCGCAAGCGACGAAGCTAAGCTTACCTGTGCCCAGTGTCTTCAACAGTGCGAAGTCATTGACATTCAACCGACGAGTTGATATCCCCAGCTGTTTCTCTTCAGCACGACCAGCGATGACGAACGGACTCAGTCGACGCTGATGAGGCGGTCGGACAGAAGCCACTATCTCCTTTTCCCTCTCGTGGATATCTTCCGACCCCATCTTGAACTGGCTAGTTGGGACTGAGAATCTTTGCATGTCGTTAGCGCATCGATCGGTTTGGTGACCCAGGAAAATGGCAAGGGATCCTGTCGCGGAGGACCGCGGGGAGAGGGGGAAGGTGTGGGGAGAAAAACAAGGAGTCGCTGGGGTAGCAATTGGGCGAGTACCGGGTCCCTTAAAGCTGGTAGAGAAATGCAGGCGAGTTATTATCGCACATAGAGATTGATCAGGGGAACAGCAACGGCGCGGGGATTCGCAAGAGGATTTTGCGGGATGGAAGAGCTTTGATGAGGCCGGTCTGGTTCTCATCCAGCCGGCGGCGCTACGGGAAAGAAGAGACTCTGACGTTACCGGCCGGCGGGGCAGCCACTGGCCTGTGTGTTCGAGTCCGCTGCCGGTCATTAGCCATCACCCCGCTGCTCGGCGGTTGCGATCTTCTTTTGATAACTTAAAAATGATCTAGTTCCTGCAATAGAAAGAGAGAGATAGGTAATGACATTTCAGATAACGTATATGCTATTTCGACACTCCAGCAATGTACTAGTACAAGACACCAGACCTCCCCGGACGAAAGGCATCAATACCAGTGTCAGCGCCAACGACTGATTGGTCCCTGGACAATAAACAGAACTGCCTCTCCTTGATCGCAATCTCTGCACTCATCTGTACAGCAGTAAAGTTTCTATAGGAGACAAAATACGTCCCCTGGTGGACGTGAGTGGCCAAGAACCGGGAACACCAAGCGCAACATGCAGAACCCGCTCAGCCAGAGCTTTTGGAGTTGAGAATCAAGCCAACAATCAATCTATGGGAGTAAGTATGAAATCTTGTCTGCTGTAGTGGATGTGCACATACCCGTAGAGACCAAGAACCTCGCCAAAAATCAAGATAAGAATCATACCGACATAAACTCGAGATTGCTGCATGTACGCACGAACACCCTGTATCCATCATTAGCAGCTGTGCACTCCCATCCAGAGATTCCTCGCAATGACTGCTTACCGCATCTCCGACAACTCCAATAGTATAACCGGCAGCCACGCCTGCGAGGCCAACCGACAACCCCGCAGCAAGGTGCATGAAGCCACTTTCAAAACAATATCATCAGACAACTTTATTTATGAGCTGAGGCGGAATATCGGGAAACGTACGTGTAAAGGCTCATATGCTTGTTCGGGGGAGGATCCATGTCACCGGCAATGAGGACCGAGATGACGAGGCCGTAAACTGCAATAATACCGGACATGACAACCGGAATTAAGGACTGCACAGGTTAGCACAAGCAAATATAATGCGATAAAACGCGACACAAAGCTAAAACAGGTCTAATATACCTTCATGATCAGGTCCGGCCTGAAGGTTCCCACTCCGGAGATACCAATTCCTGACTTCGCCGTTCCATATGCGGCTCCCATTGCTAAATGAAGTGAGCTGAGATGTTCTCGTAACAATTAATCAATACCTCCAGCTTTGCGAGTCGACATACATCCGAAGATCATCTTTGGAGAGGTGGTTAGCGTGCGGTGATCGGAACGGGTGGCGTGTAGTTGATACTCACAGCTGCCGCAATACCTGCCTGTTTTGGTGAGTTAGCAAATGATATTCGTCGCGTCATAACTTCTGCGAAGAGGTATAATAAAGGAGCAACGTACGAAGGAAAAGAACGGAGCGAACTTGGGGGAGAATTCGCTGTCCGCCATGATGACCGTATCCACCCAGGAAGCACGAGGATCAGGAGAGAGAGAGAGAGCAAGGGAAGGGGGGGGAAGAAGAGGAGGAAAGAAAAACAAAGAAGCGGACAAGTAAGAGCCTGGACAGGTGAAACGAATCCTTGGCTAAAGCAGAAGAAATCCGAACAGTATCGTCTCCAGACGTCCGTCGGAAGCAGCCAGCTGGATAGACACGATAGCTTGGCAGGTCGGCGGAATGCGAGGTTGACCGAAGTTGTCCGCCCGGGCCACCGTATAGGAGAAGTGGCCTATCCGGGTTAGGAGTGACATGTGCCTGTTCGACCCAACAACCCCCGTGCTCTTCCTTCTCCTACACGGCCGCCGGTCCCATTCTTCACCAACTTCCCTGGCAATCATAATAACTGACACCTGCCTACTTCTCCTACTATCCACTACTGCCTCCCTCCCTCTCCCCACTCTCTACTTCACTCTCTCCCTCCCTCTATAACCTTAAAACACTTTCCCTCCCCCTCCCCCCTCCTCCCTCCACCCATCTTGCCTGGCCTTACCCCCTCAGATTCTTTCCTCTCCCTCTTCCCCAGGCACGCCACCCCCCAGTCTCGATCGAGCGATCCCGCCCGAGGGAGCATGCTGAGGTTATGAACTTGCAGGGGCCCTGGCTTGCCGTTGCGCTCAAGGCTCCTAGCGCACTTGGATCGTTAACACACCACGCGGTCTCGACACCCTCTCCAGGCTTTCAAATCGCACCAACACCTGAACACCAAAAGGCATGATATATTGAGGGGGCTTTTGTGTGTAGAGGCTTTTCTTCTCCTATTCGAATTTTATTCTTGTCTTATTTTACTCTTGATTCCGCTTATAAATTATCGCCCCGTGGAGTATCTCATTTTCTTTTTTCCCACCCGCGCTCTCCTCCTTCTCCTTACTCCACGATTCGAAACGATCTCCTCGCGACGCTCTGCACGCTCTCTACGACCGGATTCGATACCCTCCCTTCTTCCCACCTTTACCTCACCCGCCTCTCGCCTCGTGTGATCCATCTTCTTGCCACCTTTCGCCGAAGTATCCCCAGAGTGAGGAGTAAAGAGGGGGCTACATACACACCATGGCCGATTTAGGGGGTCAGCAAGGCCGGAACTACCGGCCTTACGGGCATCCCTCCGCTTTTCAACGTGATGCTGCATTTTCCGAGATTTTCGGCGGAGCACCGGGACGCTCGCAGACGATGACCTCCCAGACTCCCCAGTTCTCTCAAGATCGGGCCCATACCATGTCTTCACACGTGCCCCATCCGCAAATGCAGAGGGGTCCGCCACCACCCGCGCGCCAGATGCAGAATGGATACCCCCCGGGCACCCCCAACGGTTATTATCAACCGTACGGCGGAAGCGCAGCTACAATGACCTCCCAGCACCCTTCCCAGAATCCTCCCCGACCCTATCCCGGGCGCTCTGCTTACCCTCAGCCGCAGAGGCTTGATTCGAGGCCGAACCATGGGCCACAATATCCGGATGCAAAGGGTTATGCTCGACAAGTGCCCCACCCGGCCCTCAACTCCGACGCTTACAGATCAAGGTCAATGGCAAGATTGGGAGGGCCACCGATATATCAGCCACCATCCAGTGGCTTCAACCACACCTCGGCAACCTATTCCCGTCAACAGCCCTATAATCCAGGCGCCGCCCCTATGACACCTCAGGGACGTGTGGTTCCGGAGAGGAATCAGAACGAGCGCTCCATGTCATTGACCACTTACTCCACTGACCGCGACCACGCTCATACAACACAAACTGGACGGGTCATTCCTCCCAGGCGACAGCCTTCCGGCCCTAGCCCACCCCCGGAAGCTTCGTATCCAGCGGACGTGATTAATGCGTATGAGGTCAACGGAAAGTCTCGTCCCCCTAGCGATGGTTCCATGAACTCCCGCACCATGTCCATGGCATCCACTGTTGTTCCGGATCGTACTATGAGCATGCAAAGTCAAATTGCTCCGAAACCTAGTAACACGTCGACTCTTGTCCCAAGCAATTCCCGTCGGAGTAAGGTACCGCTAGTTTACCCAGCCCTGCTTTCGAAAGTGGCCGATGTCTTCCGTGAGAGGATTACGCTCGCTGAACGGCAAAAGAACGGATTGTCGTATCAGAATGCGTTCTCCGGTGCAGAGGCGGTCGATTTGATCGCCTACATCATCAAGACTATGGATCGCAATTTGGCTCTGCTGCTGGGACGCGCTTTGGATGCGCAGAAGTTCTTCCACGATGTGACATATGACCACCGTCTGCGAGATGCTCCCGGTGAGCTTTACCAGTTCAAAGAAACCATGGGGGAGGAAGCGCCCAGTTCGGAGGTAAATGGAGTGTTCACGCTATTGACTGAATGCTACTCGCCGACTTGCACTCGCGACAGCTTATGCTACTCGATTGCCTGTCCTAGGAGGCTAGAACAGCAAGCTAGATTGAACCTCAAGCCACAACCGGGACTCCGTTCGTCTGCCTCCAAGGGCAGTTTGCACGGAGACGATGATGATAATGATAACCAGAAGTTGTGGATTAATATGGTCCCTAAGGAGATTTCTGATGGCATTGACGACCGCGAGAAGAAACGCCAGGAGATCATTTTCGAGATTATGTACACCGAGCGCGACTTCGTCAAGGACCTCGAGTATCTACGAGACTTCTGGATGAGGCCACTGCGTTCGGCAGGCAATGCTAATCTTTCGCCAATTCCTGAGCATCGACGGGAGAAGTTCATTCGCACGGTATTCGGAAACTGCTTGGAAGTCTTGAAGGTCAACGGCGGACTATGTGAGGCTCTGAACGCACGCCAGAAGGAGAATCACGTCGTTAAGACAGTCGGCGATATCTTCCTGCAACACGTGCCACGCTTTGATCCATTCATCAAGTACGGTGCAAATCAGCTCTACGGAAAGTACGAGTTCGAGAAAGAAAAGGCATCAAACCCGGCTTTTGCGAGGTTCGTTGAGGAAACAGAACGTCTCAAAGAGTCACGGAAGCTGGAATTGAACGGTTACCTGACCAAGCCCACCACTCGTCTGGCAAGGTACCCCTTGCTTCTGGAGCAGGTTGCCAAGAACACGGCGGACGATAATCCTGACAAGCAAGACATTCCCAAGGCTATCAAGCTCATCAAAGATTTCCTGTCCCGCGTCAATGCTGAGAGTGGAAGGGCTGAGAACCACTTCAATCTTGTGCAGCTCAATTCAGCCTTGAAGTTTCCCCCGGGCGAATATGTCGATCTGAAGCTGACGGAAGAGAACCGTCAGATGCTGACGAAGATGGCTTTCAAGAAAACGCCAACTGACAGTTCTGAAGTTACTGCATACCTTTTCGATCATGCGGTTCTCCTGGTGAGAATCAAGATCGTGAACAAGCGAGAAGAGTACCGAGTTTATCGGAAGCCCATCCCTCTCGAGCTTCTGGTCATTGCTCAAATGGACGAGGTGATCCCTAGGGTTGGTGTCGCTAAGAGGCCCTCCTCTAGTCTGCTCTCCAACAAGGCTGCTGCAAACCCGCCCACGACTAAAGATGGCCTTCCCATCACTTTCAGGCATCTTGGTAAGGGGGGATATGAGCAGACTCTGTACGCCACTTCTCCTACGCAAAGAAGGAAATTCATCGAGATGGTGGAAGAGCAACAACGGAAACTTAGGGAGCGGAACAGCAACTTCTATAATAAGACTGTCCTTTGCGAGAAGTTCTTTACCTCTGTCAACCGGGTGAATTGCCTTGTTCCGGTTGGTATGTTATTACTCTGCCCTCATAACTGCCGATATATTTGCTAATGGTCTTTCTGGTAGACGGTGGCAGGAAGCTCGTCTATGGTACGGACAGCGGCATTTACTTGTCTGAGCGTTGGCCTAAGGATAAATCGGCTAGGCCTAGACGAGTTCTTGACGTGAGCCAGGTTACGCAAATGGACACCTTGGAAGAGTATCAACTACTCTTGGTCCTGTCGAATAAGACGCTCTCATCCTACCCAATGGAGGCCTTGGAAATTAGCGAAAGTCAGAACACAGTCGCAAAGCGTCCCAAAAAGATCCAGGGACATGCCAACTTCTTCAAGGCAGGTATTGGACTGGGTCGTCATTTGGTGTGCTCCGTCAAGACTTCGGCTCTGTCCACAACGATCAAGGTCTACGAGCCTATGGATAATTTGGCGAAAGGCAAGAAGAAGTCTGCGGTCAGCAAGATGTTCCAGAGCGGCCAGGACAGCCTGAAGCTCTTCAAGGTGCGTCTACTTTCTATATCTGTCCTCGTGAGTAGCATTTTAACAGCCAGAGCAGGAATTCTACATCCCCGCCGAATCGTCGTCGATACATTTCCTCCGTTCCACCCTTTGCGTTGGCTGTGCACGTGGTTTCGAAGTTGTGAGTCTGGAAACAACTGAGACTCAGTCACTTCTGGATCAGGCCGACACCTCGCTCGACTTCGTTGCACGCAAGGAGAACGTCAAGCCGATCCATATCGAGCGTATGAATGGAGAGTTCCTGCTCAACTACAGTGACTTTTCTTTCTTTGTCAACCGCAATGGTTGGCGCGCACGCCCAGACTGGAAGATTTCATGGGAAGGTAATCCTAACGCTTTCGCCCTCTCGTACCCTTACATTCTTGCTTTCGAACCAAATTTCATTGAGATCCGGCACATTGAGACGAGTGAATTGGTCCATATCATGACCGGAAAGAACATCCGCATGTTGCATTCTTCCACACGAGAGGTAAGCCGTCTCCATTAACGTTATGTCTACATGCAGCACTAACCACTATTCAGATTCTGTATGCCTACGAAGATGAATCGGGCGAGGACGTGGTAGCCAGCTTGGATTTCTGGAACAAGCCGCAACACTAGGCCCGCTGATATAAGAAGAGGGAGGGAATACGAGAAATAACTCATGCACCTTGACTGCTTTTGACTGCACTTTAGAACGGCCCTATGATGGTCGCAAAGCGCATATATCCACTGCATCCTTTTTTTTCTTTGAAGCTCAGTTTTCGCTGACCTTTGCGGCCACTTTTACTTTCTTGAGCTGTTCCGAGGATCTCCTTCTTATAATACCTCCATGTTGTCACTTCGATCTGTCACCATCAGATCAGCTTGATCAAATTATCTTTGTACAATGAAGCGCATCAATACCACATGCTTATCCAACTCTTATTTTCCACATGCTTGCTAGAGTTCTGTGACTACCTAACTAGCGATGGGTCCAGCCTGGAATGTCACCTCTCACCCATCACGGGGTCAACTAGCTAGTCACTTAATAGTCGGTTTTGCTCCTGCGCTTTGGTACACAGTCACCTGAGTCATATCTGGCACTCAGGGACCCGGTCACATGGCCACTTTGACCGAGCAATCCAATAGAAGTATATGCGTTCCTCTATAGATACTATCACTTATGCCCAGAGTCCATCCATGTGATCCCTGGAGAATGGCGAAATTCGAAAACACTTAGCGGGACACTTGTTTTGGGTTATTTGTGTTTAGATGGTATCTATTCCCCTGTGCAGATACTATGTTTGTGCTCGTATCTAGAGCACTCAAGTAGGTAGGTAGTACGACGTCTTATCTTGGTAGTACCAAGGCTTGCTAACTCCATAGGATCAATTCCCAATGAATAGAAAAATTCTGTATACAGTTCCATAGCCTCGATACATGCAGATATTTACAGCCTGATTCATTGTGGCTTTTACATCCTTCAACCTGGACGCCTCTAGGATCTACGGGTATTCCTTCTACCCACATAATAAGTCTTCTTGACTCCTTATAAAGAGGGCCACTTATCTCGTCCTGAACAAACAACAGGGCCTTTCTGATGACTTTATACCATTACGGCCACTGAAGGCTCCAACGACTAGCATGTGTCGATTGTTATACGATTCTTTTCGGTCTAGTCTCCTTCGTCAGATCCATCCGATGACAGCGAACTTTCCGATCTTTCTGAACTCTCTGAACTCTCTGAACTTTCAAAAACTGTCATTCGAAAGTTCCTTTTCTCGTACAAGATATCCATAATCTTTTCTCCGCATTTGGCATTCGTCGCTGCTGCTTTAAGTACTTCCTCAGTCACTGGAAGTCCGCTTCTCCCTTTCTGTTGCAGGAGATATTCCATTATTCTAACTCCCAGATACACGTTCCCTGCTGCTGTCTTGACCACTTCTTCAGTCACTGGAAGTCTTTCTCCTTCTTGTTGGAATAGTAACTCCATAATCCTATCACCAGAGTACGCATTTCCTGCTGCTGCCTTTACAACTTCCTCAGATATTGGAAGGCTTCCGTCTGCATGCTGATAGAGTAACTCCAATATCTTATATCCAGAGTCCTTATTTCCTGCTGCTACCTTTACAGCTTCCTCAGATATTGAAAGGTTTCCGTCTGCATGCTGATAGAGTAACTCCAGTATTTTATTTCCAGAGTCCTCATTCCCTGCTGCTGCTTTTACAACTTCTTCAGATATTGGGAGGCTTTCGTCTGCATGCTGATAGAGTAACTCCAATTTCTTGTATCCAGAGCAACTTCCTGCCGCTGTCTCGATCACTTCCTCAGAGATCGGAAGCCTTTGATCTGCATGCTGAGAGAGAAATTCTAGTACGTTAGATCCAGAGAAACTTCCTGCCGCTGCCTTCATCACTTCCTCGGAGATCGGAAGCCTTTTATCTGCGTGCTGAGAGAGTAATTTCAGGATTCTATCTCCATCAAACTCATTCCCTGCTGCTGCCTCAACTACATCTTCAGAGATTGGAAGGCTTTCCTCTGCATGCTGATAGAGTAGTTCCAGAATCAGATATCCATCCCAATTTCTTGCTGCTATTTTTATCACTTCCTTAGATATCGGAAGGCTTTTCTCTCCTTGCTGAATGAATAATTCCAGAATCTTACCTCCCCAGACCTTAGTTCCTGCTGCTGCCTTAACAAGTTCCTCGGAGATTGGAACCGTTTTCTCCCAATATTTAAAGAGGTATTTTATATGTTCATATCCCCTTTCAGCATTCGCCATTGCTGTCTTGTACACTTCATCTGAGACCAGAAGATCTTTGCCTCGATGCTGGACGATGAGTTTGAAAATCTCGGGTCCACAGATCCCTGTATTTCCTGCTGCCACTTTGATCACTTCTTCAGAGATTGGAATAGCTTTCCCTTGTGCTTTGAAGAGGGTCTTCAATATCTTAGCTCCCCCTTTTCCTGTATTTCCTGCCGCTGCTTTGACGATCTCTTCGGAGATTGGAAAGGATTCTGCACGATGGCGATAGAGAGTCACCATGACCTGATGTCCGTACTCGCCAGAATTTCTTGCTGCTGCCTCGAAGAGTTCTTCAGAGATGGGAAGACTGGCCCCCTGAAGTTGGAAAAGGAGCTCCATGATTATATAACCACACGGTCCATTATTCTCTGCCACTACTTTGAGCATTCCTTCTGAGATTAACAGACCACCTTGCTCACTCTGGAAGAAATCCTGCGAGATCCTGTCCGAAGAATGCCAGATGTCCTGTGCAGAAGCTTTGGCCAACTTCGAAGCAATTGGAATATCTGTACCACTCGAACCGAGCAAGAGCGCTATATCATCATCTTCCGACTTCTCCAAGGCTAATGCTTCTATGACAATACCTGTCATGATCTGGGTAATAATGTTTCGTCTATTTTCTGCCTCCGAATACTGTTCTTGGTAGCCCGGGGCCATCTCGAGGAGCTCTCTTTCAGGCCAATACTGAAACCCAGTATCATCGTTTAGCGGAAATCTCCACGCCAGTAGGATATCAGAAGATCTGCCCGGCGTATTCCATCCCTTGGCTGTTTCTTCCGAAGACTCTTCATGGCGTCTTTTGCAAATGGTCACAGCAGGTGTGATTATCCTGAAATGGTCTTTGCAAAGCCTAATAATACTTGGCCTCGAAGCCCCTTGCAGAAGAAAAACAATATCACCAGGGCTAAAGAATCGTGCAAAAGTTTGGAGTTCCCAATCAACGTCCCATTCGCTCTCATAACCCATTGAACGGGCAGTGTCATTCAAGTACACTCTCACTTTTTGCTGGCCGAAGTCTGATACGTGTCGTACAGAGCAAATATGGCCTAGAGCCCAACCTTTGCCTCTGATAATGGCTAAGTCTGATCCAGGCCAAGTTTCCACAGAACATTCTGGGAAAATGTGGTTGGTAACTTGCTGGAACACCTTGTTCCAGGGTAGGGCATAGTTTGGCGTAAGATCGGGTGTTATAGGGTCAGCACTTAAACCTAAAAGTGCGTAAATTTTATCATGCTGCTCGGTAGCATCGTGGTAGCAGTACATGCCAACAAGCTCCCCAATAGTAAGAGTCCCTCGTGACCCAGGCTCATACTTCGGTCGAAGAAGCGCCCCCTTGATAAGAAATGCGACTGGGCCTATCATTTCTTGATACTTTGAAGGAAGACCGAATCCCTTGAGGCCTTCCCACAAGGCGTGTCCATTTATCTGAACAGAGCCACACATAATATAAATGAATCGTGCAACACCAACCTCCTGAAGCACCTACTAACATCTTTAGTTCACACCCCATTGACAGTGGACTTTATATGGAGTAATATCTTACCCAGATACGGCGAAACCAAGCTCTTCGAAACAAATCCATACATAGTTTTTCGCACCCCTCAATATCTATATCTTGTCCTTCTGCCAGGGACTGAAGTTTCTCAAGCGCTTTGTCGCCATCCTCATAAGCCTCTCCAAGCCAAACAGTGACATGTTGGGCTTGTGCATATATAGTCCGCATCAGTGGGATCTGCTCGGACTTCTCGTCCAGATCATCCTGGTTGATGCATATAGCATCAACCCACAGTATTCTCTCAAGCTGCCGATTCCGGAGACGTAACAGCGCAAGATAGAGGTTCTCGGTCACGGGAAACTCACAATTGTTCACTTTTATGGTTCGAGATCTCATGTTACTTCCCCATACGTAGGAAAGTGCCTCGTAGAGGTGCGAATCCGCGCCGCTGTCTGACATTAAGTCATAGATGAAGAGTTTGCATTCTATTTCTGCATATTTGTTCTCATTCGGCAGAAGGCGTATCATGCGAGTAGTGGGATGTGGAGACTTAGATTCTAGCGGAAGCTCTTCGTAGGTAAAGGCAGAGTTGCGGTTTCGTTTTAGGGACATGGTGTGTATTCAAGTCTTTTATACGGTATTCAGTGAATCTCGTATGGACCATATATCAACGCGTTAACCAGTAGACCAGAAACGACCTATCGCATCTATCTAGAGAGCAGACAAATAGATATGTCTCAACACCGTGACCAGTGTGGAGTAAGAGGTCGAGATGCACTCTTGGGGGGGGTGGGATGTCTAAGGTAATGGACTACAGGCGCGCCAACTCAGAGGTGAAAGGTGCATGGCGCTGAGCTGGTGCGGCTGAATGGCGGGGTCACTGAGACCGATCAATGCTAGCAACATTACTAATCTAAGGACATTGTTTTCAATCCTCGTGAACAGATAGGGAGAAGATGTATTGTTGGATTATAGAGCTTTATTTATTGTTTTTATCTCTCCCCATTTGGTGTCTCTATAATACCGGGCTCACCAGAACCACTCCGGATCTTTCTCATTGAGTTTGACTTACAACTGCTTACACATCTTTCTAGAGCACAAGAAATGAACCGATAATTGCTTTTTTGTGACATCATTGGCTAAAAGGTGGGTTAGTAGTACTAGTTAGTATAAACTCGTGAGTACAATTCTGTTTTGTTGCTGGGGATATATATTTAACCAGCAGTTCATCATTGGTATCTCTGAGCATCCAAAACCATGAGGCTTCAGCTGGCAAGGCCCAATTCATGTGTCCTAGTGCAATACTATACTAGATACACCCCTTAACACTACTTCTTAAGTTGAATTGTATTTGTAGATGGTTGACAACACGGTCTAGATACCAGAGCTTACCATCGGAAAGACATCTAATGATTATATTAGTAATACATGATTATGAACTTATGCAACTCATTATACTGAATTCCGTAAAAATGAAGTCAAGCCTCTAATCTGACAATATGATGTGTCTCGTATACGTATAGGCGCTGAAGTAACTTGTAGATTACTAGTAGAATGTGAATTTACATGGGATGTTCCTGATCCTGCGTCGACACGACCGGAGATGGAGCATTTGCAAAAATGCCACCAGAACTTACATACCAGGAAAAACTTCGGATCTTTTGTCCTCATATACTACTATTCAACTAAGACATATAATGATAAGATTAAGACATGAACCACGAGCACAAGGAATGTGAAACGACAAAAGAGGGAATCTTGCTGCGCTGCTTGAGATTGGGACAGGTTTCATCGACAAAAGCAGAAATGGGAAAATAAAAAGGGATGGGCAATGAGAAGGAGGTTATGCAGGTCCAGCGACAACTGTCAGCAAATTAAAAAGATGCTATCTCTGACCCCAAGCTTCGCAACATGGGCAGCGCGAAACAGTTCGGAGATCTTTCGACCAGATTAAAGAAGACATGGGAAGAAGCCAAAATCAGGAGAGGGAAAGAGCAGAGCAGCAGCAGGAATCCATCACCTCTTGTCCGCAACCCTCTGAGTTAACAAAGGGGGAATGCTGCCAGTCGTTAAGATAAACGGAACGTTGCATTTTCCCCTCTCCTCTCGGATAAGAAGCTATTAACGTGAATAAACGGTCGACTAATCTTTTCCCCGTCGACAGTCACAACTGCCGTGCCACGAATCTCATTACATAGGCACAAACGGCGACCGGGGTCAACATGCAAGATCCGTCTCCCTCCGGAAAACAGGTTTGGGAAGAGCTCAAGCATCGCTGATGCTATCAATCTGACTCTGGCTTGCTTCACGCGCCATGCGAGCCTCGATTTCCCTCAGCTGACTCTCACGAGCCAGCAGTTCCTGTCGCTTCTCAGCGATCTCGCGCTGCACCTTGAGTTCGATCTCACGGAGCTTCTCCTCCTCGCGACGAAGCTGCTCCTCCTTCAGTCTAACGGACTGGGATGCTAGGTCTTCTGGGTTCATCGAAGAGTCTTGTGTACTATGGCTAGGGGTCAGTTTTCGTTCCAGCAGACTGTAACAATGGCAAGCGGGTATACGTACGGCGTAGCACCATCAACACTCTTGCTGAGCTTCTCAGTACGGTAGTTTTCGTAGAGGAAGTCGTGAGTAATTTCCTTAAGGTCTGCGAGATGGCTGTGAAGAAGAGCGCTGCGGATGGCCAAGAAGTCCGAGTGACGAGGGTTCTCAACGTCCACGACACCCCAAGGATATTGCCTGGCCCGCACCTTCTTGCCGTCAATCTCAACGAAGTCCTCGGAGCCAACAATGGCAAACGGCATCAGACCACGAAGCTCAGCATTCTCCTCCACGGTGTCCTCATCGTCCTCCTCGATATCGTAGGGGAAGTTGTACACGGGAATGCGGTAGTGCTCAATATCCTCCATGATGAGCTTCTTGGATTCGGCCAATTCGGCAGGGGTAAGAGAGTCGGCCTTGCCGATGACGGGGATGACGTTGACACGGGGAGAAAGGCGCTTCATCAATTCGATGTCCAGCTCACGCAGTCCATGGCCGGTGGGTGTGATGAAGTAGAGCAGGACGTGAACACGGTTGTCCCTGAAGCGGGGGTTACGCTTGATTCGTGATTCCTCCGCAAGAATATCATCGTATTGGCGCTCAAGGTATCCAACAATTTCGCCGAAGCTGTTGGGACGGTCAGTATACGTAGGGGGCGTTGGGAAGGCGGCCAAGTTCAACGTGCCTTGCTTCGTTGTCAATCTGGTCTCCGAAACCGGGGGTATCAACGATGGTGAGGGAGATGCGGGTGCCTTCGTCGTCCAATTCCAGCTCTTTGCGAGATTTAATTAGTGGCGTGTATGCTGGTGGTCCATGTTCCGGTGACTTACCAACTGTGACTGGCTTGATGCGGACACCCTCCTCAATGTGAGCGTTGGCCGGGTCGTCGCAGTCCTTGCCTTCCAGGACCTTCTTTCCACAAAGAGTGTTGACGAAGGTGGTACGTCCTAACGAAAAGGGGGAATTCGGTCAATTCTGCAATCGGTGTTGTTTTGTATGATGCAGCACATACCGGTTCCGCTGGCACCACAGACCATCAGGCAGAACTGGATACCCTTCTTGACATTCTTCTTGCGACGGAGCTTCATCTGGGAATTAGAGCAAGAAATTAATCGTGGACAAATCTCTGGCCGAGAGCCTGAAGACAGAAAATGAAAAAAGAAACCACGGTTCAGGGGACAATGGACGGGGTGGGTTGGATGGGAGGGGGAAGGAGCATGGATAGGCTTCAGAGCAACAAGGCCAGAAAGGGGAAGGAAGTAACATACCGCGTTGAACGACATGATGAATTAATAGGGGAGGAATGGAGGAAATTAAAGAAGAGAGAAGAAGAAATTGAAGAAAATAGAGGTAGAAAGCGAGTGGCAGAGACAAGGACGAAGGTGGTTTGAGCCAAAGGAAAGGAATGGGGGGGGGAAACAAGAGAGGTGGAATGAAGGTTGAATGAATTAGATGGAGGAGTGGATGGGATGGGATGTGGAATGGCTGCGTTGCTCCCCTGAGGTTCGACGACGGGCGGACACTCTCTGGGCAAGCTGGAGGGACTAAAGAGCCGTTTGGCTGGCGCTTGCTACTGATCTGGCAGTTAGGGGATTTGCTCTACTCTCTCTAAGGGGGATTTCCTCCCTTCCGTTTTCCTGCCCGTACCAGTTTTTACCGCTCTGGAACGGCCACAACTGCCCCCTTTCACCCTGCAGTTCCCAACGGTCCAATCACCACCCTTCTTCTTTCTCCAGATTGATCGGTCGCTGGTAATATTGGTATCACTCGTAACCGATGATACATCGATACCTTACTGGTCGTACCACTCCCACTTTTCTAAACAGTCCAGTTACTCTCCCATGGATAGCGGGCTCCCAGGCACGGTTCCTGTATGGAGTAAATGGAGTCTAGTAGTTATCACCCTACTAAGCACTTAAGGTACATGCTTACGAACGCTTTGTTCAATTGCTTAGATAGCTGCCGATTTTAATGTACAGTAGGATTCCCATCTAGTATGCCCGGACCTTGTCTTTGGGTATCTACCTACTTGCGTGCTCATTTAACACTCATTATAATACCTGTCCAATCTGGGGACGCCTTGATCATCAATTATTGTCTTTTCACTGAGCGAGACACACTCCAGGTCTCCACTCAGCGGTTAGTGCTATGACTCGATAGGGAATTTGTTCCTTTAGTCCAGCTCACATATTATCCGCTAACCTGTTCTCTGAGGTACAGAGCGACAAGTCAACCGATTAAAAGCATAAGTGGTTGCTGCAATGTCTAGCTAGCCTCTGTGCTCTCCCCAGTTCTTCTCAGGGGTCGGGGGCAGCAGAAGGCGTTTCCACCGCCGCCGTGGGTCGCTGCGGGCCGCCGTAGCGGTAAGCAATTACCCAAATACCATACAGCTTGATATTTTAGGCCTCAGGCCTGAAACAATGGCTCCGAGACATTTATTACTACGGAATACTATTCCTAACCGCAGAGCTGTAGACTGACCGCGCGGGTTCGAATCACGCCCTTGTCAGTACATGCTTTTTTCTTGATCTCGATCATCTTCACTGAAATACATTAAGAAGTTCCTTTTCGGTTCCTGTATGGGTATATAGATGATGTGCATTGATCTCCGTTGAACAACATCACCACCCTACGCAGACAGTCTATTGGCCCGGAATCCGCTGCCCTTCCGGCATCCCCCAGCCAAAAGCGGACCCCCGGGCCTTATCTACTTTACTGATGCTCGGGTGAGGTCAGCGACCGCTGTCGATCTTCTAGTTTCCTGTCTACCTTTCTACCATCCAAAGCTCTGATGGCCTCTTTCCCTGGTGGTCAGAATGAACACCCGACAAGTTATCGATGAGTCTGTGGGGCCACTCTCACTCTCTGCTACATTCAACAATGATACCTCCTGCTTCGCAGTTGGCTTGGACACGGGCTTCTGTGGTAGGTCCTGGCTATGCCCTTCATGCAATAGCTTCCCTTTCGGGATACCCAAGCTAAAGACGTTATGATCTCTATTGCAGTCTTCAATACCGACCCATGCGAGCTCAGAGTATCAAGAGGTATAAATAATAGCATCGGCCCCGCCCTCCTTCAGCTCCGTATCACTAATGCCGTTCACTCCATCTAGATTTCAATGCCGGCATCGGGGTGGTCAAGATGCTCGGCCAGACCAACTACCTAGCTATCGTTGGCGGAGGGAGACAGCCAAAGTTTCCACAGAATAAGGTGTGCGAGCTTCTGCATCTATCTGGCGCAGCTTATACTCACACAGCGGTCGCAGTTGGTTATCTGGGATGACGCAAGACAGAAAGCAGTAATTACGCTGGAGTTCCGCACCTCGGTCCTGGGCGTCCGACTGTCCAAGTCGCGCATCGTTGTCGCCCTCCTCAATAGCATCCACATTTTCGCTTTCTCGAACCCGCCGCAGAAGCTCTCTTCTTTCGAGACAACGGATAACCCACTGGGGCTGGCTTGTCTAGGGCAGGAGGTGCTCGCTTTCCCAGGTCGGTCCCCTGGCCAGGTCCAACTGGTGGAGCTCGAAACGGGGAACGTCAGCATCATTCCTGCCCACAGCACGCCGTTGCGCGCGATGACTTTGAGTCCCGATGGTGAAGTGTTGGCGACGGCGAGTGAAGCGGTACGTCCCTGTCCCTACGATGGCGAATGCGACGCAGACTACTGACAAAGCGCATTCTATCTAGGGCACATTGGTCCGGGTCTTCTCTACGGCTAACTGCACCAAAATGGCCGAGCTACGACGCGGTGTTGATCATGCAGTGATATTTTCGCTTGCCATTTCGCCCTCGAATCTTCTACTGGCTGTGACATCTGATAAATCTACCCTGCACGTATTCGACCTTCCTCATCCTCGGCTACCCACAAACCGTACCCAAGCTGCAGCTTCCCCGACCGAAGAACCAACGAACCAGAAATGGGGCATTCTCGGGAAGATTCCACTATTGCCAAGGGTATTCTCTGATGTGTATTCATTCGCAAGCGCCCACTTTGAGATGGGGGAAGAAGCACCACCTGGCTCACATTATGTCCCGCCCCTGGGTAACTCATACGGGAGCCCCTCGAAAGGCGTGATAGGTTGGCGCGATGATAGGACGATTCTTGTTATCGGTGCCGGCAGGGATGGCCGGTGGGAGAAGTTCGTTCTGCGCGATGGGGATGATGGAAAGCGGTATTGCCTGAGAGAAGGCTGGAAAAGATATTTGGGGGGCAGCTGAAATCCTCTTGTAAGGATGAAGAGTGATTGTTCGCAGGACTACCTATCCGGTTTGCACCAAGGTAGTAGCTGTTCCAGATGCAGGCAAGATTCCGTATGCAAACGCGCATGCGCCCATGCCATAGCATTGATTCTGATATGGACACGATATCGCATGAGCCGGCGCAGGATGAAGCAGCATATAGCATTTCAAGAATAGGCGCTTGACTGCAGCCTTCGGCCACTAAGATCCTGGAGGTCTTGTATTGGATGGCTTTCTCCCAGGACCAGTTAAGAGACTTAGCCCTCATTAGCAATTTCAATATTTAGATAGTTTTGCCAGACATTTAACGGTGTCGATCATGTCTATCTCTGTAGCGTCGGGAGTCGGGCGATCGCGACGCGACCGGCGTCCTCTCTCTGTCGGATCTCTCCCTTCTAGATGGAGATCTAGCTCTATGAGATCGCTCTTCCCTTCTGGGCGACCGATCTCTGCGTCTTCTCTCTGAGTCTCGATCGTCGTCGTGTCTCCGACGGTGAGAACGGTGATGGCGGCTTGATCTCTCACGGCTGTCACGTCTCCGAGATGACTTCTCGCTGCTGCGCATTTTCTCCAAGGCGAGTGCGACCTCCTCTTTCTTCTCTTCAATAAGGAATTCCTTCATCGGATCTTCCTCGTCATGATTCTTGATCAGCTCCTGTAGCTCGATCTCCTCCTTGAGCAGAGGCCGTCTGGCGGGCTCCTCTTCCCTTGATTCACTTCCCCTTCTCTTCCTCCGTCTTCTCCGTTCGTCATCTGTATCTCTGTCATCATGATCCTTGCTAGTCGTATCGCCCATGAGCTTTGCGACATTGTCTGTTTCCTCCTCGTCATCGCGCCGCTTGTACCTCACGTGGTCCACACGCAGCACTCTCCCTAGAACTGTTGCCCCACCAAGATTGTCGACTGCGAGATCTGTACTGCGCTGATCTTCGTACTTCAGAAAGGCGAAACCCCGACTCTTTCCAGTCTCTTTATCGCGCACGAGATTGATGTGCACGGGCTCGCCGTACTGCGAAAAGATGGTTACAATATCACCCTCGGACAAGTCGTATGGTAGTCCACCGATGTAGATGTATGCGGTATCTCTGTAGTCTGCGTGCCAGGAAGCTTCCGGGGGTCTGAGATGTCCACAAAGATTAGCAGAGAAACCAATAAGCCGGGTTGAAGATAAGCATGACATACATGGCATTTTCGAGCTCGCGTTTATTGAGCGCTTGGATCTGGCGAATATTATTCATTGTTGTGTCAAGGATCGCAAGAGCGAGCCAGTATTTCCCTCAAAACAAAAGGACCGGATAAGAGCGCAGCTGAATCGCGCCGCAAAGCAAGAGATTGAGTGGCTGAGTGAGGGATTGGAAGCAGCAGAAAAGCTGGCGGGTTCAGCTCATCACGGGCTGGCTCCGCGGGAGGGTCCCACCCGCAAGAACGCCGACACTTTGGATTGTTTACTGGAGTGCAACTTAACGTATTTCTCGACAAAACCGCCTGCCTTTTGAACTAACAACCCCCACCAGCTGTGTGATTTGAAAAGCAACAGCGGAAGTATCTACGATACCGCTCATCCGGGTGGGCAATTTGGCCACGGACCCGCCGTTAAAGTTACAAGAGATCGTCCCCAACGCCAGATTCCCCTGACCCCAAATCCGCTTGCCTGGACCGATATCCACCATCTCCTTCAAACTCCGCGGCTCACGCGTCAAAGCCGTCGGACTAATCTCGCAATTACTCGGACGCTACATGGCATGGTCTGCGCCAACTGAATATAGTCGAAATCGAACAGACGATGTCTGCGTCAAGCCAGAACCCCGGCTCCAGATTCGGCACCGGAAACAATAGCCGGCCGTCGAGCAAGGATGGGCCCAAGAAGAACATCTGGTCTTCTATGCTGGATAGTGTCGCGAATGGAAAGCGTCTGCCTGAGAAGAACCTGCTTATCCTAGGTGCGAAGACTTGGTTTCTGCTGCCGTGGAGCAGCATCGGCATTCTACTATTTTGGGGTTGGGTCGCTAATACTTGGACTGAATTCAGGAGGCACGCCTGAGAGTCAAAGAGAATTCCTAGACACACTCGCCGCAGATTCTTCCGATCCTAGTTTGTCGAACGATAAGCGAAAAGGGAGAGTACCGCCAGTAGCCAACCAGTTCGCTTTGGGATATACATATCAGGATGTGCTAGATGCGGACCACGAAGGTAATTGCTTCCTTGGGTTGGGTTGAAGGAGGGGGTTTGATTCTGCGTTGTACGGGTTGCTGAACAAATGGTGCTCCGGCGAACAGATACTCTTGCGCGCGTCTCCGCATACCTACTCTCTGAACCGTCTCTGTCTTTCGCTCCCCTTCTCAAGCCGCTCCTGACCCCTCAATCGATTCCGGAAACACTCGTCGTGATTTTACTGGACTGGTCGGACCCGTGGACATGGATTCGGCGACTCCGAGAATGGGTCCGTCTTCTCCGACACGTGCTGATATCACTCGACGACGAGACGAAGATCGTCATGGAAGAGAATCTCACGGAGTGGAGGGACCGGAAACGAGGCATGGATTCGAGTTCAGGCGGGGCACAAGGATTCACCAGCTCCGCAGGCCCTGTAACGATACCGTTGGGACCAGGCGAGTGGGATGAGGGGCTTGGGATTCCCATGTGTGTGGTCTGCCAAGGGGTACGTTGATCTACTAAAGGCTTCCGGCAAGTCTTTATATTAACAATTTCTCGCATCATGCAGGCGGACAAGATTGAAAAGTTGGAGAAGGACCATGGCTGGCACGAGGAGCAATTCGACTTCATCCTTCAGTTCATGAGAACACTACTACTTAAACGTAAGTACAGCAGCCAATACCGCTTGAGGTTCAATTCTAACAGAAAGCAGACGGCGCATCGTTGATCTACACCACACCGTTCCTCGCAAACTCTCTGCAGAGCCTAATACACTCCTCTCTCGGCATACACTCTCTCCTAAAAAGACAGTCCCTCAAACACAACGTGATCGACCGGGACAAGATCCTGGTTCCCTCGAACTGGGATTCTTGGGGCAAGATCCGAATCATCCGTGAAGGCTTCGACATGGAAGGTATATCGACAGCATGGTCGATTGAGATTCAAGATCCCCCGGAGCCACTCACGAACGGCGTGGACGATCGCAGTTCCGACGAACAAACCGCAAACGCAGTGGACGACGGAACCAGCGCCGTGGCGATCTTCGAGCAAACCATCCAGGACCCCAAGCGCGACACATCGATGGCCCTCACAGGCAGCCAACGAAACGGAAACAAGATCGAGGTAGACACATCCGACATGCAGAGCTTCCTCACGAAGCAGCTCGAGGTCTTAGAGCAGCTGAAGGCGGAGGACGAGAAAGACCGCGCAGCCAAAAAGGTGCCCCAGCTTGAGATGTCGCCATTAGACGACAATGGACGAGTCAACGAGCATATCGGTCCCGTGCAGTTCAACATGGGAGGAATCCAAGTCGACGCAGACGACATGCTCCGGAAGCTCAAGGTAAGATACCTCCCTAGTATCCCCCCTCCCAATCAACAAAACCCCTAACCACCCCAACCCCAAACAGGAACGCGAAGCCAGCCGCTCCCAAAGAAAAGAAACCCTCTCATCATCTGCCGGCGACGAAAAAGCCCACAACCAAGCACTAGCGAACTTCTTCGCTGGCCTGGTCAAGAAACCGGGGGCGAGTCCCCGCGGAAGCCCATCAGCGTAAAAGATAAAGCGATAAATCGGTGGTGGGTGGTAGATGCTTTTTCTTGTTTGATTCCTGTCATTATGGCGGTCATTGTTCATGTTGATGTTGATGTTGGATTGTAATTTTATTCTTTCCTTTTTTTTTTATTCCCTCTTTCTTTTTTTCATTTTCACACATTCACGATGCAGTACATACATAACATATTTGGAATGAGTGATTATAACTAACGGGGGATTGTGGCCTGGCTGGCTTGGTGACATCTCGTTGTTACTGCTGCTGCTTCTCGTTGCTGCTGCTGCTGTTGTTGCTTGTGATACCAGAATGGATTAGGCTGGCTTTTTTCTTAGGAGTCGGAGAAAGATGAATGAATTTTCGATAGTACTTAATTGTTTTTTTCTCGTTGCTTGCTTTTAGCTCCTGAACATGGTTGATTGAAAGACTTGTCTTCATTAGCGTTGCTTTGGAGTCTCATGATTGTTGAAGAATAAATGAATAGCTTCGTTTGTATATTTCGAGTTGGGCGTGTTATCAAAGACAACCATATGCTATCCACTCAAAAAACCAAAGTTAAATCATATTATAATGTCATATTGCTGTAACCACCCGAAACCACAACTAGTACTAGGAATACAGATATCCGAATCACAACAACGAAAACTAAATCAATCTATCTCTCAGAGATACACTAAGAATTACATACTGTAAGTATAGTAGAAAACCATCACCAGTTCTCCCAAACAAAATCAGGCAGCACATGACGCATAATATTCCAATGCTCGAGCGCAGCCCGATCCTGGTACTTATGAAGCAGGTGGGTGTTCTTAGAGTGGAGGACACGACGACCGCCCTTCTCGATATCTTGGAACCGACTCGCGTCGATCTCAACCTTTGGCATCAGATACATCTGGCGGAACTTGCTGCCCATGTAATCGGCGGAAACGGGGTCGCGGAAGGTGAGCGGCGTGGCGGAGCTCTTCTTGCAGAAGATCACCATGTTGGTGAAGTCGGCGGTGAGGTCAGAGTCGGAGGCCTCGCGGAAGATGCGGCAGGTCGGGAAGACGTATTGGATGGTGCGGACGGTTAGGGCGGCGGGGTAGAGAGAGATGTCGCCGGCATAGTTCTATCGAGGTTAGTTGGGGGATGGTGGGGGGTTGAGAGAGGGAGGGGGCTTACGATGGCAATGACTCCGTCATCCTTGAGAAGGGAGGATAGGCCTTCGAGGAACTCGAGAGTGAAGAGCTCGAGGGGCTCGGCGCCTCCGGTGAAGACGTCGTGGACGATATAGTCATACTGGGCTGGGGGAGTGCGCTTCACGAAGGCGGTGGCGTCTTCGATGGCGGCGATGTGGTTCGAGGGAAGGTGGAAGTATTCGGTGGCGAACTTGTGCACGACAGGGTCGATCTCCACGATGGTGGTCTCGATGCCGTGGTGGATCAGGGCAGAGGGCGTGGTGCCGACACCGAGACCGCTGGTAGAGGTTAGGTTTCTGCTTGGAGAGCGAGTTGCTGCTGAGCTTACATGACAAGTGCCTTGCTGTTGGCATCTACGCGGGGCTCGCCGTGGTCAGTTTCAACCAGGCGGACGGCCTCAAGCATGGTGAAGACCGAGTAGATGGGGTCCATAACGGCAGGGTTGTAGTTGTGGGGCATCTTGGTCCACTGGCCGCCGAGCAAGCTGTGGTCGCAACGCATGACACGGAATCCATCATTCAGGTTATCCAAGACGGAGATGTAACCGGTGGTGGAGTCCTGGCGGGCAACAAGGGCGAATCCCTCGTCATTGAGGAAAGAGTTCAATGCTCCAGAGTTCATGTGGACATTGGACGTCATGGAGAACAGAAGGGAGGGAATAGCAAAGAGCAGGAACTTGGAAGGGGCAATAGCGGTGTAGAAGACTGGGAGCAAGAGTTGGAGACCAGCACGAGAAAAGAAGAAGGTAGTTCCAATGAACTTGGCCAGGAAAGCTTTGGCGAACTTCTCGCCAGTCTTGTAGAGGATATAGGTAACCACGAGAGGAACGTGCTCAGCGACTGCATCACCGTGCTGGCTCAGATTCAAACCCGACTGCACCAGCTTACCAGCACAAGCCACGGAGAGCAGAACCAGAGGGTAGTAGGAAATGACCTCTGTGACTACAGCTCCGAAGGGGTTTCCCATAACGGAGCTCGATGCGAACAAGAAACTCTGAACGGTAGGAACCCAGAATGCCACAACAGGGAGCAGGAAAAGAGCCCGGCGGCCAGTCAATCGCTGGATGTGGTCTTTAAGGAACCATCCAGCAGCGCCAATGAGTGCCACTCCATAGCCGTGGAAGATATGGGCAGGAGCCGAGCCATATACTGGCGTCAGCATCAGCACCGTCAATGGCGAGTAGAACGCCGTCAAAAACAGCAGAGCAGCGCCAGTCAGCAGCTGTCTGGTGGTGGGCTGGACAAGACCAGCCAGGGAAGACATGATGTCAGACCTCCAACCCTGAGGGAATCCGGTAGGACCGATCAATTGAAAGCTTCTGTAGGATCCAATTAGTCTAGGTCTATCTCGCGACTGTATGTTTGTTGGCTCCTATTTAACAGCGGAAGAGCTGGGGCGGGGAGCTTCAATGCAACGCCACAACGTGGGCCAAGAAGAATCCCTGAAGACCCACGATGTGAAACAGATTGAAACCAGGCTAGTCTTACCGGTACTTCTCAGATAGAAAGTCGGACTGATCAACGGACGGTCATTATTCGCTCGGGCGACGTTTTGACGCTGAGGATAATTTCCTTTGCCGCCCGGCGCTTCCGGCCCGAATGGGTTTAGTTCCCCCGCGTGTCTCGCCGCGCTTCTCTTCATCCTCAACTTCCCATCGTCATCGACCTTGACTGATCCCACTACTACGCCCATTATGCCTCTTTTCCCTGTGGGTACGGGTGTCGCTCCGGACGCAGACTCTTCCCAGATGGAGTCAGACCCCGTGAAAAGAACGCAGTCACCATCTGCGGCGACGAAAATCAAAAACCGGCGCAAGCGCTATCTGGACATGCACCCGGAGTATTTCTCTGCTGATCTCGAGCTAGCCGGTCCGCTCGCTCTGCTCCTTATAGACTGATTGGTTTCACATTCAGTCGCTCTGTCAATGACAGGGGATGTTAAAGCCAAGCTAATATGCCAGCCCTGCAGACCCGTTGCTGTATGATCGCTTGATCCGTCGATTCCAGACTCCAGCCGAGAGGGAGGCTGAAGGACGTGCCAAAGGCTTCTCAGGTGTGCTGCAAGCGGACCTATGTAGATCCGAGGCCAAGTTCGAGGCCCTTTCCCATCCTGATCCTCACGCCATGTTCAGCTATACTCGTGGCCCAAACGGAGAGATCCTCGCGGAAGATAGAGACGAAATTCCCCCGAATAAGGAAGAAGGGGAGAAGGCGTGGCGATGGGAGATGACCTTGCGGTTCCTGAGGGGTGAAGATGGCGATTTCGATTATGCCTCGGTTGACGACAATGATGAGTATGATGATTGGAACGCCGAGCAGGAAAAGTACTTCGATGATGAAGAACCAGAGTGGCTTGTGGAAGGAGTAGACGATGGAGAAGTCAAGTCCCATCTGCAAGGCGAAACTGGTATTGAGGATTTCTGATAGTCAAATCGGTACTCTCCGGTGTCGCTCATCCGGGTGTTGTGGCTTGACTTAGAAGTCCTGGTGGCTAGTTACGCTTTGCGTTTTCCCTCGAAATATGCGCTTACCTGCAGGTCTTCACTTGTTCAGCTGCTTCACGATTTTGGCAAGGGAGCGGAAGTTTTTGCTGCGCTTGTTTGCAGCTTATTCTCGCCGAATGGGCTGGGACCCCATTTTCATATCACACGATCAAAACGTCATTAATGACGCATCTTCCATATCCGTAATGGGAATGCCTCATAGCTCTTGCTTTAGCAGGCCCTCTCGCCCTCCTGCCGAACTGAGAATGCAGTGCTCTTCGCTGTATCTTAATAAGGATGAATTTCATTCCGTGGATACGCCTACTGAACCAGGCTACTGTATCCAGGATGAAACTATACTTGCTCGCGGCCAGATTGAGCGTTAGTGATGTCACGTCCCATTCGGTCATCAGCCTCACTACTTCGCAGGACCAGCATCTTGGTGACTCCGTCGGCCAAGTGACCTCATTAAAGGCCTCAAATATGATGTCTGTTATTGCTCATGCGCTGAGCTTTGTGCTGCGGATGCAGGAACAACATAGTCAAGTGGTTGAGCCATGTTGCCTTGGTCCATTTCAATGTGCTTTAGGAAGTTGGGGAAGGATCGAACGTCAGACTAGCGGCTGGTCTTTCTTCGGTTAGTGTTAACGCTCGTCTATAGCATCAATACCAACCTCCGTTACACCTAATCTTGTTCTTGAAGTAAATTGCCTCGGTCATTCAATACTCAGCATAAACTCGCTTCCCGTGAATGCTCATTCAATCTCATCATCCAACACCTCGTGAACCTTCTTTTTCTATACTCTATATTTATATCCACAATGTACGCTCTCGAGGATTTAGACGTCTACATCATCTCATCCTACTTTTTGCCTGTGGAGCGGTGACGCTCCAGGCCGGTGTTGCTGATGGCATCGCTTGCCCTGCCATGATCATGTCATGATGTCGTGAGAAAACTCGCCAGGGCGCAAGTATGACATGGCTTTATTGCCTTGATGCCGCTTCCTTCCCGCAGAAACTCCGTCGTCAGCATCCTCCTTCCCATCGTTCAACACTTGTTCTGCAAAGTACTGTTGGCTCTAGCTATAGCAGAACATAGCTCTATAAGTCCAACTCAGCTTTGTAAGCCTTGCAGTCGATCATTTGCTATATTGGCTGCAAATCTTGGTTCTCCGCTCGCTTCTCTATTCTTTTCCCTTATTTATCGTTGTGACTTACACAACGCTATCTTATCGGATATACCTTGCTGCCAGGTATATCCCATCGTGGACCAGGAAAAGATCCACTCATCTCAAAAGACCCGTATCAATAAAGATACATGTCTTCCACTTCCTCCTCGTCCTCCTCGAGCATTGTCCACAGTGTCGGCTCCAGCGAGCTGGATCATGGCCTCGGGAGGTTGACTATGCCAGGCTCCAAGCCTACTTCTAGCCAAAGCAGCGACTACCAAGCTGTGAAGGTCGACGACAAACTCAGCATGAGCATAACCTCCGAAGCATCCAATAGTGTGGATGTGCTCAAACTTATGAGAAACTATAAGTTCAAGGATTCCTTCTACAGTAGCACAGGAGAGGTTCTAGGCAGAGGTTCCTACGCACAGGTTCGCGTCGTCTATAAGCGCAACAGCAAGAACGAGACTTCTCCTTATGTCGCCAAGGAGTTCTTTGAGAGAAAGAATGTCCCATACGAGGTTTGTGTGCGTGATATCCGTAAAGAATTCATCGTCGCTCGTCATGCTCGTCATCCAAATGTCGTCAAAACTGTTGACCTTTGCATCAAGGAGACACAATTAAGCATTGTCATGGAGTACTGCAGCCAGGGTGACCTTCTAGATCTTGTTGCGATCGGTCACCTAAGCACCACTGGCCAGTTGTGCCTTTTCAAGCAGCTTTTACGAGGCGTATCCTACCTTCATAGCCATGACATCGCCCATCGCGACCTCAAGCCGGAGAACCTGCTCCTCACAGAAAGGGGCGTTCTCAAGATTACTGACTTTGGCTTCGCCGTGGTCTTCAGGGACCCCGAAATAGATCCCAACAGAGTCCGCTATTGTTCGAACAGCAAACTCTGCGGTACCAAATGCTACCTGCCACATGAGGTATGGTACACTAAATACTACGACCCACGCCGGCTTGATGTGTGGGCCTGTGCCTTAATCGGACGGTGCTTGTTCAACTTGAAATTGGCATGGGAGGTCTCCAATATGAATATTGATGCGGATTTTTATCGGTTTATAAGTACCTGGATGAAATTCCGGAGCAGCCGTTGTTCCAGCCTTATCGATTGGCCAGATATTTACGAATGGGCGCCAGGGTTCCGTCCTGAAGACTACCCCAGCCCAGAAATATGGTCTTTGATCCTTATGATGCTGCACTTTGACCCAGAGCGGAGGCTCACCATCGACCAAGCTTTGAATGATCCTTGGGTTCAGGCTATTGAATGCTGTTCCCCAATGGAACTTGAAACAGCATCTACAGACTCTTTTTCTCCTCTTGATAATCATCATCATTATTATTATACCCATGGGCTGCCATCACAACAGCACCTAGCAGACACGGCCACCGAGGCCCCGCCCCCGAGCGTTCCAAGTTCCGGGACCGAGACAAGCGGATCAAGTGGCCTTAATACGCCAGTATATTCAAGCACTGAATAGCTCGCTAGGATTTAATATACCTCGGGACTATGGTTATTGAATCCTCTGGCTGAGATAAAATCCTTAGCCTACTAGACGGATCCAACCGCAGTGCAATAGTTCTGCGTTTCATTATTGAAGATCGGGGCCCATAATGTGGGCAGAACAGACATCATTGACCTATACAAGTCATCAGACTAACATTCGATGTGTTTATGTTGATGCTTTAGCTCGATTATTAACAAAAGACGACTACGACATGATCATTGGTCATGTCGCACTCTGTGGATTAAATTTCCACATCACCATTAGATGCAGAGACACCCTGCACTACTCTGTCGGAGCCAGTGAAGGCACTTCAGAAGGAACGAAGAGAGCTCCTCGAATCACCGATTTTAAATAAAAGTAATAAGAGGGATGAGTCAAGCAAGGAAGCAGTAGATGAGAATAAGATTTTGATAATCTACTGTAAATCTAAGAGCACAGAAAAACAAGATAAATATTAATAAAATGTCATCAAGACACCTGTTTATTCCTGTGGCGTTGATCATCACTATCCCTTTCGTCTGTGATCAAAGGTCATTTTCGGCCACATTATCCGGTAGACTCAGACACTTATAGGCTGTGCGATGCCACTTTCTTTAGAAAGGCAGACCCACAGATAGTCATGCAAAGGCCCTAATTGCGCTGTAGCCCTGTGGAACTCACGAAAGACAGGATACACTTACAATGCGATGATTTTGGCGGCTAAAGCAGTCGAAGCCATTAAGTACCATGTTACCTTACTTCATCTTCAACGGACTGTTCACACCTGTCGAACAAAACTGGAATACTCAGGGTGGACAATAACAAGCCTGCGTGCTGCATAATCTATTTCCATACATGAGCCCCTTTTATTGCCATGTGTTGATGCAGGCAGACTTTTGCTACTGTGTTCATCACCAACTATTGACTTAGGATCCAGTAGGGGTTCATCTACCTCCCTATCGGTGCCCTCATTGTGGTTACTACATAGCATATGTCCTCGAGATCAAGACAGGATACTGTGATTTCGGTATGGGGGGATAATATAAGGGGATTTCTCTGCCAGTCTTAGTTCCATGTCTATACTTTTGATGTGGATTTAAGTTCCAGGGTCGTGGTGTGAGCTTCAGGGCTGTATTAGCCATACATGAAACAGATACCGCGTGGACGAGGCTACACGTGCCTCCCAACTGACTCATAAGGTCTCCACATTGAAGCAAGGATTGAACGAACTGCTAAATGTGCATCTCAACAGTAGCGAGGATCTGGAGACTCAAGCCGGGTAAGCGCTGGGGTTGAGCATGGTGAGCGGGTTGGCAGACCAGATCAACAACAGAAACAGCGGGTCCTAGTATATGAACTGAACAAGGGCCGCGACTAGTCGTAGGTACAAAGCCGTCCTGAAGGCCGCAGGATTGAGTTTCTTGACGAGCTCAATCTACTCAGTTCACACTAGATAACAAATCTTAACCTTACGGCATTTTCACTATCATTTCTCTTTCAACAATACAAAGGCCGAACCAACGGTTGGAATAACTGCGGTCTCCCATTAGTGTGTATTCTGTCCCTAGTTTGGGGGAAAGTAGATTTTAGTTTCATTACAGAACATGCGATTGGTTTCACCTTATAGTAGATACTCGTGTCTCTCTTCAATGATGGCTATGTAGTATAGGAGATAATTGTACTTAGCACTATTTGATTGGAAGCGTCTGTCCTCGGCTTGTTCGTCGACCTTGAATCAAAAAAGAAAAAAAAAAATATCAGGATGTCGCGCCATGCTGTCGAAGTAGCTCAGCCACTTCAGCTCTCTGATTCTGCAGTGTCTTAACCTCCTCAGCCACACGATCATCCGTGGAACAAAGTGTTTTGAACCTCTCGATATCTTCCTCAGTGACAGCAGATCGAGCAGCCTGCAGAGCAGTAGCAAGGCGCTCCCTTTCCAGCCGGATATTCATGTCCGCTCCAGCCTCAGTCAAGCGTTTCGCAGGATCCTCGACCGTTACATGAAAAATGGAAAATTGCACGACGTCTGCTGTTCAGGGTAAAGTAATTCGTAATTCTGTGAGCCGCCTCAGCTGGATCGGACGAGACTTGCGTGTATCTTCATTGAAACTGATTGAGTGACTGGTTGTTGATCGGCCAAGCATGCAGCAAGGTGCATACCTAGCATGCTGTACCCGCGGTATGAGCCCACTGTGGCTGGCTGGACACTAAAACCAAGCGGGCATTGATAGTCCCAAGCATGCTCGTTCCAAGTATTTCATTAAGATTACTTACTCAGAACAACTGGTCTCCCGCTCACCCTGTGCTCAGAACGTGCTCAGGGTATATCCAGATCTACTCAGTAAGCAAAAAAGGGGGAAGGATGAGCACTAAAACAGAAAGAGTAGTCCATCGACCATCTCAAAATACCAAGTACATATGTCCAACAGTTATCAATCAAGTTACCTTTCTTCAGTATGCTCTTTCGAATGGTGTTTCTTAGTAAAATAAGATTGTATGCCCTATAAACGACGCCCAAGTTTCTCTATGTATGTAGACTACGCCAAAATACATCAACTCAGCTGATATTATTCTTCTCCTTTAAGATCGTAAGAGCATCTTCCCGGAGCTTGAACTTCTGCACCTTGCCGCTTGCAGTCTTGGGGAACGACTCTGTTGGTTGCAGGAAGAAGACGTATTTTGGAACTATACCAGCCGGTTAGCTAATGAGTCGATAGAGCAGTTCTGTGATAGAAACCAACATACCTAGATGGTTACTCAGCTTTTCACGAACCCACTGCCGGATCTTATCCTCATCCGCAGCTTCGCTCTCAGGTTCCCGGTGGATAATGAACACAGCCACCGCCTCTCCATAGCGCTCATCGGGCACGCCCACGGCCGAGGCATCGATCACGCCGGGGTACGTCAAGAGACAATTCTCGATTTCCAATGGGTGGATGTTCTCTCCGCCGCGGATGATGAGGTCTTTTACACGGCCCGTGATGGTGATGTAGCCGTCTGGGGACATGGAGGCTTCGTCGCCGGTCTAGAATTAAAGAGGTTAGGAAGGAGCAAACTTAACTCAGTGTGCTTAGTACTCACATGCATCCAAACTTTCCCGTCATCATCAGCAATCATGACCTCTGCCGTTTTCACCGGGTCGTTCCAGTACTCTTTCATCAGGAGGTATCCGCTCACTGCTAACTCGCCGCGAGTATTGATGGGCAAAATATTATTGTGATTATCTAAGCTCACAACCTTTGCTTCAACGTGCGGCAGTAGTCTTCCGACGGTGTTGATCCGTTTGTCGATGGGATCGTCTGTTGTGGTCATTGCAGAGACGGGGCTGGTCTCTGTCATTCCGTAGCAGATTGTCAGCTCAGTGAGGTTTAGGACTTTGTGTAGTCTTTTCATCAGCTCCGCGGGTATGCTACTTCCGGCGGCGATGCCTGTACGTAGGTACTGGAAGCCTTCGTTGGGGATTTCTCCTTCGTCTAGAAGATTGAGCTCTTCGAGGAACATGGTCGGTACGCCGTAAAGTGCAGTGCACTTTTCTTCTTGCACGGTTCGGAGGGCTGCTCTGGCGTTGAAGGCTTCTGTTGGGAATGCAATGGCTGCGCCGTGGGTGGCGGTGGCCATGTATCCTAGTACGGATCCGAAGCAGTGGAATAATGGGGGCGGACAGCATACAACGTCCTCTGGGGTAAGGCGCATTCTGTCGCCGATTTGGGAACCGTTGTTGAGAATAGATCGATGACTTAGACATGCTGCTTTAGGCATTGCGGTCGTTCCGGATGTGAATTGGATGTTGACTATGTCGGTTGGGGATAGGTTGCGAGGTGGTAGGGCGCTTTTGTCGGATGTTGCGTCGGAGGTAAGTGAGTTGTAGGCTGTTAAACAATTAAAGCTGGAGGTGTTGACGCGACCAGATGAGTTGTCGACTGAGATGATGCTCTTCAGTGAGGGAACTAATTCTGACTCAATGCGGGTCTTGGAGAGGTCCGGGATCAGGTGTTTAAGGAGTGGAATATTGCTCCTTGGGTCCTTTCGGGGGAGGTTTGATTCGGTGCTAATTATCAGATGGCTGGCTTCTAAATGAGCCAGGGCGGAAACTACTTGAATCGCGTTGAATGATGGATTGAGTGGAACCTGATGCTGTATCAGCCTTGATCTGATGGCGTGCAAGCGTTCTACCTACCAGGATCGCGCCCAGCTTGAACAGTGCATAGGTTGCCTGGAGGAATTTGGTTATTACAAGGCATCTGAGAAAGGCTTTTAGGGTCTGGGCATACAACAGCATGTTCCATGGAGTTCCCTAGCATGACGCCCACACGGTCTCCTATCCGGACACCGACAGATTCAAGACCACGCGCAAGGGCATTGCTTCTGGCGTCAAGGGAAGAATATGTCGCTCGATCATTTTGTTGTTTGCAGATGACACTGGTCACGGTCAGAATACCACTCCTCAAAAGCACAAACTTGATGCCAGAAGGGAAGCGTACGCCGGTCTATCGCCATACTGGTTGACGATCTTTGCAAAGTGCTCCCCGATCACTGTGTCTAACAGTGGAGGCTTATGTCAGGTCAATAAGTATCCACGATACCTAGTTGATCAAACAAGACATGAGCATGCTTACTTCTGAAGGACCCCGAGAATAGCTTGTGGTTAACAGTCCCCTTCTTCCCGGCAATGCTGCCAACTGGAGGGGCTTCCTCACAGAACATCTTCTGTGAAGAAGCCCTCTACAGTTAACTGAAGAAACGCGCATCTGGATATTTGGGAAGGTATGTTCATAGCACTCTAATCGTCCTCAGGCGGAGCTTGTGGCATTCGTCACCAGGATGTACCTCCCCTTGCTTCTAGCTTCACCAAAAGCTGGGTCTAAAATGGTTTAACCAGGGATTGCCGGCGGATGCCTTCAGATACGAACTGCACCACGCGAACTTGCGAAGTAGTGAACACGAGTTGAAATCTAGCCTTAGCAATTGACTGAGACAAGAATGAAAAGCTGAAGAGATGGAGCAATTAAGAGGCAGCTGGAATGTGGCCGGGACTCACGTGTCTGCAGGATGCGGGGTTGATGCAGCCGGCTTGCCTGTTTGGGACAGTAGTACCTGCAGCTCCATCACTGCAGTAACATTCAATACTCGATCGGTGTCGGTACTTCAATATGAGATAGCAAGATTCTTGTGTCTATTTTGTGAAACGTCTAGCAGGGATAAGGTCAGGGATGTTCAAGTAGCTGCTTTGCCCTCTTGTTCTTCATGCCGGAACAGTTCCGATTCCCGGGCGGGGAAATGAAGCTTACTAGGATGGATCCCCAGCTTTATTTAGGGCTGCCCATCAATTGGTTCCTGACTACTTTGGCCCGAGGATAACCGAAGCCACCTTCACTTAAACCGTCTATCTACATTCTGTGCTATCAGGTGTGTTGATTTTGGACTGACTGCTGTAGATTGACCGACAAGACAATAACAATGCCGTAGTCAACAGTCATGAATACAAGCGATTTCTTCGAGCTGTCAGTAAAAAAGGCACTTCTAGGCACTGATAAGCCATTTCACACTTCTAGGTGATAATTTTTTATTCCGTATCAGGATAGATGCATGCATCAAAGCGATCGTTAGTAGAATGTCATGGATGTTCTATATATGAAGGCCCGCATCAAGATGCCTTGTGCCTTAGGCTGCAAGGGTGGCGACCTTTGCAGCCTGCGGGATACTCGTAATATGGAGATTTCGATTTCACCATCCACTCCAGTAATAGCCAACAAGCTAAATCAATCAATAACCACTACAAACAACGTCTCCTATACACACAAACCCAATTCATCAATCAGTTAAATTCCCTGCCGCCAACTCCCGCAACGCCCTCAAGGCAACCTCCTCTTTCCCCTCGGGAACAAAAACATGATCATGATAGAACCCACTGACCACATTCGCACTCACGCCGGCCTCCTTGAGACTGGCGCTAATAGCAGCCATCAGCCCCACCGCCTCAAGACTAGAATGCACGCTGATAGTAATCATGCGACAGGGGAAGACATAGTTGGTGAAGCCGTGCGCTTCGGCACGCTCGCGAGTCACAATGTACGTGGTGCCTTCTGCTTCCTGGAAGAGGAGTTGGGGTTGCAAAGTGTGGAGATCTGGACCTGCTTGGGAGATGCTGGTGTGGGGGATGGTGAGGAAGACGAAGAGGTCCGGGTGGAGGATTGGTGAGAGGGAGGACAGGAGGGTTTGGAGGTTGGATTCGCCAGGGGTGGGGGGCATCTTCGTTGGGATTTTTTGGGTTGATGGTATGGGATTAGGTAGGGGTTTTTTGGGAGTTGATGGGATCGTTGGTTGGTGTAAGTAGACATTGATATTAGTTGTGGTGATGGTGATGAGTTTATTTGGGAATAGGCTAAACTTAATCTGGAATGGAGAGTGATTAAGTGCGGAAAACGACGCTCTAAATGCATTGGTTATAAACAACATCTGAAGTGTATACATGGACCCTTTGATATAATGCGTTGCATGCGGGAAAACATGACGCTTAGTCTTCTTTACCTCTATCTTCTTCTTCCTCCTCCTCGACCAACACGTAAGAAGATTCATCTGACTCTTCTGATGATGATGATGATTCTTCCGTCGATTCTTCTTGTTCTTCTGCGTCTTTTTCTTTCTCCTTTTCTTTCCTCTTTCCTTTTCCTTTTTCTTTCTCTTTTTCTTTTGCTTTTCCTCTTGCCCTTTCTACTTCTTCACCTTCACAACCAGAGTTATCAGTATAGTCTTCGAGAATAGGATCCCACTCTTGATTTATTACTCGTGCTGCTCTCTCTTCCTCTGCCCTTTCTTTTCCTGGCCCGTCTTTTGCTAATGCTTTCTTTCCTTTGGGCTTTCCCTTTGATGGCCCTTCTGCTGCTCCTAGAGATGATCCTTCTTTTGATCCCTTCTTTGATGGGGCTTTCTCTTCTTCGGGTTTCTTCTTCGGTGGCCCTTCTTCGACCTCTCCTTCTTCATCTGTCTCTTCTTCATCTGTATCTTCTTCTTCATCTGTATCTTCTTCTTCATCTGTATCTTCTTCTTCATCTTCCTCGTCTGAATATTCTTCTGTATCTCCATCCTCTTCCGTTGCAACATTCTTGGATGCTTCGAGTTGCATGTCCCTTTGCTTTCGCCTTTCCATTTCTCGTTCTCGTTGCTGTTTTTTCCTCTCCTCTTGCTTAGTGTAACACCCTTCCTCTCCACACTCGCAAGTCCGCCCTTTCCAATAAGCCCGGCCATAGTTGACTGTGAGTTCCTCGAAAGGTTGGATATCCCGCAAGGCCTCAACGGTCATCATTGCCCGGTCCCCAATTGTCCGGCGCTCAAAAGTTGTATTAGCCCTGCACGAGTGGTTAATAAACCGAGTGAAGTTCCCAAATTCCATTGGGCAAATCAGAGCAATCTCCTCCTTTACTCTGACTTTGCCCTGCATTGTAAGCGCATAAACAGGGTCACCTATATAGCAAGGTGGATGGAGTGGGCCAACAAATTCGGCCAGGATATCTCCTTTCTCAAATTGCGCAAGAGCACGTACCCCGACGCCCATAGTGGTTTGCACCAGCTGCACGAACTCAAAGGGCGCCTTCTTAATTTGACATTCGCAAATTTTCCCTGCGGCGCAAAGATCGCAAAGGCCATGGTTAAGGTCCTTTCGCAGCGTCGGATCCTTTTTCAGGCCTCGATGCTCTGGATCCGTCGCCGTTTCCCAATCCTTGGGGTCAAAGGTGCTAAATTCAACATGTTTCTGTAAACGATCTCGGAATATCGGTGGGCGAACTGTTTTGACCCCTTCATCTACGACAATTTCGTGAGGATGCGTATATCTGAGCCCATCCACTCCACTTCTGTGAGCCAATGCCTGGTTGAACCCGCGCGGAGCATCAACCCCCGCGTATGGCTCCAACAAACTGCGCCACTCAAAACCGCGCGAGTGAGCCTGAATCCAGATATTATACACGTACCCTTGCAGTCTTCTCCATACAGATTGCCACATTGGTGTGCTTTCTTCTTGACAAAGCCTTCGAAAGGCTTCCGCTTGCACACATATCGCAAGCATGGGCCAGCCGATTTTTTCAGCGAAGAATCGTAGTCGGCTCGCTTCCCGCTCCTCGCAATCCATATTGGCCTCATCCCATGACCATGATCTGCAAGTAATGGCCTTCTCTAAGGCCCGTGATGCGTAGATACACCGCGCTTCGTAGTCCAACCTTGCCACCTTGTTTTTTTGACGGTCGTTGTATATTTTGTTGACATCATATAAGTCGTACATGATCGCATGCAGAATCTGGTCTCTATCCTGTATAAATTCCGTGTATATTGAGAGGGGCTGAAAGGTGCCCGTCTTGGGTCGTTTGTTAGGAGTATTCTCTGCACCTTCTCCTTCTTGTCCCCGCTTCCTCTGGGATCCTGACGGCCGGGCTGGAGCGGGAGAACTCGTCTTGGGTCGTTCGCCAGGAGAGCTGTCTGCATTGTCTTCCCCTTCCTCCCTCCGCTCCTCCCCTAATTGTAGGGGTTGGGATAGATTGGGAGGAGTTGTACCGGGCCGTTTGCTAGGAGAGCTGTCGGCTTCTTCTTCTTGTTCTTGTTCTTCTTCTTCTTGTCTCCGCTCCTCCAGGGATTGCGATGTTTGGGACGAAGCTGGGGAACTCGTCTTGGATTTTTTGCTAGGGTAGCTGTCTGCATCTCCTCCTTCTTGCCCCCGCTTCTTCTGGGTTCGTGATGGCTGGGATGGGATGGGGGAACTCTTGTTGGGCCGTTTGCTAGGAGAACAAATTGTGTCTTCTTCTTCTTGCCTCTGCTTCGCCCGGGATCGCACTGTTCTGGTTGGAGCCGGGGGACTCGTCTTGGATATTTTGCTAGGAGACTTGTCTTCTCCTTTATCTCTTCGCTTCCTTAGAGATCGTGGTGGTAAGTTGGAGGCATCTTTCGGACCGTTGTCCGAGACTCTTTTTGCAGCCATAGATCAGGCGATTATATTATGCGTAAAATGAACTTATGGGGTGAATTGTGACGTCCTGAAGGCGTCTCTGTCTTACTTGGGTAGCAACAGGCTCCGCCTGTACTGGGTTGGCTAACTCACTGGGAGTTTAAGTACCCGGAAGCTGCCATCATGAAAACAGGACTCTTCCGGCAACCTGCGGTGTAACATCATGAGCGTTTGTAAATCTTTGGTACAAAGTATCTGTTTAAGACTGCTTTGTCTTGCCCATATTTAGATCATCTTGGGTGAACGTCTCTTTATTCCATGGAATTGGTAGCATGCTGTGTCGGGAACTATTGTCCCTTGTATGGTCTTGTCACCAGTTTGTTTCAGGTGAAGAGGCCAAAGACTGGAGATAAACCATGGACTTATGGCATTGGGGTATGAAACATAGAAAGAACCTATTGGATAAGTATCTTTCTTGGAATAAGGAGATGGCAGAATTTTTTCTTTTGGGGGTTGTTTCCATGCATCATCCTTTGTTGGTGATCCCGCGGATACTGGTAGATAATGGAGAGTATGATGTTCTTCGCTGGAGTCATCATTGGTTACTATTTTCGGACAATTAAAAGGTTGTTGGAGGCAGGGTTGCTTCATGTTTGACCTTCATGGTTGTCTTAGTGTCAGTAATATCAACATGGAGAAATAAGAAGGATATTGTTTAGTTCAAGCTTTGGGATTTTCACCACTAATTTTTGAGACATCCTTGTCACCCCATTTAGTACCCCAGGCAACCAGTGAGATATCTTTTTAGTCTACCAGCAGAATCTGCTCCGGCAGTAGTTACTGTCTACTAGCGAAACTTGGTGACAACAGACTCTAATCATGTGTCAATTGCTTTGCGGTTAGTAGGTAATTGCAATAGGGGTCTATGTAGAGAGGGATAGAACATGTATGTGGGAGATAGTTGTAACGGCCTAGTAGCAGTGCTCTACTCCTTCACTATGGCATATAATCAAATAGAAAAAAGATATTTCATATGGTATATATCTCACATGTGATTGTCATCTTCTCCAGGCTTATTGCTATAAATAATGCTGTCATGTGATTGTCTTTGCGGAGCCAGTGCGGGCCACTTTGGGCACCCCCGGATGACGAAAGTCTGCAGCCATGATAGCTATGGGGTTAGTTTCTGCACAAAAATAAGCAACCCTCGACTTTAGATTCAGCAGAGAATGGAACGAATGCTTGTGAAGAAATGCCCACACCAGCGGTGTGAAGCATAGCCATAAACCCAAAGGGGCAGTGCGAGACCAGACCGGAAGATCGATGATCCAGTCGCGGGGCGCGCGGATTGTCGGGGTCCCAAAGCGGCATAGCGGCAGGCAGTCGGGGTCTCGAAAGGGGCATAGCGCCAGGCTGGGGCAGATGAGCCTCGTTCAGGCCATTGTATGTAAGCCTTGTACCACCGCCGTTCCATCCTTCGATTTCCTTCACTCCTTTTTGTCTGCCTGATTCTTCACCTTCTCCAGGGACGTTCCTTGAGGGCTACCTTCTTTCGTTGTTTGCCGCTCTTCATCTCTGAAAGGTTTTGCCAAGTGCCGGGTTCGACGTGACTCACCCCGTCGGAAAGGTTCTCCTCCGTCTTTCCTTATCAGGCAATAATCTCAAGGCCGGCTTTTCCCCCCACCCGTCCTTCGGTCATCCTGAATTCCCGGGCATCAACTCTCCCTCAAAGCCTCGTCTCTCCTTCGATCATGGCTGCCGACCAGTTGCTTCAGTCCATCGCTCATTCCACTCCCGGTGAAGAGTGGTTTGACTTTGACAACTCCTTCGACATTCCCTACGAAGGGATGGGAAGCAATCCCACCTCGGTGGATTCTGTGTCCCCCAAGGACTTGGATCTAACTTTTGCCGACTTTGATGACTGCAATTGGGGTCCAAGCCCTGGGGTCTGCACTCAGGAGCTATTCGCTGATCTGGTCAACTATGATGCGCCTATGGAGGGCTTGGGGGCCCATGCATTGGACGCCTCACAATCCATGCTGAACCCTACCGGGTCCTTCCATCATATGCCCGCTTCGCCAACTCCCGGGCTGATGGGGTCGGAGCTGACCAACCTATGGTCACAGGACATGGGCGGAGTTGACGACCCTTTCTACACCACTGTTCGACAGATGGTGGAGTTCCAAGCTGCTGCTGATCCAAGCGCGCTGTCTAGCAAAGAGAAGCGCATGGAGGCGTCTATTGCGCTTCACATGCAGCGCCTCCAGGAAGCAGCAATGCAGGACTTGGAGCTGTCGTCGAACTCGAGCACAACATTCCCATCTCCTCGCTGGTCCGACTCTGCAGCAAGCGTTTATCAGGCTGGAACATGTCCAACCCCAGCTACTACACCTCTGCCCGATGTAACTCGCACACCGGTCTCGGGCTCGGAGTCTGCGGCTGGGGGCATGGAACTGGTGCTCGACCTGAACATGAACACGACCACAAACGTACCAAAGAAGCAAAAACCTCGATCGCAAGCTCAGAAAGAAAATTACATTAAAGTTCGAAAGCATGGTGCTTGCGAGAAGCACAGGAAGCAACACAAGCGGGTAAGTAAAGCCCGCCAGAGCTGCCGCATGTCTGTATACTGATTCGAGTCTAGTGCAACTGTCTTGAGAAGGCCGCTTCCCAGATTGCTGTCAGCCAGAAGGCCGTTTCTACTTGCAACATACCATTCAAGTCAACCTTCAGTACGCAACGACATGTCCACAGATCTGAACGAGAAGCTCTTCTTGTGAGCACGACGCCGACACCAGCCAGTAAGTCAACTGTTTCACAGCCGACAGGAGGCCTAGGTTCGAAGGAGCTTCAATACGTTCAACTTCGGCATCGCCACCGTTTGCAGTCCACCCATACGTCTATGGATCCTCAATATGGACACCACTCGCCACACTCAGTCAAGTCAGCTGCAAGCTGTCGTGGCGACGTAGGCTTCAATGGCGGTTCACGTACTCCGACAACGTTCCGGGGTAGCTCGGGACAACAGCAACCATCAAGGTCACCGGGTTCCGACCGCAGGGTTGGTCTCGTCCATTCGCTGTCGAAGGGACTGCAGATCTGTTCGACATCGAGTCAGGCAGATCGGGGAGCGCTTGCTCTCCGCCATTCTCCGGACAGACAACAGGCAAGCCAGGCTGGAGCAGCCCGCATGCATGTGTCAGTCCAGGCATCAATCCCATCCCGATCCAGTACAGCCGCCATCAGCAGCGTACCATGCAGGTTCAGTGCGTCGGCCAAGGCCTTTGCCACAGTCAACGTGCAATCCAACCGGGGCACCGAGGCCGATGCCGTATCCAAGAGATACGCCGATTTCTGGCGCGTCAGATCTTCGGGATACCCTTCGACACACCACTCGTTGGACGTACAAGCCAAGGCTTTTGCCACAGTCAACGTGCAATCCAACCGGGGCACCGAGGCCAGTGCCGTATTCAAGAGATACGCCGATTTCTGGCGCGTCAGATCTTCGGGATACCCGTCGACACACCACTCGTTGGACGTACAAGCCAACGATGTCCACGACCAATCTGTGTCGCGGACACTTGTGTCAAGGGTACTTCAAAGCGTCTTTTCGGTCTCTCACTTCTTGGATTTATCTGTATGCGTCGCTTCTTGGTTGAGCACGTGCTTTGACAAAACCTGGGGCTTTTCCAGATTTGGCAAGCTCGTCATGATATCGACTAGAAGGCATTGGCTTGCGGGGAAGGGATTTCTATGGGGTTGATTGAGATTAAAATGTTGCATAAGCGTGTTTTGTTTGTTTCAAATGTATATTGATGTGTTATTTAGCGGTGTTATATTCTGTCTTTGCTTGATACCATCGTCCATGCTAGAGCATGAGGTGAACAGTTAGGAATGGTCATTTCAGTCATTTCATTTCAGTTGATTTAAACTTTCATTGATCTCGCATGTTAGGAACTGAGCAGCAGCAGCAGAGACAACCACATACTGACTGGTTTTTAAAGCAGGACCATTCAAGTAACTGGTAATCAAGCGTACATAATTTCAGGGACATCCCATACTGCGATTCCAGAGTCCACCGTCCCCACTGCTATACAATCCCACCAACCAATCAACAGCCCTCCACCATCCGCGTTCCAGCGGGCCCCGAACTGAATGGATCCATCCATCAATCCATTCCATCTCCAGTTCTCATCTCACTCAAGCCATACCCAACCCTCAGGTCTCCCTCATCCCCCATCCCTATCCCCATCCTCCCTCCCCATGACCCCCTCCACCCCCACCGAATCGCACTGGCGATTCTCCACGGTAACAGGCTACTTCTACCAAAGCGAGCCCTCCACCGACCCCAACACCTTCAACTACGTACGTCCACTCCCAAATCCCCCTAAATTAACCCAAAAACTAATATCATACACCCAGGCATCCTCCGACTTCGGCCTCATCCCCCGCGCCTACCCCACAGACGCGGACCTAGGCCCTGACCCAAAAACCACCTGGGAGCGCTTCGCCCACCACGTCCGCACCCTGAACGCCCAATCTGCGGACCCTAATGTCCGCTATAAGGTGCTCTTCCTCGGCCGCCATGGAGAGGGGTACCATAATGTAGCGGAGCGGGAGTACGGCACCGAAGAGTGGGATGTAAGCTGACCCCTCTCTCTCCTGTTACCATTTTTGCAACCCAGACCCCTTTTTCCAAAAGTAAAATTCCATGAATGATTGACATTGAAATCGAAAGAAACATTACTCCCTCCTCCCCGGCAATGCAACAAGCAACTGGGTTGACGCCCGTCTCACAGACGTAGGCAAATCACAAGCCCAAACCGCGCACAATACCTGGAAACAGCAACTCAAGGAACATATCCCCACTCCGGAGAAATTCTACGTCAGTCCGTTGAATAGGTGTCTTCAGACGGCGTGGATTACTTTCGTTGGAACGGGGATTGAGGGGACGGAGCCGTTTAGGCCGGTTGTTAAGGAGGTATATCTATCTAACCATCCATCCCCTATCTATACCTTCCTTCTTGTCATGACGGACTAATTAATAACTGGGTGCCAGCTCCTCCGCGAAACCATCGGCCAACACACTTGCGACAGCCGGTCCAGCAAGACAGCCATCATGACCGAATACCCAACGTACATCATCGAAGAAGGGTTCGCCGAGAACGACGAGATGTATGATGCCGAGCTCCGGGAATCTGATTCGGCGCGGGACAAGCGCTTCCGCGATCTGATGCAGGATATCTTTTCCACGGATGAGGATAAGATCTTCTTGTCGTTGACGGCGCATTCGGGCGCCATTACGAGTCTTTTGAATGTCTTTGGACATCGGAGGTTTTCGCCTCTTGAGACCGGGGGCGTGATCCCGGTTTTTGTACGTGGGGAGAGGGTGATGGGGCCGTTGCCGGTCATGGAGGTGGAGCCGTGGTTTGGGGTCTAAGTAATCTACGGATTAATTGTGATGTTTGGAAAGGTTCTGCATATAGAAAGAGTGAGAGAGGTAGAGAGAGTTGAAAGAAGTATGTAGTAGATGATAGATATTGTATTGTACATTGATTCTTGGATCGAAGCAACCCTCATCATACACGCACGTTAAGATAGAGACACGGGGGGAAGGTAACCAAGAAAAGGGTTTTTAAAACACATGCTGAGAAAATCCACCAGAGAGGAAAAAGTGCTTCTTAACGGTCTAGGAATATTGAACAGAAAACAACGCCGAAAACTTATAATCGAAACATTGATCACCAGCTGTAGAACTGGTTCTGCGCCGTAATCTTACGGTCCGGCAGCGGCGTCCAGAGCTTAGCCTTGCGCTTACGCAGCTCCTCGGACTCCCGGTTCTGCCATTGACGGATACGTGTCTGCTCTTCCTTCAGCACCACCGACAGAGAGGTGTACGGCGGACGCATGAGGTTGATGTTGCCGCGCGCGCGGTGGTCGTAGTCGTAACCGTACGGGCCACGGTTAACCCACGCTTGGTCGATGTAGATGGAAGTAGGGTCGTTGATGGTCTTGCGCTCTCCGTTCTTGAGGGTGATGGTGACAGGCTTCTGGTTGGCGGTCTTGCCCTCGACGGCACCCAGGCCCATACCAGAACGCACCACGGCGACGTTCTTAGCATGCTCGAGGTGCTGGAGGACCTCTTTGGCGGCCTTCTTCTTGCTCAGGCGCATCTGCAGCATGGCATCGTCGATGTTCTTGCCGGCAATCTGGCGAGCAAGGGGACCCAGCTTCTTGACGGAGGTCTTGAACCAATGGGACTTGGAGAGGGACTCGCGCTCCGTCCGCATGATCAGCTCGGTGGGCGAGATGCGGCCTCGACGACGGATCTCGCGAGCAACCATCTTTTGTTCCCAGCGAGTCCGCGCCTTGGGGTTCGGGTCCAGCACTGTCTGCATCGTCTCCCGGTTTCGTCGGTCAACAGCATAGTCGACCTCTTCCTGGCCCTCCTCGGGGGCGCCGGGTTGCTTGCGAGCGGCGGGGGTACGGCCGGACGCCACCAGCTTGGGGCTGGCTTCATCCTCTGCGAAGATGGAGTCGGCGCTCAGGGAACCCTCGCGTTTGGCGGGAGCGGTGGTGCGGCGAGCTTTGGGCTTGGCGGCGCCGGGCTTGCCGCCGAAGAAGAAGTTCTTGATCGAGGACAAAGTGGAGGGCTTGGATTCGGACTCGGACTTGTCATTAGGACCGTTGGGACCGTCTTCGGAGGCTTGACGAGGGACAGTGTAGGCCAGAGTGCGGCGAGGGACGTAGGTCAGGCCGGTCCGGGCTGAAGAGACTGCAGGGGAGAGGTGAGAATGAGAGGGGGCACAATTGGGGAGAAAACAGGGTTATTCGTCTTGCAGGTACTTACTGGACCGGATCAGCTGCCCATACTGGGGGACAGCACCCATTGAGGCCATGACGGACGATGAATCTGGAGGTGATTGCACGGGGTCCGGAGATCAGAGGGAAAAAAGTGTCGGGATGAAGACTGGGCCTTGGCGGTGCGTCTCGGGTCTGTCCGGTACGCCGGATGTTGCTGCCTCGACACCTGAGAATTCCGGGGTCAAGATTCCAAGCCGCAAGGCAGGCGCTAGTCAGTTTTTGGAAGGGTAAGCCGCGGCGGGATCATGTGGCTTTGGCTGGAAAGGGAATCCCGGTCCTGCCAATCACGGGGTAAGGCTTTTCTGCACAATGACCTCATAGCCCGGCCTGGTGTGGTGGCCTCGGCCTAACCCGCTTTGCCCGTTCAGGTAGCAGCCGGCCAGGCCCTCTCACTACAGTAGCTGTACTACATGCCATCCATCCATGTCTGCCGAGAACAGAGTTTAGAATTGGCCATGCATCGTTCAGGGCTCGGATCGCGCCTGAGTGTCTGGATCCTCCAGCCACTGGCCATTTATAGTTATCCGTCTCCCGAGCTAAATCCCTGGCCGGTTACACAGCACGAAAGATCGATCAAAGTCGAGATTCCCTGCTTTTGCAGATGAATTCCAGCCGCAAAAGTTTCTGGAGCATGCAGACTGCTATCATTTGATATGCTTTTCCATGGCCTATCGGCTTAGTGATAGTCCCCCTGTTCTGTTCATGCATGTCTGATGATTGATGCCCGTCTTAATACCATCCATAGAAGCAATATTATTCATTGCTGGCTGTCTCAATATTACAGGAAGCTAGCAGCCCTTTAATAACAACTAGCTTCTATGGCTCAGTTGGTAGAGCGCATGACTAGTAATCATGAGGTCCGCGGTTCGAATCCGCGTGGAAGCATTTTTTGCCCTTTCACTTTTTGCCCCCGTCACTTCTATATTAGCCCATCTCTCTAGGGTGGTGCTGATGATGAAGGTACACTTTTTTTTCCAGCTGGAGTAAGTGGTCATTGGTCAGCTGCCTTGCGAAATGTTACCGCCACATGCGAGATATTTCGGGTCTTGTGATCTACCAGCAATAAGCTTCTGCGCCGGTTGTAAGATGGGGTATAGGAATTAAGTTGGAGATTCAGGGATCTCTTGCATACTTTGCTGCGGTTTGTGGCTAACTTTTGCCTGTTCCCTACCTTCTCCTGGTCTCTTTGTGACTTTGTGTAGGGTTTTGCTGGGTGCCGGCAGCCCTTGATATGGATCGAGACACCGTGCGCCAGCCTCGAATGGTATGCAAGGAGCCTTATTGTTTCTTTGTTTTCAGTCGAGGTCCCGGGATGGAGCAATGTCCCAAGAATTCTCTTGTATGTTTCAATCATTGATGGCCGTCGCAGGCCCTTTTTTGGTTGTAGCTGTATATTAGCAGCGCCGAGTTATGTCCGTGATGGTGGGCAGCGGGTGGTTATACAGCAGGTGTGGGCAAGAAATAGTGTCTGCTAGGGAGGACAACGTTGGGCCAATTGACGATACACGTTGGTATACTTAGACTAGGGGGTTTGCTTCGTAATTGGTTGGTCACCTTAACTGAGTCAGTATCGACGCGGGGTAATTGGCTCAAGGAAGGCCTGCTGTGTATGCTGGGGCTCACCTAAGTAAGGGTGCTATCCGAGCAGTGGGTGGGGAAGTGCGTGGTTAGATTAGGATTGCAGAATGTGGCTGGCTGTGCTCTTTTTGCATGTGTGGGGGCAATTGGTGCGATCTGGGGGTAGGAAGGGTGCTGTATGGAAGCTCGGGATGGAAAAGGCATACACATGGCGTGGGCGCTCCTGCCTTGCACGGTGTTGGCAGGGATTCTTGTTCTTTGTGGTATTGGTGACTTCGCCATACCGATCGTGAGGTATCATATCGGAGAGCAGTGGCCTCAGCGAGGTATCCTTGGACTTCTGTTGAGGGTGCTTTCCTGCTGAAGTGTCAGCGATATACCCTGCAGGAAGATGTTCCCGCTGGTAGTATATATATGCCGTCGATGTTCTTTGATACCTCACTTCCCACAGGTGCCTGTGTGTGACACATGCTAGGTGACCTCTCTCGTGCGTCCGCATGGACACAGCGGAGACACCGACCGTGCATTGACTATTGCTGCGTGCTTCTGCTTTCGAATTTTGTTCTCGACCAGCCGCATGTGGCGTGCTGACGGTGTGAGTATGAACCTCTGCTGGCATTGTGGGTTCTGTGTTGCTTGGATGGGTTTTTGGTGCACTGCGTTATGGTGATTATGGTAATGGCTTTGGTTGGTGTCTGTTGCTTTGTGTGTCCTTAACCAGCACCATTGTGGTGGTTGTTGTTATTGCGATTGGTGTGATTATTGGCCTGTGAATGAATGGTCACCGTCGTGATAGCGCAGCGTCGATACTAGTAGTGTTAGTATATATAGTAAGCACCGAAAGCCGGCAAACATCATCAGCAAGGGCGGCAAGCTGTAGGCCATGGAAGAAATGACAGAGTGAGCAGAAAATGAACACGGGTTTCCTCAAGACCAGATATTATGCCTTAACATATCTCAAGCTGTGTTCGTATAGAGTAGTAATGATAGCAGTAATAAACCATCTGTGTCGAAGACGCGGACAGCCCAAGACCATTAGATGCTGTTATTATCTAGCCTAAGGACATGTAGCATAAGAAGCACGCTGATCATAACAACTAGCTTCTATGGCTCAGTTGGTAGAGCGCATGACTAGTAATCATGAGGTCCGCGGTTCGAATCCGCGTGGAAGCAATTTTTTGCCTTCATCAATACCTATGAATAAATGCTTTATAGCTTTCAATGTAGACAATCATATCAACCAATCAGCTTCTATGGCTCAGTTGGTAGAGCGCATGACTAGTAATCATGAGGTCCGCGGTTCGAATCCGCGTGGAAGCATTTTTTGCTCTTTCGTCATTCCGTGACATCGTCAAGCCTCCACAGGCCGCAGAACCAATCAAACAGGGGGACTATTCGCCGAGCGCATCACTAGTTAAGATGAAATCCTCGGTTCGAGTCCGAGTGTGAGCCTGCATCGCTAGCCTTGTAGAGGTGTTAGGGGGGGTTGAGCCGGGGCAGTAGATAGGTAACAAGGAACTCATCTATGACTTGACCGTCTGGGAAGCTCGTAAACAACGCCTGTTTATTTATTCACGTTTCTTTTTCTTATATTCTTCTCCAAGCTTACACAGTATAGCCAACCATTGGGGAAGAAAGATACATGGAAGTAACAGACAACAAACAATAAAAGCAGGGGTAAGTTATAGGGAGAAACACCGAGGTCGTTGGCGGGGAAAAAGCAGGAACCTCCCCTCCCCGTGCACCCTTTTCTTTTTCACGATGACGATGACGATATTCCAGGCACTTGCATGGTTGGCTAGCACCTAACTAGCTGGATCGTCACAGCTCTGGATCGTTTCAGATGGTGGGTGAGTGTATTTTCCCTTTTTTGCTTTTATCTGCTGTTGTTATTTCCTTCAAGTCCGAAGTGGAGGGTAGGTAAATAGGTAGATAGATAGAGATGATATAGTAGGTGCAGTTAAGCTGCTGCTGTTGGTGAGTGATTGATTGATTGATTGTTAGTCAATATTATTTGATCCATTCCCTCTGCTACTGCTGTCTGTCTGCTCAGCTTTTCTCATGCCGAGCTCAACTCCCATCTCCACCGCGTCGATCCACTGCTCTCTCTCGTCGGCCTCACATATCTTTTCTCACTCTGGTCTTTTCCGTTCTCCTCCCTCCCACCCTTTCCTTCCCTTTTTCCCTCCATCCTCTGCTATCCAGGGACTTCCCGTGCGTGTAGTTCCCACGTTTCCTTTTGTGCCCTGTATGCTTCCTGCCCCCATCGACCCGTTTTCTCCTCCTTTCCCCCATCCGTTCCCGCCGAGAACTTCTCCGCTGACCAGCCCGTCCAGGTTCGCTATCGCTCGGACCAGGAGAGCTTAAAGCCTTAAGCCTTGGGAGTCCGTCGGTCCCTCCACGCAGAAGTGTCTCGTTCTCGTTCTCCCTCCGTCCGCGCCTCACTTTAGCAGCGTTTCGCAAGCGCCCAACTCGTCAAGCTCTCTTCTACTTGCAGACAAACTACCAAAAGGGCCAGAAACCAGCAAAATAGACAATCAAAATACAAAACAAAAAAGAAACGGAAGAGGAACTAACAACAGCTATCATAATTCACCACATCCCGTCAATTGTTTAGTTTTCCTTTTTTCTTCTATTTTCTTTTAGATCCACACCTTTTTTTTTCTTTCTGATTATCTTTTTTCTTCTACATCTCTGATTCTCTTTTCCACTTATCATACTTCCCTCACACCCTTCCAGACTTTAATTGTCTTTGTTCTTCTTCGGGACTACTTCCCTTTCCACTCCATCATTTCTACTGTCAACCTCCGGCCACCCCTCCACCTTCCAAGACCAGGGCCAGGACAAGGAACGGCCAAATCCTGGACAGCTAACCTTCGCCCGGTCATAAGGTCTGAACAAGACAGGCTGTGAACCGGTGCAGGAATGGACTCGTTGATGAGGCGTCTTGCGGTGGTTCATTTAATCTAGGTTTCCTTTTCTTATTCCTTTATTTACTACATCCTTTCCTTTACCCTTTTGAATCTCTGCCTGAGGTCTTCTTCCCTCCCGGCTCTGCTACTTACGTCAGCACCGGGCTCGCTGGCGCTTGGACTTTCCTCTATCCATCAGCTTTGGCATTTGCGTTCCCTGGTCCTTCTTCCCTCCCCCGCCAGTCCGGCCACAGTCTTGATGATGGACATCAATTCACTCCTTTCGCCCCAGGATGCCAATTCACAGTCCGGGCGCTCAATCCCTTCTGCGGGTTCTTCCTCCGTCCCCAATAATTCCTCTTCCTCTGCCCCGACCTCTGCTCCTCATCCGAAGCCCTTGCGAAAGAGTCGCCCCGGCTCGACCAAGCAAGGCATGACTTCCTCGCCGCTTGCGCAGCATGTCTATGCTCCATCCCACCTGCCTGAACCTTCGCCGCCCGCCATAAGTCCCAAGGTCGGTCCTAGCGTGGGAGGTGGGAATGGTACTCCCCCAGCGGCTGACCTCCCTCCCCCAAGACAACCGTCTACCCCCGGCATGGACACCCTGGCCGACCTGGCGTCAATGCAGCACCATCAACCGCAGCGATCCAATGCCCCTATCCTGCGCAGTACCGAGTCGTACGAGCACCAGCTTTCCCCTTCCACCATGTACCCCCACGTCAACCCGATCTCTCACAACACTCCTACCCCGCGCTCCTCCTTCGATATCGCCATGTCGGATGGCCCGCGTGAAAGCGCTCGTCGAAGCTATATGGATACCTCCCTAGTCCCGAACGCCCAGCGACAGGCGACAGAACTGTTCGCTCAGATTCAGGAAAACCCTCAGTCGTACGACGCGCACGTTCGCTTCGTTCGCCTCTTGCATGCGGGCTTCGTCAACCACGTTTACCCTCCGAATAACCCCGACATCCATGGCGATCCCCGAAAGTACGATCTGCTCAAAGACATGCGGACGGCTCGAGAGGAGATGGACAAATTGTTCGCCATGGGAGAAGATCTGTGGGCGGAGTGGATCCAGGATGAAAGCATGCTGGCACAGTCGGTGGAAGAGCGCATCGCAGTGATGGAGCTCTGTCAGCGTTCGATCGAGGAAGAATACGGTAGCACCAAGCTGTGGGGCATCTACGGCGAGTGGCTCCTGTATCTCTACAATTCGGCCAACGGAGACGCCAGTCAAAGCCAGTGGACTGAGGAAGACCGCATGGTTGGTCGCGAAGTCTTTTCCTGGCAGTCCGTCCTCGACGTGTGGCAACGAGGTGCCGAGTCGACGCGGTGGAGAATTCACGACAGCCACCTGGTTTGGGATCGTTTCCTTGACTTGCTCGTGCAAGACCTCTCTCGCAACCCATCACAGGACAAGATCAACCATGTAAGAGGGCTTTTCGACCTTCGTCTCGCGACTCCTCATGCTACCTGGGATCAAACCTTCCAGTTATTTTCCGGGTTTATCTCGACATACTATAACGCCAACTACGAGAATATCATGGCAGAAATGGCCGGGAAATATTCCACGGCAAGCAAGGAGACGTACTCCGCCCGCGAGGACTTCGAGATCCGGTTGCGCAACGCGGCCGAGGCGGGCGACATGGGACAGGAATGGGTTGTGTTCACTGAGTACCTCGAATGGGAGCTCAATCGTAACCGTCGCAAGCGGCACACAAACTTCGACCTAGTTAACGCGGTATACCAGCGCGCCGTGCTGCGTTTCCCGACCGATGCGAACATGTGGGAAGATTTCATCATGTTCCTCATCGACGAATCCATGCATGGCAATACAAATACCACGACGATTTCCACACTCGACCGTGCGACCCGGCACTGCCCCTGTTCCGGCAGCCTCTGGTCTCAGTACCTGCTCAGCTCCGAGCGGGAAGGCCAGTCGTTTTCCAAAATCGCGGATATCAAGCACAAGGCCACCAGTACAGGCCTGCTGGATGCGGGCGGTATGGAGGAAGTACTGAAAGTGCATACGGCGTGGTGTAGCTACCTCCGTCGGCGGGCCTTCCTGTCCGATTCTACTGACGAAGACATCGATGTGGCGGAGGTTGGTATCCGGTCGGCTATCGAAAGCGTTCAGGAACTGGGCGAGAAGAAGTACGGACGAAACTACCAGGGCGACCCGTTATTCCGGTTGGAGCGCATCTACATTCGTTATCTCAGCGAGAGTGGCAGTTGGGACAGCGCGCGGGAGACGTTCAAGGGTCTCGTGGGACGTCGTGGCAATAGCTACGAGTTCTGGTTGACTTACTACGAGTGGGAGCTCATCTCCTGGAGTAAGTTTGTTCAAAACGAAACTACGATCGATGCCGCCCGGCGCACTCCGAACCCCAGCTACGCCACTGCGGTGCTGAAGCAAGCGATCAAACGAACCGACCTCGATTGGCCCGAGAAGATCATGCAGACCTACATCGCGCACTGCGAGGACTACGAGGACTCGGATGAGCTGCAGCTGGCGATCTTGGAGACGCGCAAAGCGATGAGAGCCGTGACTGCGCGCCGCGAGCGCGACGCAAGGGAGCTGGCCGCGCGGCAGGCCGAACAAGCTGCCGTTGTGGAACAAGCCACCACGCAGGCGGAAAAGCGCAAACGGGAGGAGGAAACGGGCATGAACGGACTCCCTGCCAAAAGAGCTCGTGCAGAGGAGGCCGAAGTGTCGGTTCCCGTCGCCGCAGAGCCGGTCGCGCTTCGTCGTGATCGCGAAAATGCAACGGTCGTCGTTAAGAATCTACCCCATGGCATCACTGAGCACAAAGTCCGGCAGTTCTTCCGCCATGTGAGTTGCCCCTTACTGAGTGTTCTAGGGCTGTGTTAGCTAACCGAGTTACAGTGTGGTACGATAAATAGTGCTAAAATGCTTTCCAGTGATGACGGAAAGTCCGAGACAGCCATCATCGAGTTCAACTCTAAAGATGAGGCTGTTGTCGCGCAGACGCGTGACCAGAAGATCATTGATGAGCATACAATTGAGGTTCAGTTCGGATCGGGGTCTACGGTGTTTGTAACCAACTTCCCAGCGACAGCTGATGAACAATACATTCGCGACCTGTTCCGTGAGGTGACTTCCCCCCGGTGTTGCACTGATCCAAACGTTGGCTAACCGACTCTGTAGCACGGCGAGATCATCGATATCCGCTTCCCGTCCCTCAAGTATAACACGCACCGGCGATTCTGCTACGTACAGTTCAAGACGGCCGGAGAAGCTTATAGCGCCACGCAGTTAGACGGGGCGACAGTGGGCAATGGCCTGCATCTGGTTGCCAAGATCTCGGACCCGACTCGCAGGCAGGACCGTCAGGGACCCATGTACGAAGGACGCGAGATTCATGTGTCTAACCTCGACTGGAAAGCTAGTGAGCAGGACGTGGAGGAGCTATTCCTACGGTTTGGAACTGTGGAGCTGGTGCGCATCCCGCGCAAGGTGGACGGCGGCAGCAAGGGCTTCTGCTACGTGGTCTTCTCGTCTAAGGTAGGTGTCCCGGAGGATGCGCGAGGGTTTTAGCTAATGCGGTCTGCAGGAGGAAGCTGAGGCGTCGTTAGTGATGCACGAGCAGCAGTTCCGCTCGCGACCTCTTCATGTGAAGTTGTCCACCCCGCAAGGGGCCAAACGAAGCGCGACAACCATCTTGTCTCGCGTTGGGACCCGGTCCCCGTCGGTCGAGGTCAACGGGGCTAGGCGTGAGGCGAGCGAGGAGGTGCCAAACAGTGAACGGCAAGCACGCACGCTGGGCCTGATGAATGTTCCGGACACGGTCAATGATGCGCGAATTCGGGCACTCGTCGAGCCGTACGGCAAGCTGATCAAGATTGTGCTGCGGCCTGACCACCAAGGAGCGATTGTTGAATTTGCGGACGTACATGAAGCGGGCAAGGCATCCCTGGAGTTGGAAGGGCAGGAGATCACCCCGGGGCGGAAACTGCACGTTGGCACGGTACCGGAGATGTTGAAGCAAACGGCGGAGAAGAAGAGCAGCAACGGACCCAGCCAAGGTACCAGCGGCAGCAGCAAGGCCAAGGACAAGCCCAGCGGACTCTTCCCGGTTGCAAAGCCGATCAAGCGCCCGCCGCAGCCAGGCGCGCGCGGCGGCAAGCGCGGCGGGCTGGGAGTGAAACGGGCGACGGCGACGAGCTCAGCGAACGGGCAGACGACGACCACGACGACCACGACGACGACGATGACGACCGACAGCGCAGCCCCGGGCGAGGGGCAGAGCACGAAAAAGAGCAATGAAGACTTCCGAGCGATGATCCAGCGGAGTCGAGCGGGCTGAGGGAGGGGCGCGGCGCACAGGATGGCATGGCGGGAACCGGCGTTACCTCTCCGCTTGCTAATGACCACTACTACCTCTTGCTAAACTTGCTAAGAGATTTCGAACTTGGCGTGATGTGAATTTGACCTTCTACCGGCCAGTGCTGATGTTGAGATGTTCTTGCTGATGCGTTTGCATTTGCCGCTTTGTGTATTATCATATAGCCTTAACCCTGCCGCCGGCTGAAGTTGAATGTAGATTATTATTCTCTTTATTTTGAATTGGTTCTGTGTGTGTATTGTACAGTTGTAGATGGGGGGTATCTTTGCTGTATATCTACTAATATAGATAGTAGGGATAACGTTATCCTATAGCCATGTATGGCCATACTAACCAACCATTCCTGGCCGATGGGGACAAGCACACGTGGACCGACCAGGTTGAGAACGGACCAAGTCCACCACCGGTCGGGGAGTTGCAGGAATTCCTCAGGAGGAGGGATCAGTCGATGTTACTAGTTAGTGAACGAATGATAGATAATCATAGGCCAATGTGACCCGCAGGCAACACTAATGAAGACTCAATTCCCGTAAACAAGCTCTCTGGTGACCCGATGGACGACCGGCCCCTTGCTTCCGAAGTTGGCATGATGGATGATGGATATCGAGAGAGCAAAAGAAGCCGGGCAGCAGCTGCAGTGCAACGTTCGGGAACCGGTTGGCCAGAGGGTTTCAATTCAGTGCACATCACACCTTTTGGCAGTCCATCCCCGCCATGGAGGAGGGCGCTTTGACCGAAGGGATCGACGGTCACTCGGGGGTAGGAATGTTTTATTCGTCTGTCCGCTGATGGCTGAGGGAAATACCGGTGGAGATGATGATGGACGAAGTATCATACCAGATGGAGGGATATTCCTCCTCCCTTTCTTCAAGACATGCGAACCATGAGGACATGACCAGGTCAGTCTTGTCATACACTACTTACTATTTCCCCCACCCCTCCCTCTCGGTTCTTTTCACGATGCTGAGGTATTTCTTTGGGGGTGGGAGGTCCTCGAGGTCGAGAGTAGATGTTTTTGTTTTGTTTTCCCTTGATGATATGATGCTGAATGGACTGATTTGATGCTTTCGGGGATAAGCTCCCGAGCGCAACTGTCACTGTCACCACCTGACCAGCCCTGCTTCGTCTGCCTTCAATCCGGCTTTTTTAGTCCAACTCCTTCTCCTCTTCTCCTCTTGATTCCCCTGATTCCCTTTTTTTACTTTCTTATCCCGGTCGGGATTCTCATTTCCCTCCCCTATATATCATCAATCTAATCTTTTCTCACTTCTCTTCCTCCCCCCCCCCTGGTTGCCTCTCACCGCCCCATCCGATAGCCTGCACGGGCTCTGCTGCTTGTTGTCGTCATCGCTACTGGCCGCTTGCTTCCCCCGCCGTGATGGATTTCCATCTGGTGCCTCGAGGGGAAGACCGCAATTATACCGGGTTCCTCACCAAAACCATTGTCTATACGGCCTCGTTGATCGTATTCCTGGCCTGTAAGTAAGGTGGCGCTCGTTCTGTTCGCTAGTTACAGAGCTAGCAATTAGTACCTGGAGTTCTCCTGCCCTCGATGCAATTCGTGCACGCGCACACAACACCAACTAACAAGTCTCTCCACGCAGCTTTTGGTCTCACCGTGGCCTCTATCGTCGTTCCAAAATGGGTCACCTTTACTGATTCCGATGTTGGTTTTCCGTCCCGTCCAACTGTCCGACCAGCCACTAACAAAGAATGATAAACTATACAGCCCCGCTGGCGTTACACCTACGGCCTCCACCGTCGCTGCTCCCATGTAACCGGTCTATGCGAGTCATTTCCCCAGAAAGATGACTGCCACGGCGACGATCGCTATTTCTGCTCCATGTGGCGCTCCGTCGGCTTTCTCATGTCGTTCGCCATCGTTTTGGAGGGAATGAGCGTGGTCGCGTATTTGATCGTCTTGTCTGGGGGGAAGCGCCTGCGCGAGTCGGGGTGGAAGATAGTTAGTTTGTTGATTATTCTGTCGGCGGCGGTACAGGCAGCTAGCATGTCGCTTGTGGTGAGTTTCCTGCTCATGTTCGTACCTATTGGTGGCATGCTAAGAGGGGTTAGGCATACCTCGTCGACAATGAAGACCGATTCGCCTCTGGCTGGGTATTGGATGAGTCGTGGATTTTCTGCACCGTGAGCTGGTGCGTGAGTCTGTTCGTCGCCGGAGTGTTGATCCTCGCGGGTAATACACTGCCTTCGGAGGGTGGTTATGAGTTGATCCCGGATCAGATCAACTAATTAAGCTATGAGCCGATGGCTCTGATGGGATGGATACGACGATATAATGAGGAATATGCTATGATTGGCAATGAGTGGCGTTGGTGGATGATTGCAGTATGCTTTTCAGCCTGATGTTATTGTTATTGGTACTTGAAAACGGTGTAGCTAGCTGGTATAGTTAACTTGATATAATTATTTGAAAATCTGTTGTTCCTATTTGATGAAAATTTCCCCGAACAATCTCAGGAAACTTATCTAAACCCCGAATAGGGGCATTCTTAGCATCTTCACCCTTTCCTCCAGTCCACCTACTCGGATATCTATAAACTGATTTAAATACTCATGCAGAGCAGCCATAACGATCAAGGTAGCTGTGTATGGTGGCAGACTACTTCTAGTTGATTTCCAGACATTCCCGTATTGTTTCTTGCGGGCCTACTGGCATAAAATTATCCGTAGTTGGTGGTCTAGAATCTGTGTGTTGTACGTGATGCGAGTTGTATTGTCTGATAAACGTGTAGTGTCCATGTGCTTGTGTAACTGATGTTTTCTGATTTCCTTGACTTGAAATAGTGATGTTTCAGGATCTAGTGTGGACGTTATGTAGTGAATGTGATTGATCTTATAGTCTTATAGCGTTGGAGATTACATCGAGCCACCTTTTTACTCTTTATCACTACTCTGTATATGCCCATCTTTGACTATACCAAAATCCTTACCCTCTGTTATACCATAAAGCCAGATACATTCACACACCAGCCGATCCAATCCATAGACACAACTAGTTAGCTAGTAAGTAACATAAACAACTGAAAGATAACCCCCACCCCATCCATCCACCCACCGATAAGCCACACCCCGATAAGCCCCCCTTCATAATATAAGAAGCCCACCACCGACCCCGCTCTCTCCACACAACCACCAACATCCTCACCAACAGTCCTTCCTCACCACTAAAAGAAAATAGTAACAACCACCCAAAATGCCCGGCCTAACCCCCTCCCAACTCGCCACCTTCAACTCAACCGGCTACCTCATCATCCCAGACTACCTAACACCCTCAGAAATAACCTCCTGCCTGACCGAGACCAACAACCTCCTAACCACCTTCCCCCTCGACACCCACCCGCTCACCCAATTCACCACCGGCGACTCCTCCCCCACAGACAAACATGTCGGCGACACCTACTTCCTGGAATCCGGCGACAAAGTGCGCTTCTTCTTCGAGCCGTCCGCCATCGACTCCACCACCTCCCGCCTCCTCAAACCCAAGCACGAGGCCGTGAACAAAATCGGGCACAGCTTGCACACCCTCTCCGAGCCATTCAAATCGATCACTCTCTCTGAAAGAAATGCCGAGATAGCCAAGTCGTTGGGCTTCAAGGATCCAAGGGTCTTGCAAAGCATGGTGATTTGCAAGCAACCCGGGATCGGGGGCGCCGTGCCCCCTCATCGCGACAGCGAGTTCTTGTATACGGATCCGCCGAGTGCCGTGGGGTGGTGGATTGCGTTGCAGGATGCCGGGAAGGGGAATGCGAGTTTGGGGATGGTCAAGGGGAGTCATAAGCGGGGGGAGGGCATTGGGAGGAGGTTTGTTAGGGTTTATGATGATAAGGGGGAGGTGGATGGGACGGGGTTTGTGGAGAATACTGGGGGGAGGTTTCCGAAGGGGTTGGAGGTGCAGGAGGGTGGCGAGGGTGATGATGGGGAGGAGGAGGTGGAGGTGGTGGATGTTAAGGCGGGTTCGTTGGTGTTGATTCATGGCAATGTCTTGCATAAGAGTGAGAGGAATACCGGGGATAAGAGTCGGTTTGCGTATACGTTTCATGTTATTGAGGGGGCGGAGGGGTGGAGGTATGATGAGAGGAATTGGTTGCAGCCGACTGGGGAGGGATTTTCTAGGTTGTATGCTGATAATTGAGAAGGAAAATGCATGCATGTATGTATCATCTATGTAGTAGCCACCAAACTCCATCCAGGTATCCAATAGTAGTAACTATAGTACTTTAACAGTCATGCTTTTTTGGTTTTGTTTTGGTCTGTTATCTGTTATGCTCTCTGCTCATGCAGCAAGCATCTCCAACATTCCCTTCGTCTGGTACGCTTGATGCGCCATCTCCACCTCGTCGCGCACTCGCCGGTGCAGTCGCTCCACCATCTTGTCGATCTGCGCCGACTGGCCCAGGTTGCCCGAGTAGATATCCAGCACGTTCATCGCCACCTCCACACTCAGCTGCACCAGTCGCGGCTCCGTGATGTTCTTGTGCACCCATTGCAGCACCGGCTGCAGCGTCACCTCGTCGCGATTCTGCAGGGACGCCCGCAGCGCGGACCGATGCCGCAGCGCCGTCAATAGCGTCAATTGTGCTGTCTTGTCGTTCGACCGCAGCACCTGGTCCAGGGCCGCCGAGTACTTCGCCTTGCGCAGGTCGAGTTCCCACGGTTGCTCCTTCTTCCGCTTCTTGAGGTCCCGCCCCTCGATCACAATGTCCACGCCCTCACCGACAAAGTCCTGTCCGCGCAGGCGCTTCTCCCATCCGGATCCGCGCTGCTTCTTTTGCTTGGCCGCCTTCCGGTCGTGCTCTTCCAGCTTGCCTTCCAGCAGCGCCTGCATCTCCTTGCGGCGCTCGCGCTCACGGATCTTCTGTTGTCCGGACAGGCGGGTCTTGATCGACAGAAGACCAGACTGCATACCAACGGCAATGTGCTTGTCCTCCTGGGCGATGCCCGATGTGATCGCGCGAAGGGAGAGAATGGGGGACGGGTACTTGGAGCCCGAGACCATGTTCCAGCCGGTCGTTTCGAATACCTTCATGTGGCCGTCCAGCGCACCGGAGAGCAGGCGCTCGCCGTTCGACGCCAGCGCCAGCGACGTGACGGTCTTTTGGTGGCTCTGAATCATGTGCAGGGGCTTACCGGCCACGATATCCAGCACCGCGATCTTGTTGTCGGCCGCCGCAAGCACCGTCGTGCCCGTGGGCATGGGGAGCACCGTCTCAATCGCTGCGCCCATCTTGAATGTCATGGCGGACCGGTTTTCAACGCGAGGATCCCACAGTCGCACGGTCCGGTCGTAACTACCAGAGACCACCAGGCCGGAGGAGGCCAGAGACCCCGGCATAAATGCACCGCTGCGCACGTAATCGGTATGGCCAGTGAAGACCTTCTGGCTGTTCTCGCTGGGCAGATCCCACAGTCGTACCGTCCGATCGTCACTGGCGGTCATGACGCATGTAGGGTCGCTGGGAGAGAATTTCGTGACCCAGACGGGCTGCTTGTGATCCTTCCATGTCTTCAAGATGGCACGGGAGCTCACGTCGAACACCTGCACCGTACCAGAGTCGTCACCAACGGCGATGACTCGCCCGTCGGGACGGACATCTGTGCCTCGTACCGTATCATCGAAGCGGGTGATTGTGCGGAGGAGTTTGCGAGTGCGGATGGAGTAGATCTGGACGCGGGCGCCGGTGGTCACGGTGAACACATCGGGGGGTTGGGTGAGGGAAGGGAAGGCGGAGGCAGAGGAGGGAGCGGAGGGTTGCGTGATGAGGTTGACGGGGCCATTGGCTGGCGAGGGGATGAGGAGAGGATTCTTGAATGTTTTCCAATATTGCTGCTCCGGCGTCAAACGGGTCGAGGGCAGCGCCGGCAGCTTGACCTGCTGCAGAGGGAGGACGGGGGCAGCCATGGCTGCTGTGGCCCTAGTCGGGATGATTTGATGGGAAGTAGAATTTGAGACTGCTAATTGTATGAAGGAGGAGAGATCAGCCAGCAGCCTGCGCCTTGGACGTTGTCGGCGTCGTCGAAGTGGTTCGGGGAAATTTTTTGGACGGAGCCTCTATCGCATCGGGAAAAGTCTATCGGCGCCCGATTAGGTTTAGCGCGAGAAACTGCTATAGTCCATTTGGAGTTGATCTTTATCAGCAAAACATTATCCATCAGAAAAGATCTTGTGAGTTTTGCTAAGACATAGGAGCTGAGCTATCTTGCTGTATAATATGGTGGCTCTGAATAGCTCCTATACATGAGCAGCGTGCTTCATCAGTTGTTGTCGATGTGTATCTCATGAGGTAGTTCTCAAATATGTGCGAACTCTTTGGCCATCGTCAGTAACTGGATATTAGCCATTGATTTCTCAGCACTTTGGAGATAGAAGACATAGAAAGTTAGCCTTAAGGATATTTGCGGCTGATACAGACACCCAGAGTAACTTGGTAGAATAGCATTTGACCAGAAGCGTTTTTGGAACAAGAATCTGGAAGCCATTGAGACGAAGAACAATTGTCTCAATAGCGAACCGTCAGTTTACGCAGATAAACAGTTCTTAACTCTTTTTTGCTACTCAGTTCCTAGTGAAGATGAATGGGGAAGACAAAAGTACCTCTCGGCTGGTCTGTCCGGGCCGCAGCTTCCCTGGCACTAACAGCAGCGTATCTACTATCTACAACGGAGGCAGCTACACGAATCTCCATACCATGAGAATCCCCACAGACAACACATAGATCTCTCGATTTTTCTACTTTCTATACTGCCATAATACCCAGACCAGAATTGAACAGCAGTTCAGCAAACGTCCAGACCGCATCTGATGGCCCAGACCGACCTCACCGCTGAACGCCAAAACACGTCATGAATCAAGAGCTGAAACTACTGCAAAGCTGGCCGAAGTCAGTATCGGTGACCCAGTCAGAGAATGCTCTAACTATTGCTCGGCTACCATTGCTGACCGGTAGCTCCTATCTCCCCAATTTGAGTCCCAGTCACCGTTTGCTCCACAGGCTTATGCGCGTTGACCAACACAAACCCAAGCATTGGACAGCTTGAAGTTATGGTCTCGAACAGCCTCAACAGCCTCATCAACGCCTTACCAGAATTGATATCCACCTTACAACACAGTCAAGTGTGACTAGGATGTGACGATGCCTCCGTGCCTCATGCCCTATCAACCAACCTGAGGTCCACTTGAACACCGGTATCTATGCTGTCACCATCAGACAATGACGGCTTAAATTAGCCAAGGACTACTGTGGAGTGAGACATCGACCGTTTTCATTCTGATCGGGCAGGATTTGAGTTATACTTGGGTATACAGAATGGGTCCAGCTATGGATCAATTGTGGAGGCTTGATCTAGCTATGTGCCTGGCCGAATTTTCTCCGTCTGCAGTGCGATTGCCTGGTTCGGGAGAAATAAGCATGGGGATCCATGCCATATCGCACTGCTCCATAGCAAGCTCCCAGTTGCGGCAAATTGCTTACTCTTTAGTGGGGTTCGTCCTTGATTTCTCGTTCCTTGATTTCTCCAGGCTCTTCAATCTTTTGACTTTACAGGGAAGCCCCAGACACCCGCTATTGGCCGGCTTGCCAGGCACCCGGGACACCGTGGGAAGCGTCCGACCCATCCTTATTCGTGCCCGGCCGTGCAGAGCCGATCGGCCACACCCCAGCTGCCGCTGCCGATCGTCTGGCGGAATGCCACAGCTGCTAACCATCGGACACTAACCACTAACCACTAACCGCCTACGTTCCACGTGGGTGCGACTCCAAGATTAGTCTAGACCAGAAGTCCGCGGGCCCACGAATTCAATTGACTCTTCTCCGAGACGGAATACGGAGTAGACATCTGCCAACTTCAAGGCCTGACGCGGGTTCCTGGCGGAACAATCGCACGACTAGAACTTTTCGAGGTGCCGTACGAGATTGCTTCGCCCCGTCATGACATCAGCCTACGAAGCTCAATCTCGCTTCTGGTGTTCTGACGAATCAAGCCGAATCGTAGTGGCTGGGATCAAGCTGAAGCCGATGCAGCGCACAGGCAGCAGAATTGTATACTATTGACACCCTGCATTGTAGGCGTACTCGACCAAGTTTGGTACTGACGTATGCAATGGCGTCGCAGAAGCTGCAGCGACAGCACAAGGAGTGGAGGCGCACTGTAACGGAGCTGCCGCCCCAACTAGCAAGGCGGCCGCAGTGTCGGATGATTTACTGTCATCTCCACTGACACCGCAAGTATCATGTTTCGTGCGATATGGCCTTGGGTCTATGTGGTCGGCTACGGGCATGCTTGGTGTCGTATGAACGGCCAAGTGTCAACTTTACTCTGTGAAGGGGAGATCGAGAGAGTTATTCGTGGCATTTTCAGGCCCATCCAGGTGCGTGTGCAGCATCTTCTGTCTTGTATACTCGTCTCAGGTTGGAAATCCGTGGCTGGAAGTTATCCTCCAACCCGGCCTCCACATGGGGGGCCAGATCCCTAAGGTTGTCACCTCGTGATGACCGGGATCCGCCACCAGCTGCTTTAACCAATCAGGACAGAGAGCGCGAGTAATCTAACGACAGATACCAGTACTGATTTGTATGATTCCAAGCAGGAAGGCGCGATCGGGCCAATCACAGACCCACTCCCAGCCACATCACCCGCCCAACCTCCCCTTTTTCGGCTGGCCCCACCATAAGTTGCCACCCAATCAGTGCGCCCGTCGCTTATCGATAAGCCGCGATCCTCCAGCTCCCAGAACTATGCCCGTCCTCTCTCCCTTTCTCCCCTCCCTGCACTCATTTCTGCAAAACAACTTCACGCGAAACAAACTGGTCTCTCGTTTACTATTACTGCTCTACCTTGCTGCTCCACATCTGAAAAACAAAACCATCCAACCAACGCTCATCTGTCCTTCGTTACTCTCCTTCACGTTCTCTGTCAATCCACCCCAAACCGAACTGCGTCTTGTCACTCCTTCATTATATTTCTCCCTAGGATAGTCTAGCAACATGATGGACGCCAAAGTCCCGAAGCGGGGCTTAATGGCAATGGGTCATACTGCTCATGCAGCGGGCATTTTCGCGGATATGTCCGTGGATGGCCCAATTATTGGCACGTTGGTGGTCGTCGCCGACCGGGCCAAAAACCTACCAAACAGAAAAACAATGGGCAAGCAGAATCCTTACTGTGCTGCGCGCCTTGGAAAAGAAGCAAAGAAAACTGGCACAGACCTGCGAGGTGGTCAAACTCCCAAATGGTATGTATCTTGCCACCATCTGAACTCGGACGTCATATAGACGGTGCTGACTGACGTAGGGATGATGAACTTCGCTTCAACGTACACGAATCTCCAGACTACTATAGACTCAAAGTCTCCGTATTCAACGATGAGAAAAAGACCGATCTCATTGGAGAGACGTGGGTCGATCTGAGTGATCTGATCATTCCGGGCGGCAGCCAGAACGACCACTGGCATCCCTTGCAATACCGTGGAAAATACGCTGGCGAAGTCAGACTTGAAATGACCTACTATGATACGAGGCCCGAAGATGAAGCGGTGATCGAAAGAAGAACTCCCGCAGCTGAGAAGTCTCACCACCCGAAGAAGGTTGCATCTTTCAGCTCAGGTCCAGTGCCGGCTAGCCCTGGTACCCTCTCCGGTCCCAGGCAGTTGAAAGATGTCAAAAGACGCCCGCTCCCTTCAGATCCTCGCCCGAGATCCTCGGCGCACTCAAGCACATCGAGTAGCTCACCGGTTCGTGCCAATGATAGCACGAACTCGGCTGCATCCTTCAACCACCACAGCAACCACAACCACCATCAAGACCTCAGACAGCCAAGAGTGGATAACAGCAGCTCTGGAATGAGCGATAGCACCACCTCGCTTCCTACATACAATCATAGAGAATATGCAAACCCGCAACGACTGGATAGCAACAGTTTAGTCGTTGGCACTCCCACGGGATCCTACCACTCGAATCCATGTCCCTACCCTATCACTTCTTCGGATAGCGGTTCAGGTGCCACTCATAGCACGACTTCGTTGCCAAATTATCAGAATAATGAGTACTCGAGGCCTCATGTTGAGCATAGCAATCCGCCGATGAGCGACAGCTCCAGCCTGCTTCCACTCCTTCCAAACCCTCACCGAATTGAGTACGCTAGCCAGGCGCCGCCTCACAGTAGCAGCAACTCACTCGCCGGCAATGCCACGAGCTCGTACAATACGAGTTCATGTCCTTCTTATCACGCTGAATACACAAAAATACCAGACAGCAGTTCGTTTGCCTCGACAAGCTCAAGTGCGCAACAGCCGGCCTACGGGCATTATCGTGAATATGCACAAATTGGATATACCCCCCCACTTCTCACCGACAGTCAGCCGTCTTCCCTGTCATACGCGATGATGCAACCCCGTGTTGAGGACGAAGAAGAAGACGGACTTCCACCCCCTCCACCCGCCCATCGCTCAGGACTGGTGCCAACCAGCCAACCAGTGCCAGTGATACCCAAACCTGTCCCTCAGGCGTACACGCAACCAGCTCCTCTGCCGCAGGTTACCATGCCTGAGCCGATGGAAAAGCCTGCTTCGGACAACAGTCTGTATACGACCCCGTCGTGGGATCCCAATTGGGACTATCCCAGAGGCAGACGGGAGGAAAAGGTCGTGGCCACAACAAACGCGGTGCCAGCAAGTCTAGTCCCTGGTTTTGATCCAGTACTTGCAGCAGCCGAATCGGATCGCGCGGCGTATGAGCGAGAAATCAGACGAAGGAGCGGTAACTTCGATGAGAATCCGCTGCAAATGGTTCATAAGCCAGTTGATGACCACAGGAGGCATTCTCATGGTATCTACGACGAAAATCCTCTGAAGAAACCTCATGATACTCGGTCTCTCGTGAGTCGAACTTCGACAGCCCCGAATAATCAACTTGTCCCCCGAAGAAAATCAGTCAGCCCCCGACCCCCTTCGATGAGGGGCCGGGAGGTGTCTCCTGTTCCATTCTCTCCCGATTCCTACCTGCCTGAAGCGGCGCGAGAGCCAGCAGCGCGAGAATCAGGCCCCATTATAGGGGATGATGGTCGAGAAATCGATCCTTCCGACCACTTGCCTACCAATACCTGGGCCCCTGAGCCCGAACGAAAAACCAAAAAGCCGGGAGTTGTTGTGCGTTTCCGCAGCCCCGTTCATCGAGACAGTCCACCCAAGGACTACGGACATCGCAAGTCCATGTCCGAAGCATACTCTAATTCTCCCTCAAGGCTATATGCCGAGGCAAACAACCCACCTATACCATCTAAGGTCCCTGTTGGCCTCCCAACCAAAAGTTATGGAAACATTGATCAAAGCTACGATGCTCTGAGCCGAGAGCTCAATACGATAGATATTGGAGGATCTGGTCGAGGCATGAAAAGATATGCCCTTAGTTACGTGTCTTAGATAGATACTGTTTTTTCTCTTTTTCTCTTGCGTGTTATGGTTTGATGACAGCAATGTGCTACATCTTTCTTTTCTCTAAATAGGATGATTTTCTTTTCTTGTCTCTGGCAGGTTCAAGTGTTTGCTTTAGATAGCTTTCTTTCATGTCTCTTCTTTCGGTTTAGGTAGCTTTTCATTCTTATGTCAGATAGCTAGCTATCTTTATGATACCAATGTTACTCATCAAAAGGCCAAAGCATATGAAGCAATACTGATAGTAATTGACTGAACTAGATTATAGACTCTGACCCAGGAACACCAAGCCTGAATAGTCTTCCTGTGACAGCTAGTCGGGGCATCAAGCGGATAAACAGCACAAACCTCCAGCCATGATATCAGCTATCCACACAAGCAATCAACAAACAGCCAGAACCAACATCTTCCAGTACACACAGTCCCAGGAAGGGAAAGTCCCCAACACAACAAGCATCCCACCTACGCAAGCCCAGCAACCACCAGCAGTTCTAGAACCCCAATGGAAGAATCGAAGGCCAAGACCCGAAACAAATGAGATAATCACGGACCAATAACAAAGATACCATGATTCAGATTGACTTCATGATGAACCATTGATTGACATATAGCCCGTGCGGGGACCCATTCATGCTCTCTTATTGCATGGTACGGATGGATCGCAGAGATAGTTGTTGTTATTGGGGGAGAGGGGATGACATCACATTTGTTGCCACTGGGATGGAGCTGTGGGTATAAGTACCCTTGGATCTTTCAAGGACAATGCTTATTGTTGAATTATTATTCTGCAGAAGCTTATGCCATTCTATACTCATTGTATTATTATCAATTGATACAATCTATCTCAATATTCTCGGATATCTATCCATCCTACCACCAAAAAACAACCACACCACCACCACCACCACCACAAACAAAATGTCCTACCGCACCTCCAGCTCCTCCTCATCCGCCTACTCCTCCTTCTCCTCTTCCTCCTCTACCACCAACAACAACAACCCCCAAACCGAAACAACTGGCCACCGCTACGCCACTACCTCACACACCGATCCCACCGGCGCTACTACCGTCCGCACCGGATACCAAAATCTAGGCGAGGAGCCGGTGTTCGAAGAACGGAGGTTCGATTCTGCGGGTCGGGAGGCCGCGTTGATGGATACTCAGGGTGGAATGGGTGCTGCAGGCGGGACTAGGGCTATTAGGGAGTTGGATGAGGATGCTGATGAGGGGGACTGGGAGGATGGGACTTATTAAAGTCTTCTCTTGTCTTTTAGTGAGGGGATAATGTGTGTTTAGTTTGTTGGTAATGGTAATGGTAATGAAATGTGATCATGGATATTACGAAATAGAGAGTACTGTAGTATATTGTGATTGTTGGGTATAAGGAGAAGATGATGGGTTGGTTATACCATTCCCAGCTGCCTGAACCAGGCGTGGATGTCTAGACCGTCGCGCGGACACCTGGACAGACTATTCTGATAGATGGTGACTCGATCCTTTTGACAGACCATGCGACTCGAACGCGGCGGGTGCATCGACTGCGGGTATGTCTTGAGGTTCCCGGCGCTCATCAGCAGGATACTTGCAGGCGAGATTTCAACTGATCGTAGGATGCGCAAGGTGAGCTTCGATTGCATCTGGGGGATATATGATCAATAGTGGATGGGTGGATGTGACGTACCGAATTCTACGCCGATGACATTCCTCACAGGCCAGCGCGGTGCGCCGCCGTTTAGCTTGGGGAGCAGAACTGACAGATATCATTGGGAGAGAAAATGCTTGAGACGAATGTTGAAGAGTTGAAAGATGGTGAGAGTGAAGGGAAGTTATGTTAGTAACTAAGCTACAGTGAGAGGGGCGATCGAACTGGACCGCATGACTGTACTTTTCTATATTAGATTGGTACTACTTTTGTATACTAGGTTGGTACTCTTGTAAAGTGCTGAGCATCGGATTGTGATTGATCGAGAGAAGCGAATAGACCCAATTTTCGGTACATTATCAGTATTTAGATTATCAGCTGATCTATCAAAAAATGGAGATGTTCTAGCTTAAGTCCGACCTGAAGCCCCGCACAATATGCAGGCCGGAAAGGCTTCTAACATTTACACGCCGTGGTATACCATGTCCAGTGGGGTCTATTCCAGCCATGCCTCGATAGCAGCCCGCAAGTTCTCCTGCAGCCACTCCTCGTCCCCTCTAGTCTCGCCTTCAAAGCCATGACCCCCTGGCCGCAATGCCAAAATAATCTTATCCCCTCCCGGCTTCCCCTTCATTACTTTCCTTGCTTTGTCCACGAAAGCCTGACTAATCCCCGGAGGCACGATGTCATCATCCAGGCCGTGTCGGATAGAGATACCTCCACGAGGAAACTTGACGTCCGGCTCATCCAGCCGTTCCATAGGGTGCCGCAGTGCCCGTCGGGGGTCTTTCTCAGTCCCACGCTCGTAGAGTTCGTAGAGGCGTTCAGACTCAAGAGAAGCAAGCATTAAAGTCAACCGTTCAGGTGGCGTAAGCGATGACTGGACTACACCCTGTTCACTGTCTTTGATCGCTTCATCCACAAGTCGATTTGCCTCTTCCAGAGACAGACCGCTCGGACGGGGCCGGTCTTTTCGTACGGAAACATCCTCGACAGGGGCACTTAGCATGCCAGGAAAGGCTGCTGTTCCAGCCCGGATCTCCTCTGGGTGAGCCAGGGCGAGACAGATGCTCAGTGTGCCCCCGGCGGATTCGCCGGCAGTGATAATGCGATCCAGGTCAAGTTCTGTTGGATTAGGCTGAGATGATAGGAGTTCTGCCGCCACGGGCGAATGCAGCCAGATCCAGAAATCCTCAATGTCATCGAACAAGTCAAGGCCGGTAGCCTCGGGCAAGAGGCGGTAGTTCGGAGATACGATCACCGCATTGTGCTGTTTCGCGATGTCGAAGAGGTATTGAGGAAACCATTCAAAGAAGAGCGAGTCTCCGGTTAGCTACTGGAAGTTAGTATCGAACGTATTGAATGTGCCGGACTAGTGAGTGGACTACTTACGAAACCACCGCCATGAAAATGAATGATAACTGGCCGCTTGCCGGTGTTGTATGACGACTGGGGAATGATGAGATCGGCGCGGAGATTGTGATCGCCGACAGTCTTATAGTTGGTTTGGACCAAGTCAAAACCGGCCAGTCTTTTCTGCGCCAAGGGTGACTGCATTCTGTCAGGATTTCAAGTAGAAGCCGGACTGTATGATGGAGAGGGTGATGAAGTAGGCAGCAGCATCGTTTCAGCAGGAAATTGGCCATATTTATGGTCTGCTAAAGATCATATTGTTGGATGGGCAAGTCGGACACCGTGTAGATCCCATAACAGTATTTGTCTGGTTTGCTCTGTTTGTCAGAGGGGTATTCTGGAATGTGATTTGCTTTTCGAGGTGGTTTAGGCTGGTTGTTTGCATGATCACATCAGATGCAAACACATCTTACAAATCTCATGTTTGCGCTCGGAATCCTCGGGTTTGACAATGAGACCGCAGCTAGGCATTGCTTGATTTCTTCTCTGGAATGTAAAGTAAGCACTAATAGTTATTTGGGTTTCTTGCTCATCATTAATTGGACAGGTTGAATCTTTCGCATTTCGTCGCTAGTTCTAACCCCGAGAAAAGGAGATAATGATCGGAGACCGGGCGTGTGGGGATAGTATCCGTCTGGAAACAGATGCCCCCACCGGCTGCCGCGGACTTAAGCGCGCATACACGTCATGAGTGTCAACATCTTCAGCTATTCTGCGATTAATCTAGCGAATCATACCAGCCTGAACTTCAGTTCCCCTAGACCTGAACTAGTTGTTGCCATCATCAAGCTCCTCGGCCAGATAAGATGTCCTCCGGCAGCTACAACTACAATAAACTCGCGGGCAAGCATGTCCTGATTTTCGGAGGCACCTCCGGCATAGGCCTGGGTGTGGCCAAGCTTTCACTAGCCGCATCAGCCAAAGTCACTGTGTCTTCATCCTCAAGCAAACGCATTGAATCCACCGTCCAGGATCTCAAGTCGGAATTCCCAAATGCCCAGCTCCAAGGACACGTCTGCGATCTTTCCAAAGACACGATCGAAGAAGACTTCGAAGCGCTATTCCAAAAGACCAACCAAGTTGATCACATTGTTTTCACCGCAACCGATGCGCCAGCCATCATGCCCGTGCAAGAAATCACTCGGGAGAAGCTCATCGCTGCCGGTCAAGTGCGCTTTTTCGCGGCCGTACTCGTCGCCAAGATTGGCTCTCGATACCTCTCCCCGGGTCCGGATTCATCAATTACCTTGACGACAGGAACTAATTGGGAACATCCGATGCCCAACTGGACGGCGGTAGCTGGATACTTAGGTGGTACTTGCAGTGTTGTGTGTAATCTAGCGGTGGATTTGAAGCCGATACGTGTTAACGCTGTGAGTCCTGGACTGGTGAAAACTCCCCTATGGAACAATCTGATGAGTGAAGAGGAGCAAGAAAAGATATGCCAGTTTTCCGCAGCGAAAAATCCGACGGGAAGGGTTGCTCAGCCGGAAGAAGTGGCAGAGGCTTATCTATATTTGATGAAGGATACGAACATTACCGGGCGGATAGTGAGTACGGATTCGGGTGCTTTACTTGTTTAAGTACATAAGCAGCACTCCCTTGGAGGAGAAAATACACCATCTTGAGTATATGCAGGACACTTACTGTAAATATCTTACCCAACTCCTCATCTATTGGCTCCCTGGCACCAGGATGGCACGCAATTTAGGGTCCCAACACCATTTCTGCTATGTCCAGCATCAAAAGAAATATGAACACCCTGAGCTAGGCTTACCAAATCTCCCCTAAATATTTCCTTGAACGCCTGGCTGGTCTCATCAGACCAGGCAACTACACTGAAAACCAGTAACTTGACACAGGATGCAGACGCGTAAAATTCAAGGCCAAAAGAGAACAGCAACTGTCCAATCACCATCAAGAAGCTACAACCGAGCAGTGAACTGTAGTACAAATTAGGCACACATGGTCGAGTTCTCCCTTATATACTACCCGACATTGAATCCCGGACTAGGAGCCGGCGCCTCATTGATCTCACAACCAAGACTTGACCCCGGACATATCGGGGTCATTCACGTCCACATGCACATTACCTCATTATCCGAACGGCTGTATCACCTTTTGGAGGGTGATTCAGCCCTTCAGTTCTCTGCTGTGCGGGTATATACCCCCACACTGCCCCGTCAATTGTGATAGACAGGTTTGCAATCCCCCAGACAGATTGAACTTGTACATTCCTCGTATACGCCTAACATCGTGCATATACGAGTTAGTCAATTGACCAAGTACCGATAACTAGGCAGATACATGACTGAAACCGAGTCAGAGCCCAACATGAGCCATCATAAGCGACAAACAACCTATATATAGGACCACAATCTACTTCAATCTCATCACCTACAACTCAGATCAGGAATTCCAAACAAACAACAAACAACACAATCTACTACCTTATAATAAATACTAAATAGTACCCAAAATGAACCTCCTCCTCGCCACCCTCCCCCTACTTCTCCCTCTCACCCTCGCCCACCCAACCAACCCCCTAACCGCCGCCCTGGACGTCGCCCACGACGCCACCCAATCCGCCGCGAATATCATCAACTCCACCCCCAACATCATCTCCTCTGCTGCGCCCTACAACCTCGTCTCCGACCTCTGCACCCCAACAGGCGCAAACTACTGCAACCTGGGAATCGCCACATATGCACCCAACGGCCGGGTCCAGCTGCGCGAGACTTACGTCTACGATCGCTCCTGCAGGGGACTTGGAGCCCTCCCGCAGAGCATGGATACGGGCCATTGGTCTTTGCATTCGCTGCTGCCGTGGACGGTGGAAGTCGATGTTAAGGGCGGTGGGATTAAGCCGGAGGGCGACGCTTGGTATGCCGGACGGAAAACGGATCTGGGGAAGAAGATGGCATGTAAGGATTGTGCTGGCGGGTTGAAGGATTGGCAGTGTTGTAGGGTGGCGTTTGATTGTCGGTAGACGACTATATTATATTAGATTACTGGGAGTTGGCAGGGATAGGGGAGGAGAGTGATGAGGGTGTCTTTCGGGTTATATTGTCTTTGTCTTATTGGGGGGATTTGATGGTCTTGGGTTTATGGGACTGGGTATGGATTTGATGGAGGAGAGTATGTTGGAGAAGGAAGACTGTGGTCGAGTATGTAGAAAAGGGGGTAATGGGAGTGGAGCATAATTGCCGCCTTTATAGGTAGTATGATTCTGGGACATATTCCTCCATCGGCTGTCCGATATATCGTTTTAGTCTAGCAGTCAGCATTTGTCATATGATGTAGTCCATTCTAGATTAGGCCCATAGTGACCTAGTTATTATCTGCTACATCGTCCCTTTCATACGACACAGAAAGCTTCCCCAGCTGGATCGCTGGTGCTGTTGAATGAAGCACATGCTACGCCAGCTATAACTACCGAATTAAGGGCCCAGGATCCATCACAACAGCTCCACCCGGCTGAAAACCCCGCTTTCCTTTGAAGGCTAGAAATAGGCCCTACTGCCTTGGAAACGTGTCAGGAAGAGTTCTCATCGGGTCTCCAACCCGGATCATCATGGCCACTGTGAAATCCACTTCCAGCGCCCCAAAAGGCAACGCTTTCGTTGGAACCGAAGGGATTTATAACCTCCCTCACCACCAACGGGAGATCGATCGTCTGCAACGGCAGCACAACTTAATTCTGTCGTCTACAGGAGGTCTTCTCCTGAGCACGCCGCTGGAGAGCAATGCAACCCTGAGGATTCTGGATGCTGGTGCAGCGGACGGTAAGTGGAAAGGAGAGAGCCCATATATCCTCGATAGAATTGCGTTGATCGATGAGTCTGGAGCAGGAACCTGGCTTCGTTCTCTAACAGAGCACTATCCCAATCAGAAATGGTCCCTTCATGGCATCGACATTGGCTCCGCGCTTTTCCCGCCCCCATCTGCCGATGGACCGATTGTGGATCTTCAGAAACATGATGTCCGCGAGCCAATTCCAGAGCATCTGCACCTACCAGAGACCTTCGACATCATTCATCAACGATATCTTATATGGGGCCTGAAAAGCGCGGAATGGTCACAGGCCTTGGGAAACTTGCGTTCAGTGTTGAAGCCTGGAGGCTGGATTCAGCTCGTAGAAGCCCAATGGGTAGATCGTGACGCACCATTTGACCCTGTTGAGTTCCCTAACCTCGCTAAGATGTCGGAAATGCAAAAGTGGAGTACTGATGCTTTCGGAATGAATGCCTATATTGCTTATGAGCTGGAGGAATTGCTGCGACACTCTGGGTTCGTGAACATCACCAAGACCTCGTTCGCTATAGGGTATGGTGCAGTAGCTAGAGAGGAGCAGTGGAAAGTGACCTCTGCTTATTTATTGGTGGAAGGATACCGCAGCCTCGGGCATAAGATGCCTCCTGGTGGTATTCCTGGGGTGGCGAGGACTCCGGCTGAGTTCGATGCTTTCTTGGACGATTTGCGGGACGAGGTGTTAAGACATGGATATGCGCCTCAGCTGAACATTGTCATTGGGCAGAAGCCTCGGAACCAGCTTAGCCACCTCTGAGTGCACAGGCGCTGAGTTATTGTCCAACAAGGTATATGAAGTGATGTTATGTCTGGGGCTGCAGATTTTTATGCAATTATTCTCGAATCTCTTCATCATATCAAAGTAAAATGGCTGAATAACCGAGTCCAAGCATTATAACTAACCAATAGAGATGTATAGTCGCCAACGGTGGCGCCAGCCTCATGGCAGGTAAGCAAGAAGCTTCTGACCGGGTGGGGAGAGGTTGCGAGTGTGTACAAGTGGTACGAGGGAGCTGGAGCCTCCAACTCCTTTGCCTCCGCTGTGAGAATGTGAGGTGCTCCTTCCCCAACCACCCGCAGTGAGGAGGATTGCGAAGACTCATGATCGATCAAAAAGAATGCCAGTTGCTCTTCGCATCTATTCTGCCTACTGATATCTGATTCATGAGTTAGGTATGCAAGCATCTAGAGATGGCTAGGCTGCGCTGTTGACTCGCTTCACCACTATTTCTTCACTGAATCAACTGAGACAAGACTAAGTGTATTCCTACTACGGTGACTAATACCACCGCGGTAAAATGCTGCCTTTGATTGGACCCGACACTCGAAAATGTGAAACTCAGCAGCATCCCTACCAAAAGTCCTTCGCCACACTTCCCATCAGAACCTCATAGATCACGACCGCAACTGGCGCGGAACCTATCACAATCCAAAGAGGCCCTCTACTTGTTTTCCCCCCAGCCCGGCCACGCAAGGGGTGTGGATCCACCTGAACCTGCGGCCAGTTCTGCTGGCTCAGGCAGACAATGCTGCCTGCTTTGGTGGCTAAAACCATACATGATCTATGCGCACAGATTTGTTACGCAATATTTAGGTCGAAATGCCTATACTGCTCAGTAACCGGACGCATTTTGCGTGAGACATGAATCACCAACCAACACTCTACACCATCATACGTATGTGTCGGAGATCAACTATTTCCCCGAAGGCGCCATAATACTGATCCCAATGACAGGGACTTGTCTGACTGAGCACACTGAGCCTCACCGGTTGTGATAAGGTTACGGGCGTGCTTGCTGCATGTATGCGGGGTAAATAGCTCTGAGAGTGCACCAATCATGCAGATTATGAGATGATCTCAGTTTAATTACATGCGCCGTGAGGTGGCTGCTCTCACTTAATCACTAGGCTACAGCGTCGCTGCCTACCCAACAAGTAATGAGACTTTCCCCCAAAGAAACAACAATATAGGCCTTGATGAATGGTTAATGGTTATGCATCCTATAAGTATCTTGAACATCCTCTCCGGAAAGTCTGTTCGTTCATTGGGCTTTTTTCTATTTACTTACCTGCAGGGCTTAGATAGCTGACGGCAAAATGGGAGAACAACCGGGTTTATCAGATGAGGACATCGACGTGGACACCATCATCGAGGGACCGACCCCGATAACCAAGGAAGAATGCGGCAGCCAGCAAAATGATGAAGAAGGCCAAGAAAAGTCAACGGGAGCGGATTCTAATTCTGAAGAATGGCAGCACCTTGATAACACCGTTGTAGACGAGGCATCTTCTTCAGACCTTGAGGGCACTGTGCCAGATAACTCCCAGGAAGACTCGTCGGAAGAAATTACCAATACGGAAAACACGGCATCATGCGGTGATGTTGCAAACGGGGAGACGGACGATACAACAAAAGAAGGAAGCCAACCAGGTGATGAGGCAGCTGTTGAGACACCCGTTGACGAGGATGGACCAACAGTACCAAGTTTGTCTAGCGAAAAGGAAGATGTCAACCAAAGCAATTCGAGCGTTAATCCCGAAGAACTGAACGGAGAGGTAAACTTCTCTGATAGCGAAGAGCAGAGGGTTAATGCAGACAAAAAAGAGAGCGAAACAAACAAACTTGAAGACAACAAAACTGACGGCCAATATTACGACCGAATCCCCAAGATCGACGAGGAAATTAGTGACAAAACGGATGGCGACCAAATCGATAATGACAAAGCTGAAGAAGACGGTGATAATAGAAGTCAAGGCAACAGTGACGATGAAAGTAGCGACAATCGGAATGACGGAATTAACGGTGAAGAAGACAAGAGCCAGCGCGATGAAGATGACGAAGACACCAAATCTGTTTCTAGCACAGATAGCGACTACTTTCTCAAAGCATGGACGTATCTACCAGAAGACGAAGACAATGCTGATAGGAGTGATATGGACCTGAAGTTTGATGATCAAGCCATTGAAGACCTTGAAGCCAACGTGTACGACATGGACGATGACTCGCCATCCCGCTTGGGATGGCTTAGACAGAAAAGGCTACCAGCCAGGCCGCAGCCCTCCAAGAATGAAAAGAGGCTAGAAAGGTTGATGGACCGCGTCATGTGTCTTATTGGTCAGGAAAGTGTCAAGGCGCAATTTTTGGCCATCAAAGCCAGGATCGAGGCTGGTAAATCGCGGGGTGAAGACTTCAAGAAAGTCCATTATGGTATAATTATCACTGGAAATATAGGAACTGGTCAGTCGTCCTCATCCACCTGTGAGAACTTTCACTGAAGAATATAGGAAAAACAATTGTGGCCAAGCTGTATGCAGAGTTTCTTGCTTGTTTTGACCTTGTGGTGCGAAATGAAAGTCCGTATTTAGGGTGGCGTCTAGAATGCTCTAGTCTTACCCGTTGGTGCCCAGAACATGGTGTATGATCAGTGTTTCTGTTTTCTAAAACACATCCTTCGAGTACTGATACTCTCCAGGTCATGTTCGTTCACCGGGCCGACCAGCTTACATCAAATTCAAGAGCAACTGACGTGTTTCTCACCTTCATGCAAAATTACATTGGAGATATTGCCGTGATCCTTATAGGACCGCACAAAGGCTTCTGTGACACTGGAGCGTCTCGCCTGTTTACCTTAAAGCTGGCCCTCGAGGACTATTCTGATGAAGAGATCCATCGCCTATTGATTCGCATACTAAAGAAGACTAAATTGCACGTTGACGGAGGTTGGGATGGACCATATCTTAAGATCGTTACCCGTCGGATCTGTCGTATGCGATCAGAAAAAGACTTCAGTAATATGCTTGCTCTGCGCGCTGCTTTGGAACAGGTGATGAATCGTCAAGCTTTGCGGCTCCGACAGTCAATAGGAGATACGGCTGCCAAGCGTGGGAAAGCTCCCAACTATAACTTCCTGACAAAATTCGACCTTGTCGGCCCGGAACCAGGGAACAGGTGGAAAGACAGCAAGGCCTGGAAGCAACTGCAAAGTATGATCGAGCTTCGAGAGGTCAAAGAGATGGTCGATGAACTTGTGCATAGAGCAAACACCAATTATCACCGTGAGATTCATGACCTACCTCCAGTTGATATGCCTTTGAACAAGGTGTTTCTGGGTCCTCCAGGTACTGGCAAGACGACGGCTGCCAAGCTATATGGGCAGATTATTGCCGAACTTGGTCTCCTCTCTGGTGACGAGGTTGTGGTGAAAAATCCATCTGATTTCATCGGACAATATATCGGCGACTCAGAAGCAAACACCAAGGAAATACTCCGTGCTACTGAGGGCAAGGTCCTCATCATCGATGATGCGCATATGCTTTATCAGGGAACAGGGCATGGAGCTAATTGCTCAGATTCGTTCCGGCTCGCTGTTGTGGATACGCTAGTCACAAACATTTCGAATAGACCGGGGGATGACCGTTGTATTATCCTTATCGGGTATCCGGACTTGATGAAGGAGTTCTTCAACAACAGCAACCCTGGTCTACGACGTCGATTTCCACTAGAGGAGGCTTTTCACTTTCAAGACTATACCATTGATCAGCTCGCCATGATCCTTGACCTGAAGATGTCGCGTGATGGAATCGAGGCTACTGATCATGCCAGAGAAGTTGCCCTAGAAGTCCTTGCGCAGGCTCGAGACCGGCCCAATTTCGGGAATGGAGGTGATGTCGAGAATCTGCTTGGTAAAGCGAAAGCGGCCTTTAACAAGCGACTAAGGGGTGTCACGGACCGGAACGGAAGAAAGATTGAGGCCGTCGATTTCGATCCTGAGTATGATAGGGCCTTCAGGAATAGCAAGGCATGTGAATCACACCTCTCGCCGATGATCGGTATGGACAGTATCATCTCCCTTTTCAGGAATCATCAAAAGGTAGCGGCCGGGATGCGATTGCAGGGGGTAGATCCGCGCCCATATATCCCTTTCGCATATGTCTTCAAGGGCCCACCAGGGACCGGAAAAACTACTACAGCTCGCATTCTTGGCGACATATTTTACGAAATGGGGTTTCTTGCAACGTCCGAAGTCATTGATTGCTCTGCGACAGACATGATAGGCGAGTATGTAGGGCAGACAGGACCCAAGGTGATCAAATTTCTGGAGCGGGCTCTGGGAAAGGTCCTATTCATTGACGAAGCTTATCGACTGGCGGGAGAGTCCAGTGGAAACTGCTCGAGCTTTGCTAGCGAAGCTGTTGGAGAGTTGGTCGACTGTATGACAAAGCCACGCTACGCTCGCAAGCTGGTGATTGTCCTTGCTGGCTACTCTGATGAGATGGATAGGCTACTTCATATTAACACGGGGTTACGGTCTCGGTTTCCGACTGATATTGTCTTTCCCTCGATGAGCCCAGCTCATTGTGTTGAATATCTTGAAGTGCAGCTAGGGAAGCTCCAGATCAAAGTGGATCGAAGACTTAGCTCTAGTGAAGGGAAGTATGCAACTGTGCTGGACCTGTTTGCCCAGTTGCAGAGGACCAGGTCTTGGGCAAATGCCCGGGATGTTGAAACACTGGCCCGCAATATCACTTTCGAGGTTTACAAGAGTCAACCCGGCCCCAGTGACTCCGATCTCAGCGTTTCCATGGACAAGATCATTACCTGCTTGAAGGAGCTGCTACACCAGCGAGCTTCAACCTACTGAGTAAACGCACCTTCAAGTGCGGGGTCATCTGAAGTTCTAGTTCACAATTTGTTGATTGAGATTGGTATTCATTTCGGGTTTTTGTGATTCTGAGGCTGATGCTTGGTGATCTGCCTTCTTATAGTCCAATATTTTCTAGACATGCTTTGTTTTGGCCCGAGCACGCTCGTGCTGATATTATTCGCTATTTCGAGATTTACTATTCTGGTAGGCATTTTATGTATAGTATTGATCTTAGTTCATAACGTAATGTTAGTAAATACGCAGGATCTGGACGTCCCACCAAGATTTGGATGTTCCCCAGATTCAGTAAGCTTATATGAGCTGGTCAATGAGTTTTCAATCATCGAGAGCTTCTTCTGTGGCTGTCGTGATGGTAGTAAGGTACCCATAACCATCGGCGATGTGAGTAAGTACCTCGGAATAGCAAGTTAGCAAGTCCAGAAGATAGCAATGCTCTGACAAGATCTGCCAAAAGAAGCATTGCCAGGCAACAAGGCTATGATAATGAGGCAGCAACACCAATCATGACTAAGCACTCAACGGCCCCCTCCAATTTTACAATTAATTTAATCTGAGACAATCTGAATCTCAAGACAAGATGGGCTTTCGTTATACTATGAAATAAACTATACCCTAACTACCCACAACAACCCGTCGTCCACTCTTCTGTCTGTTTCCCCGGCTCCATCTCCATTGCCTTCGTCGCATCCGTTGTCCTGGCCCCCGGCCGCGCCACCACGACACGGTACTCGCCCCGGTCGCAGAACACCTTCCCCAGAAACGCGCCTAGGAAGATGGAGATGATCATGTACCCATTGTAGTACATGGCGATCAGCATGATAATGTAGGCGAGCCCGAACTGCAGCGTGTGCAGTAGCGCCCGCGCCAGCTGCTGCAGGGGACTGGCTCGGAAGGTAAGCACCGTTGGCCCGTGCTCCAGGCTGTCGCCGCAGAAAAACTGCATGCGGTCCGATGTTGTTTGCGCTGCAACGTAGCGCTGGAATTGTCGCTGGAGATGCTCCTCGTATTGCTTGCTTAGGAGGCGGAGGAAGTCGAGCACAACGACGAGGAAGGCGACTGCGATGCATGAGACGGCAAATTGGCCCGCCGTGTTGATGTGCCAGGTCGAAGAGAGGAAACCTGCAATTGTTAGGGTTAAGATGGACAAGAGCTATACAGAGTACTAAAATGGATTCATACAGGCATCGATTGTAGTCCAGTTCCATAACATCTGCCATGCTGATTAGTCATCAGGTGTCAAGCAGAGGGAGAGAAGCGACGTACGGCTACCGAGCAGGCGCTCGAGT